AGAGTACCCTCCAAAAAAAAAAAAAAAAAAAAAAAAAAAAATTAAGATTGCATCTTTGACTATACTACCCAGTTTTTAACATATATATATATATATACATATCTGCATGTATAGTATATTTAAAGCGTTAAAGGTGCACAACATGCAGGGTGAAAAAAAAAAAAAAAAAAAAGCAGTGGCAGAGAGGTGGGGGGGGGGAGGAGAGGCTTTTAAAATTAGGCGTAGGTAAAAGGATTTGCTCGTTCAAGTTCATCCTGTTCTATTTTGTTTTTATTTTTTTTTTTTCTAATTAACATAATTAAAAGTACTTGGAGAGAGAAAATTGGTTGAGACCAGCCCCCGAGTGATTCCTGCAAAGCAATTTTGCATATAACTCCTTGCAAACATTGGGCGTATGACTCATGTGTGTTTGTGACAACACATGAGGTTTACTAAGCGTAGCCATAACATGCATGTATATATACATACATATATATATATATATATATATATATATATATATATATATAAGCGTACGTGTATAACTTATACATACATGAACCAAATATGTAACAACATATTCATGCTACACGGCACGTGTTCAATCTGTACACTTGGGCCATTGTATTTCCTAAGCCATTTTTATCTTATAAGAAATTTAATTCCGTTCGACAACCAATTTTATGTTATTATGTAGCTGTAAGCGATAAAATGGTGGCAGGGGCAAAAGAAAAAAATATTGCACCAAAGAAATATAAAATAAAATGAAATAAAATAGAGTAAAATGAAATAAAATAGCGTAAAACAAAATAGAATAAAATAAAATAATAAAAAGAATAAATATAATACAGTGCACTGCAATAGAACGAATAAAGGCAATTTTTTTTTCTCGATTTGTTCGAAAAACAGATTTTTTTCAATACTCTTTTTTTTTGAAGAACTAAAAAAAAAAAAAAAAGAAAAAAGAAAATATATATATATATGTATATGCGAAGAATTATACAAAATAACCCTCCAACATATATACATATGCACATATAAACACATGCGAGTAGATATTCCTGTGATCGTGCATAAATATATATATTTTTTTTTTTTTTATACTTTGCATAATTATTGACTAGTTCATAATTGTGCAACATTCTCCTGGCTCCACAAAGAAAAGGTGGTTGCGACAGGTTTTTTAAATGTGTCATCAAAAAGAAGCAACACAAGGTAAGAAGAGATAGAACAAGGCAGAATAACTCAGGTAAATCAGATAAAGCGAATAAGCCGGATAGAGCTACTAAATCAGACATAGAAAAACAATACAACGTAACAAAAAAAAAAAAAAAAAAAAAAAAAAAAACAGAGCTTACTCAACCGTTTTAAGCCCGATTCTGTCAAAAAATCGTGCATCCAAGTTGAAGGGATGTGTATGTGTGTGCAGCCATTCTTCTTGTGTAGAAGTTTATCTCTTTAACTAATCACACCACGTTAGCTATATCTCCTGTTTTCTAGAATAGGGAAAAGTACAACACGATTAAACCCCTCGATGCTTGCACTTCCCACCGGTGCAAAACGAGCACATATTTAGATGTTACGTGACTAACAGAATTTCTTCTTTTGATAGTAGAACATAATACCTTTTGAAGAAAATGTTTGTGTATATCCTACTGTTTACAATTGCGTTTTTCATGAACGCTTTGTCATTTTGTGGTCAGGCATTCAGAGGTCATTCATATTCCCAAGTACGTGAAAAATCAGTGCAAGAGAGTGAATCAGATGTTTATATAGGACGAGATGATGTCGGAAATGCAGTTACGCATAAATACACACACATGTTTCCATTATTATTAGAAAAGGCAAGATCTTTTTCAAATCAAGTTGCAGTTTCAGAGATGGAAAATTGTAAAGTTAAGAATAAAATCACATATGGAGAATTGTTCGATCAAGTATTAAGCGTAAGTCATTATTTAAACACTCTAGATGGAGGAATACCAATAAAGAATTATGATGAAGAATGTAACAAAGGTAATTTCAAACTTTTAGGAATTTATGGATCCAATTCAACTAATTGGATTGTTGCTGATTTGGCAGCCTTGGCTAGTGATACAACATCGCTTGTTATGCATTCCAAATTCAGTATCGAAGAAGTTTGTGAAATATTGAATGAAAGCAAACTTGAGTGGTTGTGTACTGATCTAGAATTGGTTGATGTATTGTTAGAAAGGAGGGAACAGTTACCCCATTTGAAAAAACTGATAATTTTAGACACAATAAATGAATCAACGAATAGACAAAATAAGGTGGAAAGACCGAATGTTAGTGAAAAAACAAATGAGAAACAGAGTAATAATGCTAGAGGAGTAGAGGCCACTAATTCTGGAATAAAGAAAGGAGAAAAAGAAACAAACGAGGGGAAGGAGGAAGAAAAACACCAACTGTATAAAAAACTAATGATAAAGTCGAAAAAATTAGGATTAACGATGCACAAAATAGATGATTTTAAAAACAAAAAAGTGGGAGATAATATAAAATTAAATAATGATCCCGAACACATTTACACAATTGTAAACACATCTGGTACTTCTGGAAAACCAAAAGGAGTTATGTTAAGTAACAGAAGTTTATACTATACGTTGATACCTGTGAGTGATCATAGTCTCTTTCGATTTTACAAACCAGGAATTCATTTTTCATATTTACCACTTTCACACATATATGAGAGATCAATTGTATTTTTAAGTTTATATCGAGGTATGGAAGTAAGAATATGGGGTAAAGACATAAATATGTTTGCAAAAGATTTATGTAACTCAGATGCAAATATTATTGTAGGTGTACCAAAAGTTTTCAATAGATTATATACAAAAATTATGGGAGAAATAGCTAATTTACCACCACTTAAACGTTTTGTTGTAAAAACTGTACTAGCCATGCGTAGAAAAAATAACTACAGTGGATTATCAAAATTCTTAGAATCAGTAACACAGATATCGAAAAAAATAAGAGATAAAATGAATCCATCTTTAGAAGCATTCCTCAGTGCTGGTGGAAAAATATCACCAAATGTGGAGAGAGACTTAAGTGTACTACTAGATGTTAATTTCTATCAAGGATATGGATTAACAGAAACCTCAGGACCAATAATAGCACAACATAATTTGGATACTTCTACAAATAATATTGGAGGTCCTGTGTCGAATCATGTACAATACAAAGTAGTAACATGGGAAAATTATGAAGCAAAAGGAAAAAAACCAAGAGGAGAATTACTTTTAAAAGCAGATCAATTATTTAGTGGATATTTCCAAAAAAAAGATCAAACTAAGAGTTCATTCACAGATGACAATTTCTACAAAACAGGTGATGTAGTACAGATAAATAATAACGGTTCTATTACATTTTTAGATAGATCTAAAGGGTTAGTTAAACTATCACAAGGAGAATATATCGAAACAGAAATGTTAAATAACCTTTACTCAGATATTGACTTTATGGCTTACTGTGTCGTATATGGTGATGATTCTATGGATGGACCTTTGGCCATTATAAATATTGATAAAGAAATTTTTGCAAAATCTTTAGAACGTGATGGAATTTTAAAAGAACAAAATATGACAGTAGAGGATTTTATGAAAACAATAACGGATGAAAAATTAAATCAAGAAGTCTATGTAAAATATGTTAGAGAAAAAATGTCAGAAATTTACAAAAAGACAAATCTGAATAGATATAATGATATAAGTGATATTTATTTAACTTGTAAAATTTGGGATACATCCAATTATCTTACACCAACTCTTAAAGTTAGAAGGTTCTATGTCTTCAAGGATTTCGATTTCTACATCCAGAAAATCAAAAAAAAATATGCAGATAAGTTGAAGGCGAAGTAATATATATACTTCTATCTCCCTCTGCGATATATATATATATGCAAACCTCCTCCAAGTGTTTTTTACCATATGGTTTATTTGTATTCCTCTTCTACACAAATATGGAAGGGGAGGGGCACCCATGTGTGTATACACGTCTTCAGCATGGGTAAGGCATGCTTGGGAGGAGAAGAAGAGAACGGAGAAGAAGACGGAGAAGAAATGAAAAAAAACTTATTTTACTTTCCTTAAAAAAAAGAAAAAAAAAGCGAATTGGTAGGAAAGGCGTCAAGGTTGGGTGGGAATAAAAATTGAGTGCACAGACCAAATTGTTTTACAATGTCTGTACTCTTCACCGTTATTCTATTATACATACACAGTGTTAGCACACATATGTTTTTCTCTCCTTTTTCTCTCCTTTTTCTCTCCTTTTTCTCTCCTTTTTCTCTCCTTTTTCTCTCCTTTTTCTCTCCTTTTTCTCTCCTTTTTCTCTCCTTTTTCTCTCCTTTTTCTCTCCTTTTTCTCTCCTTTTTTTTTTTTTTTTTTTTCCCTTTTATAATTCTCTTAAAATCCGAACCATGTATGAATTCTGACAGTAGTCACTTTTTTTCTATTGCCTCATTTTTGTGTCTATCTTTTGCTACAATTTTTGCATGCACCAATGGTGTAAAAAAATATGTGTATATATATGTACAATACACATACTCATGCAGATGTTTTTACATATGTGTGTGTAAATATGCAAGATGATAATACTTATTCATAGAGGATGATGCGTTTATATGTTGGTTAGTCTCGTTTGTTTTATTCTGTCCATATTTATTTATTTTATTTTTTTTTTTTTTTTTTCCTCATTTTGTCAACTTTTTTATCTTATTATTCCCAGCTACCTCAAATAGGGAAGGGAGATGATATACCTACGTGAACGTGTACATACTCCCTTTTTTTTTTTTTTTGCCTCTTTTTTTTTGCCTCTTTTTTTTTGCCTCTTTTTTTTTTGCCTCTTTTTTTTTGCCTCTTTTTTTTTGCCTCCTTTTTTTTGCCTCCTTTTTTTTGCCTCCTTTTTTTTGCCCCATTTTTTTTTTAAACGTTGCCACATAAAATTAAGGCATCATTAGCAAAAAAACACTCAAGTTTTGTCTTTTTTTTTTTTTTTTTTTTTTTTTTTTTTTCTTTTTTTTTTTTTTATTTTTTTTTTTTTTTTTTTTTTTTTTTTTTTTTTTTTTTTTTTTTTCCTCTTTTTTTTTTCCTTTTTTTTTTTTGCCTCTTTTTTTTTGCCTCTTTTTTTTTGCCTCCTTTTTTTTGCCTCCTTTTTTTTGCCTCCTTTTTTTTGCCCCATTTTTTTTTTAAACGTTGCCACATAAAATTAAGGCATCATTAGCAAAAAAACACTCAAGTTTTTTTTTTTTTTTTTTTTTTTTTTTTTTTTTTTTTCCTTTTTGTATCTGCAATATTTAGTTAATAACACACATAGATTTTTTTTTAAAGTTTTAATTTTAACATTGCATATTCAACGTTTTTGTTTGTCACCTTTTAACATAGAATTTTTTTTTATGTCACACAAATTTTGAAAATTTTTAATTTAAAACCAAAAACTAAAGTTCGAGTTAAATATTCTTTTTACTTTTGCCTTTAACACGTTTTGGCAAAGCATGCAAATGGGTATGTGCACAAATAGGGGTATTCACAAATAGGAGTATTCAAAATTAAACGTATTCAAAAATAAAAGTATTCAAAATTAAACGTATTCAAAATTAAACGTATTCAAAATTGAACGTATTCAAAATTAAACGTATTCAAAATTAAACGTATTCAAAATTGAACGTATTCAAAATTAAACGTATTCAAAATTAAACGTATTCAAAAATAAAAGTATTCAAAAATAAACGTATTCACATGCACCTACCTCTTAGAGGGAAGGGGTAACACATACAAGGGCCCTATCGTGTCGATGCCTAAAATTGATATGTCACTATTTCGACCTTTCATGGTGGTTTTACTCATTTTGCTACTCCTACTAGAAGTGTTATCAGTTATTAAATTATCCCTCTGGGGATGTTGATAAAACTGTACGAGACAAATGTTATATTCACCCGGTTTACTTATCTACACGAGGAGAACATGGAAGAATTTAGAGCGCGCATGGAAGAATTTATAGTGCGTGTTGTATACATGTGGTATGTCACTTGGAGGAGTGGGGTCTCACGGTTCTCTTCCTGTCCCGTTTCATGAACATCTTAATAGCCACTTAACAACCAGTTAACAACCAGTACTCATCATTTACATCGTTTTATTACCTTAATATTTTCCAGAAGGATTTCATTCTGTAACACCTTAGTGAGAATAGGTTCCAGGAGTATATCTCTGGATTCTAGTATATTTTTTTCGATACTACTTGGACTGGAAAGTAAAAAAATGGAAAAAAAAAATATATATATAATTAATAAAAACAAACTATTAGGAGCTAAGCAGATAAGCAACTGAAAAATGAGTAACGCTGGGTATATGTTAATTCCATTTGGAAAGGATGTAACAACCAAAAGACATCCAGTAGGGTGAAAACAAAAATGATTTTTCATTTTCTTTAAATTATTACGAGCATGTGGATCCCTTATTCACTACAAGTAGCTGTAAGCATTCGCTTAAATTATATCCCTGTAAAAATGGACAAGGAGAAAAAAAAAAAAAAAATAAAATAATAAATAAATAAAAAAAAAAATAATAATATGTATTCTTATACACCTTAATTTACAATTATTCCTAAGATAAATTGCATGACAATTTTGTTCATTCATACGCATTGATAAAAACTGCTTATAAGTTTTTGAGGCAAAATGAGGATGCCATTTATTTATTTATTTTTTTTTTTTTTTTTTTCCCTAACTCTTATTGTGATGAATTGAGGCGTTTGTCCATATCCTTCTCCCTGAAGGGATAAAATTGTGATATTGTATATGAACGCATGTGAAACTAAATTAATATGTATTACTATGGTCAGGCACATATCTAATTTATTTTTTTCTGTGCTAATACCCATGCAAAAATGGAATATTTTTTGTTTCTCTCAGGTTCAGCAATGGCACAGTGATGATAGTTCTGCAGAAAGGGAATGAAAAAGACAGAAGAAAAAGATTAAAAAAAAAAAATAAAAATAATAAAGGAATACATAAAATATATAATATATATAAAAAAAGTAACATGTTCTGGTACAAATAAAATAAAAATGTGTTTCTAACATTTGGACATATGCCGCTGTGTATATCCACAAATGACTCGCATATTTTATGGATTTCATTTCCCCTTTGTTCTAATTTCTGCAGTGTAAGGTGTATAAAGTTCGAATAGGTACATGTATATATATTTTTATATTTTTCCCCAGGTAGATAAGTAAAAAATAAATTTAATTCCCTGATGCATACAACATCAAATCGAACTTGATTCGATTTTGTTTCACTAGTCTATATTATATGTCCTTACATAACACTGGGTTGGGTAGTTAGGTTTGTTGTGGCAATCCTCCCTGACACAGTCTAACGTTGAAAAGGAGTAAATTTTAATAGTCTTTGTATTTTTCATATAAAGTACCGCTATCATGTAAATTAATTCTAATATTTGCGATATTAGTCACCCAGAAGTATTCCTCACCTAATGGGCAAAACAACTCTCCCTTTTTATCACTTCCTCCTAAAGGATACACAAATGAATGGAAAAAAAAAAAAAAAAATAAAAAAATAAGTATTAGGAATGGGATAAAATTACACTCATTTTACTTATTTGTTATAATAATCTGCACATATTTGCATTTGTCTGTATTTTATTTTTTTTGTTCTTTTACTAGGTCTAATTCCATGCGCCACTTTTCCTTGACCCTTATTCTACATTTGTTACAAGGTGAGAAAATAACGAAAAGGGGATATTGTGAGTATGTGTATAATTATATATGAACGTATGCAGGTGAATACGAAAAAAAAAAAAAAAAAAAAAAAAAAAAAAAATTGTAACAGCTGATACACCAAATTGCATGCGAAAGGTCAATAACAATTTAAGGGCATGAGCAAAATGAGTAGAAAAAAATACATTTCACTGCTATTCTATTTTGTTTCATTTTGTCTAATTTTGTCAAATTTTGTCAAATTTCGTTTACGTCATATTTTTCCAATTTAGAGAAATTCACCAACGCGTGATCTACAAAAAAAAAAAAAAAAAAAAAAAAAAAAATACATGTTCAGGTAAGGCACACATTCTAGAGGACATTTAGAGAGAATTAATTCACCATACTGTACATTTTCCAATCTCACCATTCTCGTTTATGTATTTTTGCAGAGCTATATCCGATGAATACTTTAACTTTTTCAAATCTTCATTAATCTAGAAATATGTTCATATGTATATGAGCAAATGGGTTAGGTTTATAAAAAGTGAGAAAAATGGGGGTGAAAGGCAATTCGATAAATTTCGACGTTGCATTGTTTGAATATTTTTACGTATGCGTTTTTATGTGCAAATCTTTTTTTTTTTTTTTTTTTCTGTGTCCTGTTAAAAATATGAACATGTGTACATTTCGCTCATTCATGAAAACATCCCTCCTTACCTTCATCAGCCTAATGGTCAATATTTCCACTGATTTTTGAATCAGATTAGTGTACATTTTATACTCTTTTATTCTTCCCATGGTCTCAAACTTAAGTTTCAGTTCTCGCTAATGATGATGTGGGGATATTGATATTCATTAAGCAATAACGGTTAAGAAGTAACCACTACGCAGTAACGGTTAAGCAGCAGCCACTACGCAGTAACGGCTAAGAAGTAACCACTACGCAGTAGCTAGTTTGTGTAAATTTGCAAAGGCACACACTAGCACACCCAATTATGAGTGACCTACATTTTTCAACTCCTTGTGACGATTCAACTTATCCTTGAGTCCATGGAAAAGTTCGTCAATGTTTGACAAATTTCTGTGCATTTTTTTGTCCAGCGTAAACATGTTAGATTCGTATTTGTTTTCGTATTTGTTTTCGTATTTCTTTTCGTTTCCTTTTCTCTGGTTTTCGCCCTTCACTTGGCCCTGTTCATGTGTAGAAGTGGTGTAGACTTGGTGTAGACGTGATGTAGAAGTGGTGTAGAAGTGGTGTAGAAGTGGTGTAGAAGTGGTGTAGACGTGATGTAGACTTGGTGTAGATGTGATGTAGACGTGGTTTAAACGTGGTGTGGAAATGATGCAGAACACAGATATTAGTGGGATCAACATGTAAAGCGAGGAATTCATTGAACGGTCTTCTGAACCGACATCCTTTTTTTTTTTTTTTTTTTTTTTTTTCTTTTTTGCACACACCACATTCGATTGATGTTGCAGGATGTCATTATTGCAATAGATATCATTTAATTTTCCTCCCCAATTAAGAACACATGACTATTCATTTCATATTGATCTTACCTCTTCTTTCTGAGAAACAGATGGATTTGTCGCTTTCTCCTCGAATTCACTTTTCTTTCCAAGTAGTGTTTCCTTATGGGGTGTGTTTTTTTCAATTCGATTCGATTCTTTATGTTCTTTTGCTTCGTCCTTCATAGTGTTTTGATAAGCTCCAGAAACATGTGCAGATGCGTTAATTGTCGCTTTGCTTTGGGTCCCTTCTCCTTTATAGAGTTTCTCTTCTACACTTACACTGATTGGAGGATTCATTTTATTTTTATTTTCACCTCTTCCTTTTTCCATCTGACCCTTTTGATTTTTCTCTTCCTTCTTCTCTTGATATCTCCCCCTGCCTAATTCGTCTGCAGCATCAAGCTCAACATTGTCCTCGTCAGAATTGTCATGATCAGAATTGTCATCGTCAGAATTTTCACGGTCTAAATCGTCATTGTCAGAATTTTCACGGTCAAAATCTTCATTGTCAGAATCCTCATGGTCAGAATCCTCACGCTCAAAATCGTCACGATCAGAATCATCCCCCTCAACAGCACCAACATCAACACCCTGTTCTTCAACATCCGCATCAACTTTTTTTGTTTTATTCTTGTCGATCTTTTCCTGAGCTCTCAACTCTTCTTCAGGCTTACTCTTTTTCTCCACATTGTTGCCTCTTCCAATATCTTCATTTTTTTTTTCTGTTGTCTTTTTCACGTAATTTCGTTGCTCTCCCACGTCATTTCCATGCTGCATTTCGATTTTTCTCGATGTTTCTTTTTTTTCACTCATGGCATTTTTATCCTGTTTCAAATGTGCATTCATATCGACCCCATTCGTATTACTAACATTTTGTAAGCCCGTTTTGGTTTTCTCTCGGTCCAAATTTCCATCAACTTTCAAACTTTCTTTCATTTCTTCCCCATATTTATTCGAGGCGCTTTGTGAATCCTTTTTTTTCTCTTCTCCCTTTTTTTCACCTCTAGCTTTGAGTTCCTCCTTTTTTCCGCCTTTTTCTATGTCCATATCTTCGCCTTTTTCTAAGTCCATTTTTTCGTCTTTTTCGAAGTCCACATCTTCTTCTTTCTCTTTGTCTTTTTCTAAGTCCCCATCTTCTTCTTTCTCTTTGTCTTTTTCTAAGTCCCCATCTTCTTCTTTCTCTTTGTCTTTTTCTAGGTCCATATCTTCTTCTTTCTCTTCGTCCATTTCTTCGCCTTCCTCTCCCTCTTCGTCTATTTCCTTCATATCGTCCATTTCATCCATCATTTCTTCTTTTCTATCATCTTGAACCCCTGATTCTATTTCAACAGATGTATTTTTTTTCTCTACAGTTTTGGAATCCTTTTTATCGTTCATTTTTCTTTCTTCTTCCTTGGCGTCATAGGTGACACTTTTCATGTTCTGCATTTCTGTATTTCCTTCGTTGGTGCAATTCATGTCTTTGTCTTGCTCCGCACCTTGTTCTCTAGAGTTTTTTTCTATTTTTCCATCCATTTTTTCCTTCTTTTCCTTCTTTTCCTTCTTTTCCTCCTTTTCCTCCTTTTCCACCTTTTCCTTCTGTTGATTCGTTTTTTGAAGCTTCTCTTGTCCCTCTTGGGTACCCTTTTTTTCGTCCACTTTTGAATCCATTTTTGCCTCTCCCTTCGCATCTACCTTTGTCTTTCCGTTAGCCCCATCTGTTATCCCCTCCTCGGCTTGGAGAGACGACTCATCTTTTGATTCATCTATTTGTCCAGAACCCATCTCATCCTTGTCAAGACTCAAGCAACTATTAATTGTGCACTCCTGAAGGAAACTTAAATTTGATTCCAATTTTGATTCAGAGAGCTCTTCTTCGTTTCTATAATTCTTTAGATGTCTCTTATTTTTATCATTCGTATAGCTATTCAAATTGGTTTCACTTATCTCGTGGACAAGTGTATCATCATGCAGTGCATCATCTTGTCTATTTTTTCCTAGGTGGAGAGAATTCACAGAAATTGAGGATTCTGCACGTGGTAAATAAGGGAGAAAGAAGTACAAATAGGGAGTATGAAACACGTGTGAGAAACATCTAAAGCAAGGAAAACGAAAGCATGCTTAATTAAAATAAAACAGGGCCTTCGAAAAAAATATATTCTAAAGTGTGCACTCAAAAACCAGTGCATTCCCACAGTGATGCGACATCTTTCCACGAGGAAAAGAGCTAATGAAAAAAAAAAATTCTTTACGCTTGGCATTTTTTTCAGTTTTTTACCTTTATTTCTTAAAAGCCCTTTTGCACATAAAATCACAACGGGCAAAAAAATATATCGCATTTTTTTCAGACGAGGTAAAAAAACATTAAGGAGAGAATCATGTGGAAAAATTCCTCAGCCTCTATGTGTGTGTTCTCTCCTTGTGTTGCTCTGTTTTCGCTCGTTTGGATCCTTTCGCTTTGTTCTCTTTACTTTCTTGCCTTTTCCGTTATGTTGTGTTTCCTCTTTTTTTTGTCTTTTTTTTTTTTTTTTTTTTTTTTTTTTTTTTTTTTTTCTCATTTCCAAGTTTGTTATTTTTTTTTTTTTTAAGTTTTCTTTTTTTTTTTTTTTTTTTTTTTTTTTTTTTTTTTTTTTTTTTTTTTTTTTTTTTTTTTTTTTTTTTTTTTTTTTTTATCCTCAAGCGTAGTGGCGACTTTTGTGAAAATGCATCTTTTTAGTCTACATATAAAGAGCACCGGTAGATGTGGAAAATATTCATTTTATATATATCTCTATTATATACAAAAATTTTATTCTTTACAAAAACTGAAACAAGAAAAGGGTAGCGTGGAGAGAAGCATATTCTATAGTTCACTTTTTTTTTTTTTTTTTTTTTTTGTGTGTGTTTCCCCCATCCTTCTTTGGAACCCTTTAAAAAATAATTTCTATGATTTTAATTGTTGTGCACGTGTGCAACAGAGTTTATCTAAATTCTGCAAGCTTGAATTCAGGTTATAATATTATCAAATTTTTCATACTTTTTTATTTTTACTTTTTAAGTTCTTGTTTTTAAAGTGGTTTTTAAGAGATGGGAAAAAAAAAAAAAAAAAAAATGCATACATGTGCCCTGTGTGTTTGCATATATATACATGCAACTGGAGTGTATGCATATGTACACACATGCGTACTTGCATACTTACATGCATACATACGTACGTACATATACACATACATGCATTGCGTTGGAACCTCCCTGAAGTTGTTGTAAATCAGAGGAATGTATTTTTAGTTAAAATAACGTAACATAATGCACATGCACTCGGGTACACAAAGCTTATAAGTTACACCGGGTGATCATGCTTATATATAACATATAGGATGGAGAGAAGATGGGGAAGGAAAAAAAAAAAAAAAAAAAAAAAAAAAAAAAAAGAACAAAAAAGTTGTATGCATTTATAGTGCATCTTATCTATTAGTTTTTTTTCTTTTTACGCAGGAGTGTAAAAAGTAAAAATAAGCAAAATTAGGAAGAAGTGAGAAGTAAGAAGTGAGAAGTAAGAAGTGAGAAGTAAGAAGTGAGAAGTAAGAAGTGAGAAGTAAGCAGTGAGAAGTAAGCAATGAGAAGCAGGCAACAGAGATACACACGGTCTGCATTTGTTAAATGTAAATATATTTGCACGTTTTTACGCTCTAAGAATACAGCATCGCATAGTATCAATGTGGACTTTCTTTTTTTTTTTTATTTATTTTGTTTTTATTTGTTTATTTTTTTTCTATTCATTTATTTTGTTTTTATTTTTTTTTTTTTTCTTTTATCTTTTCCTTGTACGTCCCTCATTCCTCTCCCCAAAAAAAAAACCCAAGCTTTCGATGACATATAAAATGCTGATATAATAACGTTTAAACGAAAACAGAAAAATTAAAAATATAAAAGTGGCAAAATCCTAAATAGGATGAAAAAAAAAAAAAAAAACAATCAAAAATGAAATAAAATCAGAATAAAATGAAATAAAATCGGAGTAAAATAAAATGGGAGTAGCATAAAATAAAATTGGAGTAAAATAAAATGGGAGTAGCATAAAATAAAATCAAAATTAAATTTAAAAGAAAAGGAAAAGAAATAGGTGATCCTCCAGCAGTTGTTGCTGGGGTTTCTGCATGGAGGGAACATGTGAAACCATACAAAAAGGTAAAGTATAAATGTGAAGGAGAAAGAATTGGGTTAAATAAAAGATTAAAAATGTATGCATATATAATATGGAAGACATATGTAAAATAACATAAAATAGCACATATATTGTGTTGTATATGATCTATAAATGTAGAGTAGTGAGTATTGGAGTATGCAAAATGTATATGGAGATATGGAGATATACAAAAGCACTATAAAAAAAAAAAAAAGCAAAAATGGACTCATATTGTGTTGGTAGGGCGGAAAGCCAAAATTACACATAAATTATGTAAAGTAGGCAAAAAAAAAAAAAAAAAAAAAAAAAAAAAAAAAATACACAAATTGTACCAATTCGATAACAGTGTATATACATATTAAAGCAACGGAGAAAAAAAAAAAAAAAAAAAAGTTAACAAATGAAACAAATCGTTACTGTCACGTGTGAGTGTAAAAATTTTTGCTTAACAATCACGACAGCACAACAATCTGTAGGATACATTATCATGACACACACAAAAAAAAAAAAAATCACCCCTGGGGTCAAGCGTTGCAAAACCGATGCGAGCAACAAGAATATAGCTGTCGAGGTCCTCCCTCGTCGTCGTCTTCCTCCTCCTCTTCCCTCTCTGTCAAGGAAAATTATAGCTATATGTATACATATATATATATATATATATTGCCAATTTTAACAACTTTTGTCTCGCCCTATTAAAAAAGCTAAGCTTCACAAGTTGTAGTTCATAGGTTTGCAGGAAAAAGCATCGAGTGCATTCTTCGAAATCAAATAGTTAATAAACCCCTCCAATGTGTACTTGTGGTTCTTCCATACGATCAATCGTCTCCTTTCAGCGAGCATAGTATTCACTTTCTCTTGTACTCTTTCTTGCACATCATCCAGTTGTATATCCAAATTTTCAATAATATCATTGTGTTTTATAACCTCAATCTTGGTAATTTTCAAATCTTTTACGACGATATCGGTTATATAATTTGGTGGTTTCTTGTCATTGCAATGTGCAGATATAGTAATAGAAAATGTAGGTTTACTTCCAATTAAAAAAGCGTACGTACTAATAGGGCAAAAGTTGGTTCCTATACATAATTTTAAAAAAAGGGGTCCTATAATATGCTTAAAATAACCATCTAATATTAAATAATATTTTCCTTTATCATAGTAGAAATGTAAATTAGCTATTTTAATCGAACTAATGCCTTGTAAAAATAAAAGAGTTGCATGATAAAAAGTTTTTTCCTCGTGATATATATGTCCAATGTTGTAACATGGTTCTTTAGCTAAATATTTCTTTGTTTTACATTTTCCTATACTACTTGGTATTAGAGAATGGAAATGAGCTGACTTAAAAAAATTATTTAATCTTCTATTCACTGCGTGTATATTGAAATGGAACACATTTTCTTTTTTAAAAAATGTCATTATTGTAGTTATAAAAATTAAAATAAACAAAATGAAATGAAGAAGAATGAATATTTTGGGAATTTTTTCTGGATTTGATACTCCTAATAATTTTCCTAATAATCTCCCTATGAACCCTCCTCCTTCTCCTCCACCTATTATTAATGCTCTTACATTTTTTTTGTTTTTCTTTTTTTTCCTTTTTTCCAAATGGAATAACAAAATGGATTTAATTGGTATCATATTTTTCAGATAATTCTTTGCTTCCTTAAAATTTAACCCTTTTTTTTCTTTACCGATTTCGTTTGCTTCGTTCGGTTCACTACCAACTTGACTCAGTTGACTTGCTTCGCTTACTGCTCTCTCCTCCTCCACTGATGTAATCCCCTTGGTATCTTTCATTAGCACCATCTCGTCCACATTCTCTGACACTCCTCCTGCTACCACCACCAGCGAAGATGTATGTCCTCCTACTCCATGTTCTACCTTCTCATCGTCTTCTACCTTCTTACCACATTCCACCTTCTTGCCACATTGCACCTTCTCATCATCTTCCACCTCACCATCTTCTTTTTCTACTTCTGCTCCACGTTCACGAATTTTTTCCATGCCCAATCCAGTTCCCTTGTAGATATTATTCTCAGTAATGTTCTTGTTATGCCTCGCAGTTCCACTCACTGCTTTAGTGCCCGTGAAAGATTCATTGTAATGTTTATTTTTAGTTGTTCTTTCTTTTTCATCTGTTTTTTGAGACTCTTTTGCTTCTACTACGTGCACATCGTCGACACTAATTTTGGAATCCTTATCCGAAGTTAAATTGAATTCATTGCTCTCTTCATTGTCAACTCTGGTGTTTTGATATGCTAGACTAGTGTTATTTTCATACACACGGTGCACCATCATGGTTTGAACAGTATTATCTGTATGTTCTTTAGTTGTATTATTATTTTTTGAACTATAATTAAAAAAATGTTTTCTTTTTAACAAAAATTGAAAAAAGTAGGAATACATTGGTACATTCCAATGTTCATGTTTCTGGATATTCAAGTCTACAATTTCACTATATCTATTTTTCTCAAATAATGTGATTTTTTTCTTTGTTTTTCTGAGTTTTTGTATATAAATCTCCCACTCTCTCACGTACAGATTAATGGAAAAACATAACAATCCGTAAATCACAAAAAGAAGAAATTTGCAAAATTTTATTTTGCTACTTCTGTACAATAGGACAATATTCAGATTATTCGTATGCTTAACTATTTGGTAAAAGGTTAACAAGGAAATACATATTATTTCTCCAAGTGATATATGTAAACAGAAGGAGCAAATGTAGGAGAAAAAAACAGATAAGTAAAAGTAAAAATTTAAAACTTTATTATAAATAAAACTTGTGTTTATATCTTCACTTTTGCTACTTGAAATGGTACTATTGTGTGATGATGTCAAATCATCTGATGTATTAGACAATCGATCGTTCTTTTCAATTTCTTTTTTTATATATAAATAATTGTATCTCTCTGATACCATCATCTTCTGTTTATTTTCTATTTCTGGACTAAATACCAATTCTTCATTAAACGCACATATTTTCTTATAACCTTGGGAAAAATAAAAATAATAAACATTCATAAAAAAAACACTTAAAAAAAAAGAAAATCCAATTATTAATGGAAATATGAATGGCAACATAACAAAAAATGGATATATATAACTCCTATTAATCTTCAATTTCAATATGTTTAACATGTCTAAATAATCAATTACTATTCCTTCGACATTGAAATTAAAATAACTTAAATATATGTAAATTCCAACCATACTGCACTCCACTCCTGTTATTAAATATATGCATAAGCACAGAAAGAGGAACAAAAAAATAGCATATCCAATTTTAACCCGATTCAGTCTACTGTCTTGACAATGCAACTTCAGTAAAGAATTGAATTTTTTCTTCTTTAAATATATATACGCATCGTTATTCTTCATTACTTTATGCAAATAATTTATACTGTTTAATGTTTGCAATTTGTTGTAGCAAAGTAGTTGTTTTTCATATCTCTCATGAGATTCTAGCGCCTCATATAACTCATACCGCTCCTGTAGAATATGAACACCACCTCCAACCCTCTCAGGGCTCTGTGTACGATAATTCAAACTGCTATTCACGTAATCCTCATCTTCCTCTTCTCCATCTTTCCAAATCATATTTCCATATTGTTGCACTCCTGTTCTGTGTCGTGCCCCCTTTTCGTGTTCTGCACCACGGTGGATTATTCCGCGACGACTTTTTCCACGATGGTGCATTACATCATTACGGTGCACTACTTCATTACGGTGCATTGCTTCATTAGGGTGCATTGCTTCATTAGGGTGCACTTCACCATGATCAATGCCGACTCTGGGCCCCTCGCCCCACTCACAGTGATCTTTCCTAGGCCCATGGATGATGGTTTCTTTATTTTTATCATCTGTAATATCTTCATTCGCATTGTCTACTCTGTTAGTGCACCTGATACCCAATGCCTCATCCACCTCATCTTCTTCCTTCTTATCTTGCTTATTTTTTGCGTTCTCCTTATTTGTCTGCACACATTTTCTCACGTTTTCATAATCCTTATTATCTATTACATCTTCAGCATTCCTCACTTGTGCAATCCCTGCTATATTTCGATTTTCCAATTCTCTTCCATTACGTGTATCAACTTGATGGTTGGTTCTAAAGCTTATGCGTCTTTCCGCTGATAATGAATATATTTTAATATTTCCATTTTTAAAAATTCTAATTTTTAGAGACGTTAAAGTAAGTAAGAAAAAGGAAGAAATGGTGGAGAGAAGACAATAATTTAGAAAATGATATGCCCCAATTAATATCTTGGCTTCCATCAAATATAGATTTAAAGAAGAGACAATAAATAAGGATATTAAAACATCAACAAATTGAAATCTTGAAATTGAACTTAAAACACTAAACTTTTTAAAAATAAATTCCTCGTTTTCATTTATTGTGTTAATAAAAAATATATCATCTTCTTCCTCTTCTTTTTCTTCTTCTTCATGTTGTAGATTCAAATTGTACAATTTAAAGAAGCAATAAAAATTATCACTCACCATGATGAACTTCAGTATAGGTATGATAATTGAGAACAACAGTAGCATGGCCATGTTGAAATAACTTTTATTCGTGAATAGTAGCCATATTGATTCCAGAATGGAGTTCTCGTACACTTGCGTGTTGTCTGCAATGACGTCTGCGAGGTGAGGGTGCATCAAAAAAAAAAAATAAAATAAAATAAAATAATAAAATAATGAACTAATAAATAAAATAAGTATATGTATAGGTATAGCAATTCTACGCTACCTCAATGATAAAACAACAAATAGATAATGATGGAAGCACTGATTCATGGGATATTCACTCGAGAGAAACAAAATAACTCCGCAAGAATGCACTCAGAGTCGCTCCTTTACTTACTTCCATGGAATATAATTTTAACAGCTGGATTTATTATGCCATTGAAAAAAAAAAAATAAGATATATAAAACAAAATAAAAGACAAAAACAAACTATTGTTAATTAAGTAGATCTGCCTTTTCCTTGAAATTGTCAGTTTTCGTATGATCAACTCTTTATACTTGTTATACATATTTGTCAAATACATCCTCATTTTGAAAATGATATTTTGTAATGATGTTGTATACAAGCAAATCTTTTTTTTTTAACAAGCAAAAACGATGAGTAACACATTTGTTTCTTCTGTAGAATCTTTATTTTTATATGTTTTCATTCCAGGGTGTGGGTACATGTGCATGTCTATGGGATATATGTGTGTGTGGGGGGTGAAGGAATCTTTTAGATTCACAACTATGTTTTTAATAAAATAAAGAAAACCCCACGACTCATGATTAAGGATCTGTAGGATGTGTTCTTTTCTGGATTTTCTTATTTGTGTAGTGATTGCATATAAGTATGAATCCGTTTTATGACGTTTGTTATGCCCCCAGAGCAAACATGAGAGAATGGTTACAGAAGGGTGGAATGCTCTTTTCTTCCCTCTCCTATTGAACTTGTAGAAAATATATCAACAGGTCGTTTGGGGTGCTGTTAATTATTAGATGCATTATCACATATGAACTCGTAACTATACAATCATGTGGATGATTTCATAAGGTGTGAAAAATACCACTGGATGAAAGATAAAAAAAAATGTGCGTAAGAAGTAAGGGATAAATAGGGTAAATGAGTTAATATATTTTGCTCTGTGTAAAAATGTACATATATATATATATATATATATATATATATATATATATATATGCATATGCATGTTCATAAATATGTATCCTTGGAGGAATCGGTTGAAAAAAAAAAGGGCAATAAAAGAGGGGTAAAAAAAAAAAAAAAAAAAAAAAAAGCAAAAAGGGAATAATGAAAAACGGTAGAAAAAAAGAGTAAAAAAAAGGAGTAAAAAAAAAGGAGTAAAAAAAAGGAGTAAAAAAAAAGAATAAAAAAAAAGGGTAGAAAAAAAGATGATAAAAAGGATTAAAAAAAAATGGGGACAAAAATGGAGATAAAAAATAGGGATAAAAAAAAGTTAATAATAAGAAGGTATTAAAAAGAAATTAATATGTTCCTATGTAAAATATAGAAAAAAGTTTATGTATACATTATAAATCAAGAATACAATAACACTAGCAATGCTTATGTACAATGCATATGTATATGCTATACTTTGACCAAATGGAAGGAAATAGGAAAAACATCAGAAAAAAAAAAAAAAAAAAAAAAAAAAAAAAAAAAACAAAAAAAAAAAAAAAAAAAAAAAAAAAAAAAAAAAAAAAAAAAAAACAAAAAAAAAAACCGAAAAAAAAAGGGGGGGGGGGGGGGAAATCATACAAATTTGAATAAAATTTATTCTTTGAAAAAACAGAAGAGATAATTTTTTGGAGGCATAGAAAATTAGAAAAAAAAAAAAAAAAAAGTGAACAAGTGCAAAAGTAGCGGCGCGCACTATATATATTATATACATAATATATAATATGTTATACACATATTTATATATTATACTGTGGGTTGAAACATTAATTAAAATAATCCGTTATAGGGAATAAAATGTAGAAGATTGATGCCGGGGCAAAAAACATTATATATATATATATATATACGCATATGTATATTATGCATATATGTATGTGCAATTTATGTGAGCATTTTTTTCATGTGATGGAAAACACTGTACACTAAACTTGTGGCAATTGTTTTATGCTTGTGCAGAATTCGGTAAATTTAAATTGTCGTACTTTTTAAATCGGATGTTCATGTGTGAATACATATATACAAATATAATGTTGATTTTTAACTTTATAACTTATTAAGCATTTCTACTCTCCTCCATATACAGGGGTCCGATTGCGAAAACATGAACAAAAAAATGAAACGACAAGGAAAATAGAAGAAAAAAAAAAATAAGGGAACACCTTATATATATGGAAAAGTATTGCAAAAGGATGAAAGAGGAGTGGGGAAAATTCATTAAATCTAATAGGAAAACTTAGGCAAAAAAAAAAAAAAAAAAAAAAAAAAAACACTACACATCAAAGATATGGACGACTCGTACTTTGGCCTATTTGGAATTTTTCAACTAGAAATTTTTTAACAAATGAACCCTTTAGGAATTTTCCTTATTGTAAAAGTTCATGTGTTGTTATGTACATTACACATATATATATATATATATATATATATATATATATATATACATATGTAATAATATACGCACGTAAATTCATTTATTGTACATTTATGTTTTTTCCCCCATATAAAATCTCCCCCTCACATACATTAACAAAACAGCGTGGTAAAAAAAAAAAAAATTGTTTCAGCCAGAGGGGCGAAATTTTCCCCGCAGTTGAGGAAAAAAACATTGCGGTATAAAAAAAAAAAAAAAAAAAAAATTGACAAGTAAATGAAATAGAAAATGACTAACAAAGTAAAAACAGAAAACAGTCCAAATGGAACACTGTGGAGAAGTTATATATTTCCTTCCGTTCATAAAAAAAAAAAGTAGCAATTTTTGTAAAATTAACGAAATTATCGCTGCTAACAAAAATAGTTAAGTGAACAAAACAAACTGTGCCATTGATTTACCTGTGTTTCCTAAAACCTTAAGAGGAGGAGAAAAAGAGTATATATATATATTTATATGTTAAAAAGTATGAAATAATTTCATTTCCAATCATTAATTTCAGCTTTATTAACAAATGAAATATTGGACAACTATTCATTTAAATGGTGTAATGAAGAAAGAAAAAAAAAAAAGGTTATGTCTTCACCCCTTTTGGAGGAATTTGAATTTTATTGATGGTGCCATTAAAAATTTGGAAAAGCAAAAGTTTAACATGTTTTAGCATCATCGTAGTTACATAATTCTTATAAGAACATCTGTATATATTGTTAAATGTGTGCTTTTTTTCCCGTTGCAACTTAAAGGAATACTTTCACGTCTTTATCAAATGCAAATGATGTAACATGTGTACGAAGTAGTCCTCTTGACAGTGCGTCGTTCTATAATACCCAAGAATTATGCTGGTGTTTGACCTGTTTTTTTTTTTTTTTTTTTTTTTACGACAAAACGAACAAATGAACCTAAAAAAAAACATTGTTCTCTCAATAAGGTTTCGTATTCTTAAGGTGAAAGGGAAACCTCATCAAGGTAAATTTTTTATGATATCTGTCATTCTCCATAGCAGTTTCAGTGAACACACATTTGTGTAGCATGCACATGCATATGTACGTATTTATACATGTGTTATAAAGGAAGCGGCTCACGCTTAAAAGATTTTTCCAATAAACCATAACAACGGAAACAGTCAAATTACCTAAGTTGTCCGCGTCTTACACCAATTTTCACTGTAATTTTAATATCCACATGGTGCTCACCATAGTACCATATTCTTTTGAGCAGTAAGAACAGAGCGTTTTTCATTTCGAATTTTCAAAAGAAAAAAAAGCAGAAAAAAAATAAGAAAAAAAAATAAGAAAAAAAAATTAGAAAAAAAATTCAGAATAAAAAAGCAGAAAAAAAATTCAGAATAAAAAAGCAGAAAAAAAAATAAGAAAAAAAAACCAGAATAAAAAACCAGAAAAAAAAATTAGAAAAAAAAACCAGAAAAAAATAGTGCATATTTCATTGCCTGTTTTTCGAAAGAACACCTATTCTCCTTTTTTTTTCTTTTTTTTCTACAAATCTCCAATTAATCTTTTCATGTCCTTATTCTTAATTGAACAGTAAAATTATATCAATGCACAAATTGGTAGAACAATCCTATTTTTTTTTTTTTTTTTTTTTTTTTTTTTTTTTATGTTATTTTCCAGTTTATTTTTATTTACGTAAAGCACCCATGCACGTACACACACAGAAAAAGAAAAAAAAAAAAAAAAAAAAAACTTGCTTATTCAGAAAAAAAAAAATATTGCCTGTTCAGGAAAAAAAAAAATTTACATGCTTTTTACTATTTCTAAATCGTTTTAAAGCTAGCTGAAAAAAAAAAAAAAAAAGAAAAAAGAGATAGGTAGGTATATAGATATGGAATGAGAGACATAGGAAAGCGCGCAAACAGAGAATAAAAAACCTTACACAGTAACAAAAAAAAGAAAAATATATACATATGCATATATATATATATATATATATATATATATATATATATATGTGTACATATGTTCACGTGTACACATTTTTACGTGCCCCTTCGAAGAGGCATAAATTTAGCCATACACACAGACCTAATCTAAACCCTACAACGGCCAAAAACAAATAAAAAATATATATATATTTTTTTTTAAAATTTGTGCATTCTTCTCCATTTAACATAAAAAAGGGCAGTTCTGCTAAGCATGCACAAATTTGCAAGTATACGCATTATATGTACATATTTATACAGTACATTCATGTAAGGTAAAAGGACAACATTGTCACATTTTAACTTTTATTGAAATAAAAAAAATAAAAGAGTCCTCTGCAGCATTTCATCACAGAAGGGTCTATATATTTTTCGTATAAGACAAATACGAATTGAACATTCTTAAGATTTTCTAATTACTCGGTTATTTGTCACGAATAGCTTTGGTAACATGATTGACTCGTGTCCAATTAGCACATTAAATGAGTTTCACTCAAGTGAAGAACAAATAATCGAAAAATTTACGCACAATCAGAATGGTGTGAAGCAAGATGATATGCTGAGAAAAGGTGTACAAAAAAGGAATGGTGCCCTGAATAAACACTCCTTCTCACGACCAACTGAAGAGGTAATAAAAAATAGTATGGCAGTCCGTACACGCGCTGAAGGTGAAGATTTTTCCAAAAAGGATCATCATGTCAAAAGTAACTGCGATTATTTCGGTAATAAGCCGCTTATATAAACATGTTTTTTTTTTTTTTTTTTTTTTTTTGCGTACATTTCCCTTTTTCTTCCATACATCCCATACATGCTAAAATGATTGTGACAAAAAAAATGGTTAAACATATTGACACAAAAAAATAACCCTTTCGCTCACTGAAGGTGCTGACCCCCACACAACGGACTATTCCATTGAAAGCCTTCTACACAAAATCAGGAACTTAGAAAATGAAAAATCTTACCTATTGAAGTTTTTGGAAAATAAAAAAAACGTCGAGTTAGAGTATAAGAAAGCGCTTGAGACACAGGTATAGAAAAAAAAAAAAAAGGAAAAAAAAACATCATTTGGACATTTGCATACCTACGTTTGTACCACGAGACAAAATAAACTCTTCAATGTAATATGTTACAGGTATGAGGCATACTGTCCTCATATCTGAGGCAAAAGTGGGTAAACGAGAAATGTCAGCGAGAATGTGAAAAAAAAAATATTTCTATTATTCTATATCAATTGTTCAGGCAGCATTTGTAAACTCAGAGAATAAAAAATCACAGTTCTATGAAAATGAATGGTTACACATGAAATCACTAGAATATTCATTCATGTAAGGAAATTAATACAAAGAGGAAAATTAACAAAATGAGGAAACTTCACATTTATATCATTATATTGACTAGCTAGAATTATTCTCGCTTTTTTTTTCTTTTTTTTTTTTTTAACATTTCCATATCTTCATCATTCCTTTGACTTCTTTTCTTTTTCTAAGAAATTCCGGAAAGGAACCCTTAAGACATGCATTAGAATTGTTCTATGGAGATTCTAATTTGTATGAGGTTAAAGAATAAGAGAAGAAGGAAAAGAGAAAAAAAGAAGTGCATAAAGTGGAGAAAAGAAAGAAAATGAAAAAAATGAAGAAAATGAAAAAAATGAAAAAAATGAAGAAAATGAAAAAAATGAAGAAAATGAAAAAAATGAAGAAAATGAAGAAAATGAAAAAAATGAAAAAAATGAAGAAAATGAAAAAAATGAAGAAAATAAAGAAAATAAAGAAAATGAAGAAAATAAAGAAAATAAAGAAAATGAAGAAAATAAAGAAAATAAAGAAAATAAAGAAAATGAAGAAAATAAAGAAAATGAAGAAAATAAAGAAAATGAAGAAAATAAAGAAAATAAAGAAAATAAAGAAAATAAAGAAAATAAAGAAAATACTCTCTACCCCCATCCCCCCCACCCCCGCATACATAGTCTCATCATTTGCTCACCTTCTGTCTTGTTGCTCCTGCAGAAGTTAGGAAACCTTACGAGTACTCAGGAAATATTTATTGCGAATTTGGTAGAGGATCATAAGAATTTAATACAAGAAAGGAACACCATTTCGAGAAAGTATCAGGAGGCAGTGGTAAAATATGTTGTGTTTGTGTTTGTTTGTGTTTGTTTGTGCTTGTTTGTGCTTGTCTGTTTGTGTATGCATCTTAGCATGCTATTCCTCACTATTATAACAACGATGTGGAAGTGTATTCAGTTTTTATGCCTATAAAAACCAAACCTATGAACGGTCACTTATTATTTTTCCCTCTATCCCTCTCTCTCTCTCTATATATATATATGTGTGTGTATATATGCAGGACGCCAATTTCCAACTGTATCAACAAAACGAAATGCTCAAAGCACAAAACATAAACCTTATGGAAAAAAACAAAGACACAATAAATGAACAATTGGTAAACACTATGAAAAAAAAAAAAGGGAAAATTGGAAATAATGAATTGTACACACAATTCCGATTTTATTTTAAAATATAAATATCATATATGGGCATAGAAAAAAATTGGATTCTTTCGCCCTCATATTTCATCGTTCATCTATTAATACATCGGATTAATCCTTTTTTCTTCTCCTCCCCCCCTCTAGCAGGAAAATAAATTAAATGCCTTGAACGATACTCTCATTTGTGTCCAGAAGGAGAACATTCGGTTGCAAGGTTTTGTTATAATTGAAAAAAAAGCTATCATTAGTATTTTTTACATCATATATGTTAATGTGGATCACTTTTATTAAAATTTTCCTAACCCCTTGCATGTTCTACATATAGATGTAAACTTTGCAAAATATATCCATACATAGATAAATTGTAGCTATGTCACTCATTTTTCTCCTATCTTCAGAAACTGTAGAACAGTACGTAAGACTGATGAAGAATATAAACAAATGTGCCGAAGTAAATAAAAGAAAAAAATTCTGAATACACCAATATGTGTTAACTCATCTGTGCAAAGCCTTGCTATACATTTAAGCTTTTAATATATTTTACATTTATCTTGTATATGTATATGTACATGTATATATATATATATATATATCTCTATTTTTGGCTCCACAAAAAAAAAAAAAAAAAATATCCTCTCTCCATATCTTCTTAGGTGAATTCCATTAAGGATGAAGTAGACAAGTTTAAAAACTACTTACTAATTTGAAATATAATTTGTCTATTCGTGCATAGTAATATTCGAATAAGGCTGTCCATGTATATGGGGTGTGGGTGTATCTATTTTTTTTTTTGTGTCCTCCCCTCCCCTTAGATTCCATAGCGAGACTAAAGCAAGATTCTACATAGCAGGGCCATAGGGTAGTAATGCAACTGGGTGTGGCAGTGTAGTAGTGTAATAGTGTAACAGTGTAGTAGTGTAATAGTGTAATAGTGTAACAGTGTAGTAGTGTAATAGTGTAATAGAAGAATTAAATGCTTATCCGCATGAAATAAACCTGGCCATTTTTAAGGACTACAACATGTGGAAGACCTAAGCACAACTCCTTACCTTTTATTACTTAACCATTTTGCTATCTAATCATTCTGCTCTTTAATCAATTTGTTATTCAATTATTCAGTTATTCAACTATTTAATTATTCAACTATTCAACTATTCAACTATTCAATTATTCAACTATTCAACTATTCAACTATTCAACTATTCAATTATTCAACTATTCAACTATTTTATTATCTAATTATTTTATTACATTTTTCTTTTTTACTCCTATCTTGTCATTTAGTAAACTTAACTTTTGTCTTAGTGTCCACTACCCTTTTGTGTGCTCACACTTGGAGGCATGCATCTATCATATTACCACTTTGCGGGAGCTCATCTTTTTTCATTTTTCAAATTTTCCCTGATTCCAAATTATGATAATTGTAGCAAAAGTGCTAACAGGCGTCACTACTTAATTACACTCCTTACAGCTGAGTAACTTCCTCAGGTTGTGTTAAAAATTTCCTTTGTGATTTTTTTTTTTTTTTTTTAATTCACGTTTGATAGTCCCCACATTGATTGAGGTTTTTTATATATATCCCTTACTTTTTATATAACTATGTTTTCGTAGCACTTTTTATTTTTCATATTAACTATTCCAAATTTTCGCATGTTTATCATATCCTTTTTGTGAATTCTATCAACCTTAGTTGATTACCATCCCCGTTAGGGATACATACAAATTATTCTTATTTTTTCTTTTTTTCCCCTCCAATTTGTAAAAAAAGAGAAAATTTTGTTCCTATGTATCTAAAAATATATACAAGTACACATAATCGTATATATTTTCGGTTTTCATTTTGATGAAATTCCTTCTCCTATTTAAATGAAAACTTGGACAATTTTCAACGGAATATATGCATACAATGGATATTTCCACATGATGCAAATGTATATCTATGAACACTTGTTCCATTTTTAAAAAGCAAAGATGTTATTTTTGCGTCTCTTGTGCAGAGTATGCTCGATGTTTCAGCATCATTTGTTCTTTTATTGAAAAAAAAAAAGGGGGGAAATCCAACAGTTAAGAAGTGGCGCAAAATGTGTATATATATATATATATATATATATATATATATATATGTTTACTCGTACATAAACCTTTTGAGTGATTTTTACTATCCGATCAAATTGAACGCGCTTGGACAGAGCAGAGGTGAACACGTTACGAATTCTCTTTGTAGTAACTCTAATGAAGGTCTATTTTGCTTAGAAACCAGAGAATGAAAGAAAAAAAAAAAATATTTAATTATGGGAGTTAGACATTTGTGAAAACTAGAGGAAAGATAAACAAAAATAGACATAATAGAATACTGGGGAAAACAAATAATCATGAACACTCTTCCCCTGCCCCCTTGGTGTGGCTCAGAAATGGTCAGAAGTTGTCAGAAATGATCAGAAATTATTATGGGAAAAAATTCACGTATACATGAAGTAATAGGTTCATGGTGACGCGAACGAAAAAAAAAAACAAAAAAACAAACATAAACAGAAACATAAACAGAAACAGAAACTATTCATATAAGCATAGCTGAACGAAATAAGTGTGGGGGGTTCGCAACTGCCTGCCTTGGGAACAGCATTAACCAATGTCTGCAAAGCAATAGTGAATTAATGCCTCTCTAGCATTTTGTATTCTCGTGTGTGGATTTGGATCCAAAAGTTTCAAGCATAAGTCTAATACATCTGGGTTGTCTTTCCAAATGAAGGGATCGAAATTGGGCTTCGTGTGAATTAGCACTTTCTTTTTTAAGTGAATTGGCATGTTGCTATTAATTTTGAATGGGAAACGACCATCCATTAATGCATACAAAATAACACCACATGCCCAGATGTCATTACCTGTTGATATGACCCCATCTAAAGATTCTGGAGACATATAAGGGGCGGTTCCACATATGAATTTCGATTTTCTACTTTTGTTAAATTTATTAGACACCACCTTCTCCATCATATCCATGTCGATTAAACATATATCACTATAAGAATTCCCTATTTTTTTTCTTCTTTTCTTTTTAATATAATGTTTTTTTATTTCTTTCAGCGATGAACACTTGATTCCTTCATTTGTGTGAAGTCTCACGAGAGAAACATTCTTCTTCCTTCCATTGTACAATGTTCTGTATCTTTTATTAATGAATGTAGCACCATCCAAATATTTTTCTCTAATATCTATTTGGCACAAATCCTTTCTCTTTTCCGTCACACTATAGGAGTGGTCTTGGTTGCTGAAGTAATGTGAATGAAATGAATTAGCCCGTATAGGATACTGTTTCACTCTTCCATTTGAACTGATAGATGTATGTGTTCCATTTGAATGAACTGAAACCATCGTTGGCAGATATCTATCCGCTAATTTTCCATCATAAGATAGAGGATAGTTCTTGTGGTTTAATCTTGAGAAGCCCCTTGAGGAGATCTCATTAGAACAGCTATCGTGGGAGATGCATCCATTTGAGTAGCTATCGTGGGAAATGAATCCATTTGAGTAGCTGTCGTGGGAAATGAATCCATTTGAGTAGCTGTCGTGGGAAATGAATCCATTTGAGCATCTGCCGTGGGAAAATATCCCATTTGAGAAGCTATCGTGGGAAATGAATCCATTTGAGCAGTTTCTGCTGGAAATGGAAGCACAAGAAATCGATTCTGTCAGGATTGATCCACGTGGAATTGTCTTCTCACTGGAGGTTCCTCCATTGTAAAAGTCATAACCATAGGAAGTTCTATTCAGTGCAATGTTAGAATTAGATTCTGCCATTCTCTCTTTACCCTTGTGTTGTTCATGGATAGATCCAACAAGAGCTCGTGACACAGAATGGTATGTCATATCAGAGGAGTCCTTCGAGAAAGGAACTAAGAATGGAGATCCTTGGTTCTTATTGTTCGTAATATCCACATCATTGTGTATATCTCTTTTCCCCATGGATAGTAATAATCCTGTACTTTCTAATGGAGAGGAACAAAATTGTTCATACTCATAATTTCGTTTTCTTTTTCGTTTAAACATAATATTTTCAAATTTTATATCTCTGTGTATAAAATTATTAGAGTGCAAGAAATCTAAAGCTATAAGTAGGTTCTTCATTATTTTTTTTATCTCATACACATCTAAGGAACCTGGTACAAGGGACATAAAATAATCTAATAAAGTGCAACCTTCACAAAATTCCATTATTATACAATTATAATTATCTTGACTAAAAATATCATATATAGATATAATATTCCTATGAGGATTGTTTTTTAAAAAAAGATATTTTTCAAAAACATTGTTCATTGAATAATCATTTTCTTCTTTCAAAATGACTTTCATTGCATATGGTTTCTTGTTAACCATATTAATGCATTTGTATACTTGAGATTTTTCTCCATAATATATTAATCCGATAATGTAATACATATTATTATAATATTTACAATCTTGGTGAAAACAACCATGGTATTTTATCTCACACAAGGAGTTACTACACTTGTTCTTCTCTCCTCTGTGTAAATGTTCCTCTTCTGTGTGGGATGAATTCCTTCTCCCATACATGTAACCTTCTCCTTCATCAGATTCATTGATTCTATTTTGCATCTCTTTCATACACTTGTCTTTCTCTTCTTCTTCTTCATTGCAGATTTCGCTTCTTACCTCTTCTATTGCATTTTTCTCCCAACAAGTATGATAAGCTAAACCGTCAATTGGTGCTGAACGATACTTATTAAATCCTTCCACATCTGTCCCTTCTTCACACCCCAAACATTTTTTCTCTTCATCATATTCTCTCCTAGATATACAAATGTTCGTACACAACGGGTTTCCAGCCTTTCCTTCATGCACATCATTTGTTCCCTTGTTTTCCAGACTCAAATTGTTCATTACTTTTCTTATCTTTCCCTTCTTATTTTTCCATTTATTCATAGCCATCTCATTCTTCCCACTCTTCAAACCCGTCTCATTCTTTCCACTCTTCGAACCTGTTTCATTCTTTCCTTTCTTCACATTCTTCCTTATATTTAATATTTTCCGATTTCTCACCCCCCTTTGCACACATTTCCTCACACTCAGAAAAGTTCTATCATGGTTATTCCCTCCTCTGACCTCAGGACATACATTTGGTGTATTTATCTGAACTTCATAATTACGAACGTGATATGTGTTATTATCTCTCCCACTGTGAGTGCAATGGATTTCATCACTTTGGAGTGGATGGTGATGAATTTGGTTCTTTCTCCTAAATGTTTTATCATTCATGTTAATCTTTTTCCACTGTTTATTTCCTACCTCTTTGAGAAACATGTTTGGATTTACTCTATTTGGGCGATAGCTAATGAGGGAATGGTAAAAATTATCATCAGAGTTTCCATTTTGTTGTATACTCCTATTATTGCACTTTGTACATTCGCTGAAGGAAAATAACTGGGAATCATTTTTCTCTCTTTGTGAAGAATTGGTGCAATGTTTGTCCATTACTACCTTACTATTTTCCTGTTTATTCTTCATCTCCTCCATCTCTTCCATCTTCTTCATCTCTTCCATCTTCTTCATCTCCTCCATCTTCTTCATCTCCTCCATCTTCTTCATCTCTTCCATCTTCTTCATCTCCTCCATCTTCTTCATCTCCTCCATCTTCTTCATCTCTTCCATCTTCTTCATCTCCTCATCTTCTTCTCCGTCACTTCCAAAACCCTTTCTCGTATTGCATTCCATGGTGTTAACAAATAATTTCCCGTCATTGCAATGGTAGCATTCATTACACCCCTTACTGAAATTTGGCTTCGAACAAAACATAGAATCACAATTAATCGTATAACATGTTAACACTTCGTCCAAACTTCTATTCCTTTTTAAAGTGGAAAAATAAAAATCATCTTCTTTTATGATGGGAAAGGAAGATCCTTTGCTCATTTTTTGACTATCAATCGAAGGATGTGTCTTCGATTTTTTTTGCAATTGGATATTTTTCATTAGCTTGCTTCTGCCATCGGTGTTACTGTCATCATCAGTAGCAGCAGCAACAGCATCATATTTGGGGTTCTCACCACCAACCTGATTTTCATCGTTTGGGGAATTACTAATAGGATTAACATTTTTTTTCTCATTCATATAATCGATTTCATCATTTTCAAATATCTCCTTTGATGCAGTACCAGACGAATTGGATTCTATGAATTCTTTGTAGCTAAAGACGGACTTTTTTTTAATGTTATTTAAAAATTGAAAATTTTTATACGAGTTAGCGTTTTCATTTTTTTTTTTTTTTTTTTTTTTTTTTTCCTTTCCTCTTTCTTTCTTTCCCCTTTTGTGCTTCCACTTATAGAAACATTTGATATCGTCATATAATTGCATCAATTCTTCATCACTTTTTTGACTTTTACTTTTCGTCTTTTTCTTTTTCTTTTCCATAACACAACTTTTCCTTATAGATTTAGTTAAATTATCAGCACTACCATTTTTACGACCATTGTTCAATAAAATAATCTCCAATTTTTTGTAAGAAGAAAGTTTTGAATCGCTATGTGTCTTTTTCGAAGTGTTGTTATTTCCATGAAGACTTTTCCTTTCCAAATTTAAAATATATTCTTCTTGTTGACACACAAACATGTCCTTTGCATACATATGAGATTTATGCACACTTACACTTCTACCTTTCCGTGTGTCACTTCTGATACTTCTATCTCGTCTCCTCTTTCCAACATCACCTTCACTTAACTTATCACGATCGTTGATGTGAATTCTGTGTGAATCATTCCTTTTGATACTGATTTTGTTCTTTCCTATGCTTTTTAAAATGGATACAGGTTCATAAGTAATGGGTGAATTTCGATCTACAAGTGTTGTATTATCCTTCTGATTCTCAAAGAATACACAATTTTTATTATCATTAACGTTAAAATATTGACTGATTGAGTCAAGAAGAGAAATGTTTCTCCTTCCTACTGGACTTCCATTATTCCCAGTTATTTCACTACAATCGAAATTACATGAATCGTTTCTGAAAATTTTAACGCAACATTTGAACAGTTTGCTACAGTTTCTACCTTCACGAGGGACGCTATCATTATTCCCCTCATTATTACTTTCATTACTGTTCTCATTGCTATTATCACTATTATTATCACTATTATTATCACTATTATTATCAATATTTTTATCAATATTTTTATCAATATCTTTATCAATATCTTTATCAATATTAATGTCACTATTAATATCGCTATCGCTGTCACTATCACTATTATTATCAATATTAATATCAATACCATTATCGTCACCTTTATAACTATTACTACCTTCATCATTGTCCAATTTTTCAAGGTAACAACAAGGAGATATTTTCTCCGAATTCCTTTGTCCATTTGGATTTTGAGAATTGGTGGAGTCACAACCGCCGTGATGGTAATTGTTCTTGTTCCTTACCTCTTTTCCATTCACATTATTTTCCAAGAAACTACTAATAATGGCCTTTTTTCCAGAACATTCTTTTAAGAAACAATTTATAATGGAACTTTCTTCAGAATCTCTTCTCTTCACTTGATCAATTTGGGGCTTCCTCAATTTGGTTTCGCAGTTATCTACTTCATTTCGTGCATCTTTTCTCCTCGTGCTATTTATAACTCTATAATTCTTACATTTATTTAATACATCCTCCGTATACAATTTACACGATTCTGTATCTTCACTCGAAGGGACATTGGATCTTTTTCTCGCGAATGAAAAAACAGTACTGCTGTCCTCTTGTGTGTTATAATTTTTCTTCATCATTTTTTTCCATATAAGAGAATTCAGATTCAACTTAACTTCACGATGTGCATAATTACTACCTGTTTTGCTACTCACTGAAGGAGTTGTGGAATCTAAAATGGTTGTAGATTCATTTCTATTTACTAAATTGTTATATTTGTAAAAGCTAACAAAATTAATTTTTTCCTTTCCTTTTTTGTTCCATTTTTGGCACCTCTTTTTGTACCCATTTTGGATTCCGCATACTTTCCTATTCGGAATAAGATACTCGATCGAAATGTCAGAATCAGCAGCTGCATTATTGTAATATCTTACAATCTCTGATCTATTTTTTAAATCGTCTAATTTATTTATCTCATCGTAATTTTCCAAATTTTTAAACTTCATGGAAGATTCTTCCATATTTTCATTGCGAATACTTGGACTTAACTCCTCCTCTTCCTCCTTTGATGATGAACAGTAATCCAAATTAAAGTGATGAAAATTTCCATTGTACATCGATTCACAACTACGTGTATTCATGGTATGATTTAATAATTGTAAATATTTATTTTTCATACATTTATTTGTTATGTGTTCATTTGTTATGTGTTCATTTGTTATGTGTTCATTTGTTACGTGTTCATCTGTTAAGTCTTCATTTGTTATGTATTTTTTTTTAATTGCTCCCTTTCTATCATCTCTATTATCAGTATGCTTATTTACATATGCTTTGTGTTCGTCAATATTTGGGGAAAAAACTTTTAGATCCTTTACAGTCTCATGCTTATCCATTTGAAAGCTCGATGGTGTAAAATGAAGTATGTGTTCAACGTCAGGAGTGTGTGCTTGTGTGAAATATCATGAAAATTAAAGTGCAGTTATCGGTCGTTTAAAAAAGAAGTGAACTGAATAGGGTGTCTTGTGTGTAAAAATAAAAATAAAGGAAATCAAAAACAAAAAAAAAAAAAAAAATAAAATAATAAAACGCTTAAACGTATCACGTATGGTTGACAAGTAAATTCAGGATAAACTCTGAAATATTATCATTCAACTGACAAACCCGTCTTTTATATGAATCTCGACAGCTTTTTGGGACCTATACGAAAAAGGTTTACCCACCAAATATAAAAAACACATAAATAACTTTCTGTTTAAGTTGCTTTGGATGCGTGTACCTTAATTTTGTTCTTTCCTCGGTTCATTCTTTCAACAAGTTATAAAAGCTCTTACTAGAGAAAATATAGTTGCACATAATACGGATAATCATTTTTTCGGAAGTGCAGTATACACAATAAAAGGGTACGTATATGGATCTACATAGGTGTATATAATGTGTGTTGTGTTATGTGGTATGTTATGTGGTGTGTTATGTAGTATGTCATCTAAACATAACTACTCATTATCACGCAGTAACACGAGGATGTGTGTAGGAAGTTCGGAGAATGTGGTAGTATGGTAGTATATAACTGCAAATACTACCTCAATATATGGTCTCTAATTTATGCTCAATTGAACATATGTAGAATTCTTGCAGGAGAATACAATTGAAGCAAGCGTGGGAATGCATAACAATAGACAGGATGTCCACATAAAAATAAAAAAGTTAAAATAATAAAAAATACATTTTTGTTGGAAAACATAAAAAAAAAAAAAATTAACACCTTTGCAAGAGTAAATATAAAAAAATTAATTAGAATTAATACTCAATTTCTTGTTAGACATGTTAGGTGAAGGGTTTTGAATATATATATATATATATTTAAATGAAGAAGCAGGATAGAAAATAAAACAAATTAAAAACATCAACTGGTGCAAAAAAAGAAAAAAAAAAGAAAGAAAAAGAAACGGTGAAGCAAATATATGCACCGTCAACACATTGAAAAAAAAAAAAAAAAAGCAAAAGCAGCAATTTTTTACTAATTGTATTAAAAGGGAATTTGTGTTTATAAATATGTACAGGTTATTTTAACATAATTCACGTCTCTGTTTTAAGCAATTTACAACAATTCGTAGAACCTCGAACAGCTCACAGAGACGCATCAAAACTTAATACATTTTTTGGATGCTTATATATAATGCTATTTAAAAAGCGATATCTCCCAAAAAGAAAACAAAAATATGATTATATGTATATGTACACATTTATGAAAACAAACGACATTCTTTACGCAACCCAAGCCGAGTGGACCTTGTATAATATATACCACAAAAGTAAACGTGAAAAATATATACACAAGTACACAGGTAGGGTATACATATATAAACATATTTTTGGGAAATGAAAAGTCCTAAAAAATTCTACGTTGCATTTTTTCCAAAAAGTTGGATGTGTCTGTCCACGACAACGGAGCATTTAAAGCGAATTTGTTAGGAAAAGGAAACTCGGTTGTATTGATGAAAAGGAAAAAAATTACAATAACTTCTACATAATTAATGTTTATAGCTGACTAAAATGAAAAAAAAAAAAAAAAAAAAAAAGTTGTTCATAGCAGCTGTTCATAACAGTTATAGGTAAAAAAATAAAATAAAGTAAAAACATACATCACATTATGGATTAAAATATGCAACAAACCAAATATGAAAATAAACCACACACACAGCCTTTAATAACCCTTGTAAGATCGTTCATTAGCAAATGGCGATGGTAATTTTAAAAAGGTAACTTTTGAATAAGTGTGGATTGGGGAGTATATTATTTATTTATTTATTCTATTTTTTTTTTTTTTTTTTTTTGCGGTTTTATATAATATCATTTGCAAAACATATACACACAAAAAACAACTGTTTTAAATTAAACGATAGAGGCACAACTTTTGGGGAAAAAGGAGCATGAACTGGAGCTAGCAAGAAAAATGTGTGCAAAAAAAAAAAAAAAAAAAAAAAAAAAAAAAAAAAAATGTAGCTATTATGACAACTTCATTTTTTTTTCTACTGTTTTTCCGCTTTTTTTTTTTTTTTTTTTTTTTTTTTATTAACCCGTTCATAACGAAAAATTTTACAATACTGAAGTACAGACCTTTTCATCGCATTATGTGTGAATAAATATATTTTTAAAATAAATAAAAATAGAGGGTGTGTTACTTTTTATTATTTTTTTCCTCTGTTGGACAGTTGTAATCTGTTGTATATTGTGTAAGAAATAACGTGCGATTTGAGGTTGGGGAAAAAAGGAAACGGAAGTGGCAATTTAAAAAAAGAAAAAATAAAAGAAAAGAAAAAAAGGGAAAAACAAATTCAAGCAAAGCAAATTCGAGTGAACTGACTCCCAACCTTTGATTACTAAAATTTGCACATATTTTCTCCGTTCCATACCGTTCTCTCATTGTCTCTCTCTCCGCCCTCTTGCGCTTGTTGGATATCAGAATCTTCCTTTTACATACACCTATGTGTGTGTAAGCAATTGGAGTCAGACAATTATCTAATAAATATGTTCACCACGGATTGGCAACGAAAACAATGCCCTTTTTTTGTGTTAACACATCATGTGCTGTTTATATGAATTTGCATAAACACATTTTTTTCTAAGCATGCATGTGGTGTGGTGATAAAAGAACATACATAATATGGTTTGGCTCCTCAGGGTAGCCACAAAAATAATTCAAAAGTTTTCCGAGCAAGGTTGGAAAAACGTACATGTGTACACATGTACACAATATGTGATAAATAAACAGGTGGAAAAACAACAAAAAAAAAAAAAAAAAAAAAAAATTAGTACAGGAAAACAAATGAATGAAACAATACAAATAAAAATATATGACAAAACTACACCACGTGATGAACACGTGCGGAAGTACCTCCCTTCCCTGCCCTTCCCCATCCATCCAAACACACACACACACCATAAGAATATACCACAAATAAATCATTCTGGAATTTTCTAAACACCACTAGTTATATAATGAGCTAATGTAGCAATGCATAGAGTATTTCTAACTTCCTGCAGAGCGATATCATTATTACTAAGTTTGGATGTAACTCTTAAGCATTTCAAAACAACATGCGGATTTATTTGCTTAAAAATTAACAAGTACTGGACTTTTTTTAAAATTGCAACGAAAGACTCATCAAATACATCATGTTTAAAAAAAAAAAACAAACATAACATGATATTCCCCACTTCCTTTACATCAACTTTTTGCATAAGTTCCCCAACAATTTTGACATGTTTGTTTCCAATTTCTTTTTTATTATTATAACAAAAGGTTTTTAAAATAATACTTAGTCCCTTTTCAGTAATCTTCATTTTTGCAATGTCATTATTTAATAGCAATTTTTGAAGCAGTGTGCTAATTTCTTCCATTTTTTTTTCATCTTTTGTTTTTTCTGCACAAAAGTATAAAGCTATATATGATAAATAATCTAGACCCCCTAATTTATTTTCTAATATATCCCAGAATAAGTTTATCAAATGTGTGAATTTTGGATCATATGATGTGCTATTACAGTAGGCATGGAACATTACAACTACCTCATTTAAGCTAAATGAATTTCTTATAACTTTTATTCTATCGTGAACTAATTCCCAAATATAAGGGTTGTTAATTCTCCTTTTGTTAGTATTTTCGCAAGTATGTGCCAACGCTGTATTGTTCATTTTTGAAATACGTCTAATCAAAGCATCTTCAAAGTTATAGGATTCTTCTGTTTCTTTTATGGTATCCCTTTTTTTTTGCAAGTGAAAGGAAAATGATGCCTTTTTCCCACTAAGGAGAAAATATTTATTCATGCTATTCCTTTGCCCAAGAAGCCGAATGATCATCCTTCCCCACAGATTCATAATTTTCAAAAAAAAGGTAATAATTTGGAATACATTCAATGAAAATTAAAATGAAAACAATCCGTTAAGTGCATTATATTATGTATATATTTGAACGACACACCTCATGAAGAGAGTAAAACTTATTCTCCTAATTTATTGCTTCAGTGCGCTCAGACACGTATATATACCAAAGCAAAATCTTTAATTTTAGCATAAGATATCATAAGACCTTTTCTTTTCTCATGCACTTATTTCCATGTGTACTCTTTAGAAATCATTTTACTTGTGTTGATGCTCCGACACCTTCGGGGTCGTGCCAAACGGTGCTATCTTGAAGATATCCCATGTGCATACATATACAAACAGAAGTATATATCTATTTAAGAATTTATAGCACTGAACAAGTCTTCTGAGGGGCGGGGTCTATAATCACTACATATATAGGGGTAACACCTGCAATGTGTATAAAAAGTTGCAAAAAAGTTATGCACGAATTGTACATTTTAATGCAAGAAAATCAGAAAAGAAATACGATTTGTAATAATTTTTTTTTTTTTTTTTTTTTGTTTCTTTTTCTCACAATTATACTGCGGTAGCAGTAAAAATAGGATTGGTTAATATGAATAGATATGTCTCTCTTCAAAATATCGCAAAGTGGGATGGGAAAATGATACGTTGGTAGGATTTTATAACTTATATTCGATGCAAGATTTTGTTGCAGCTGCTGACCACACGTTTATGCTTATTTGTATTTTCTTTTTTTTGAACATGATGTCAGAAAAGTTAGATAACTTAAGAATATTCTTTTAGATCACTTTTCTGGCATCATGTTGAAAAAAAAGAAAATACAAAATAAATGAATATATAAAAATAAACAGATGAACAGATGAACAGATGAACAGGTACATATGTATTCATATCCATATAAACAAAATTTCCGATGCAGCACCGGTGTACGTAAAGAGCATTTAAAAAGGGCCATATTGAGGGTTTTTCAAAATTTAAAAACTCTTTAATATATTATCCATATTTTTACCGTCCCCTATCGTCCTGGCAACGTTTCCAGTGATGCATTTATTTTTTTGATAAATGATACCAAACTATGGCTCTTTGTCAGGCTGGTTACTTTTTCACGAAGAATTGTAAAAAAAAAAAAAAAAAAAAAAATTAAGCAACGTTTACATTACAAGCAAACACGAGTGAGATTTTTTTTTTTTTTTTTTTTTTTTTTTTTTTTTTGCCTCTTTACAGAAGAAGATCATTTGATGTGAAAGTTAAGGAGTCTCTACCCTTGCTACATTTTTTTGAAAGTAGCAAATTTGCAGACTAGGGTTATACATATTATAACATATATTATGTTATATATTTTTAAATATTTTGTTTTCCTCATTTTGTAAGGTTAAAAATAGTTTTTTTTTTTTTTCATCTACCAAGTAAGCGCGAAATAAGGTACTTACTTTCCTTTACCCGTAGTGTATATTGGGGCTGAATACACTTGTAGAAAAAGGTTGAGTTAAAAGAAAGCATTTTTATAAAGGACGCATGTATATAACAACAGGAATGTACGTATGACTGTGTTCCTACGTATTTATGCACCCCGCTCAATATTAGTATATCTATATATATATATGCTTGTATATATATATATATATACAAGGTATGTGCATTTATCTGGAACTCTGAAGGAATCTGTTGAGGAGGCAAACAAGAACTTTTCCGCTTTTTGTTTTCATTTCATTTGAAAGGTAAAATTTACCTGTTAAGGCATTACATCACATTAGTTCCACTCAAAGGACCATGAAAGGAGGAGAAGCAACAGGAGTAGAAGAAGCAGGAGGAGAACCAGTTGGAGAAGCGGCGCCAGCACCTGCGTTAGAACCAGCGTTAGCAGGAGCAGCTGGGGAGAGACGTCGTAAGGGGAAGGGAGGATGTCAAGTGAAAAAAGTGACGTTCCGAGATCCCCTCGTAGTAGGGGAAATTAGAGAAAATGAGAAGCACGAATTTAATGAAACATTTTGTGGCGAAGAAGAATATACAAAGGATTTGGATGAGGGGGAACTGTCAGTGCTGATGAGAAGTTTCAACCCTCTCGATTTTGGCATTAAAGAAAAGTTAAGTGAAAGTGAAAAAAAAATACTCATTAGAGAAATTTTCGGTGGAAAAAATAATAATTTTGCCCCTCCATCGTGCGTTACAAAGACAAACAAAGAAAAAAAATGTATTATCATTTTGGAAGATGTACAATTGAAAGATCCTAAGGAATCACATGATGATGAAATGGATAGAAGTATTAAGAAACAAGGGGAAAATAAATATGATAATCATGTAAAGGATATAAAAAATGATAGTATAAAAAAACCAAAGAGGAAAAAAAAAAAAAAGAATAATAAAAAAGAGACAAAAAAAAATGGAAAAAGGGAAAAGGGGGATGATGATCCTTTGGCTTATCTGGATGGAGATTGTTATTTCCCGAATGATGGATATGACTATGAACAACATTTAAAAACGATAAGTCAGAATTTTGTGGAGATAAAACCTAATAGTGAAAATAAATTTTTTGAGGTTAAACCGACAAGTGAAGAAGAAAGAGAGTTATTTAAAACTTTCGATTCTGAGAATTATGAAGAATTAAATGATAATTTTGTTTTTGAAGCACAGGATGTGAGTACCATTGACAACTTGGATGTGTCAGAGGAAATTATTTGGGGCGATTCCAACTCATTTTTACCATTTAGTGGTATCAGAAGTGATGTCAATACTGGTCATATGATTATTAATTCGGAGCATTTAACGGAACTCGGAGAGATTGAGGATGGAGATATGTCCACAGGTGCGTCTATCAGTGTGGAAGGAACAGACGAAGGAGCAGACGAAGGAGCTACGTTGTCTCAATCGAACAGAAAATACAGCGACAGGTGCGACCCCCATAATGCAGTAGAGAAGATAAATGGACGTGTTATCTTTGACGAAGGGGCAAATTTGAGAAATCACACATCTGAGAACATAAACCTAGATGTATTAAAAAAAGGGGATAATGATTTGAATGCACTTAAACTTAGCGACCTTGTCGAACTGGAGATGGAAAAAGTAAAGAGCAGAAATCTGAATGAAATAAAAAACCTGGTTACAAAGAAGAAACGCAAAAAGAAACAACAAAATTGTAGGGGAAATGATACAAATAATGTATTTGTCAATGTGCATCCAGAGGATAAGAACAAAATACTGCAAATTTTGAATTTACAGAAAGAGGAAGAAAATGAAATGCATTGCATAAACTCCTTTTCAGGTGATCCTGGGGAACTTTCCTCCATTGCATCCACAGCATCATCGTTTTCATACGATTGTGAAACAATTCTAACAACAAAGACTAATACGACAAATCATCCCTACAAGTTAATTATACCAAAGAAAATTACTACTTCCTCTTGTCCACCAAAGATGAATAACATCCTCAGCAGTACCAACACATGCAAGAGAAAGGAGAATGAGAAAAATGCTGAATCGATTAAGTTGGAGAATTACTTAGTTCTTGAAAAGGTAAGTATCTTCGTTAGACAGAGAAAATTGGATTAAAATTTAGACTCCCACTCCCTAATCACCTGAAATAGTGGTTCCAAAGGTGTACTTATACACCCTCTTTGTATATGATTTGTGTTGACTACAGCGAAGGCGTACTGCTGTCGGGATGACAGATGCTATATTTTTTCACCATTTCATATTGGTTATTCATTTGTGTGTCTTTCCACCTCTTGCAGATAAATGTTACCCGTGCGAAAAATGAAACTCCAGAAGAAAAGAGGGATCGAAAAAAATCCGTTAAAGAAGCGCAAAGACTGAACAGGAAATTGAAAAAGGAAAATTTGCTTCTCATGAAGGTACTTTTGATGCTTCCCTTCAATTTCTCTATCTCTCCTCATACACCTAGTTTTGTTTTCGCTGTTGCTCTAATTTTGTTTTTCTTTCTTTTACTCTATTTTATTTGTAACATTTTTTTTTTTTCTTTTTTTTTTTTTTTTTTTTTGTCATTCCACAGAACGAGAAGAAAATGATGAACAAGAAAATGAATCCCTTTGACATAAGAGATAACGTGAAATACATCAAATTGTGAAATTGGTCAGGATGAGTTTTTTCCAATTTTTTTTTTTTTTTTTTTTTTTTTTTTTTCTAACAATTTTGTTTTCTTCGGTTATGTTCCACCCTCGTTGCCAAACTCCTCTTTTGGGAGGATGCAATTGAATGTCCACACATACACGAAAAAAAATAAAAAAATAGAAATAACGAACCTGTAATTTCATTGCACACGTAGATTAGAGATTAGCTTTGTGGGTGTAGCAGAGAGGACAGCATATACTGATGTTTTTTATTTTACTCCATTTCTTGTCCGTTTTTTTTTTTTTTTTTTTTTTGATACCTTCTTATTCTGCTTTAATTCATATTTTTTCGTTCCATGAAAAGCAACCCACTTCACCCTTTCGAAATGTGTTTTTCACAAAACGTTATTATTTTATATGCCACACGTAGCATAACATATCATAGCAGAAAAGAAAAAGGAAATAGGCAAAAAAAAAAAAAAGCAAATGTCAAAACGTCACTTTAAAATTTTGTTAAAGGAGAGCTGCGACTTCTTCGCATTTCAAATGGAAAAATAGTTATTCATCAAAGGTAAACCAAAAAAAAAAAAAAAAAAAAAAAAAAAAAGGAAAAGTGTGGAGGAGTGAAGGAGTGAAGGAGTGAAGGCACGCATTAACCAACATCACCAGCCTTTCCACTTCGCGCACATGCAGGAGCATAGGGTATAAAAAAAAAAAAATGCAGATTGAACAAATTTAAAGATTTTTTTGTTCGCAGAAGGGAACAATCACTTGAACAAAGTGCGTTTTAACAATGTTGTAATACCTGTCTTCATGATTAACCAGTTCATTCTGTTCATCTCTACGATCTGTAAATTTGTTTGTAAGTTTTTCTCCATAGAGATATTTCATATGTACATGTTCCTCGAACAATTTGTGAATAAAAGAAAAATCGCCCAAAGTTTTATTTAAATGGTAAATGATTTTACGAATGAAATTTTGATTAAATGTGTAAAAAAAGTCTTTTGGATCCCAGTTCATTATATTTTTCTCTTGTAGACGTACAAATTTGTTTAAAAATTTGTGCAAATAATTGGAAGTATTCAATTCATATTTCTCACTGTCTGTTTCTCTTTCCTCATTTCTTATCTCTGGTTTATGCGCTAAAAATTGATCATTTCCATATGTACCTAAAACGGAATAAGTATTCAATTTCGAAAAATTCTTATAAAAATTTGGATACATTATTTTAAACAACTCCACGATCTCGTCTTTTTTCAGTTTGCTGACTTTACAAATAGTGCTTTTCCATTTCGAGGTTCGTCTTTTTTTATTTCTTCCTTTTTTAACAAGACATTTTTCTCTCATTCTCCTTTTCCCCTTACTATGCTCATGACTGCTGTCGCCACTGCTTTGAGTTTCTGTATCTAACGGATAGGCACAACAAACCCTTTTAAAACGAGCCCTTTTAATGCGAACCCTTTTAACGCGAACCCTTCTAATTTGAATCTCATCTATACACCCTTTCAAAATGTTATTAAAAAACACATGAGAAAATGTACGATCGAAATGCATATCAAATTGCTGTCTATCCATTGTGTTCCTTTTGAAAAATAAATTTCGACTTTGAAAATGAACCTTCATTTGCGGGCACATATATACATTCAGATGTCCTTTTAAATAGACATAATAAATATGATTCTTTTCATCTACTTGTTCGCTTAGTGTGTCTTTCATATCGACACGCTTTTCTTTTCTATTCCTGAACCATGTGGTAGCCTGGGAACTACTGCTATGATAGTCTCTTAACCGTTTTTTTATTTTTTTTCGATCTTCTTTCTCAGTTCCAATTTCAATTCTTGGTGCATGTTTACTAGAAATTGCTTTCTCCTTTTTCATTACACTATCTTCAGCATTTTGTATTTTTTCGGGGAAAACTTTTTTTTTCTTCTTCACTATCTCGTTTTCATTATTTCTAGTCACACGTTTTGACGTTCTTTTTTTTATATTATCTTGGACTGTGCATTTCTTTATCTCACTTTGCTTTTCCATCTCCTTCAACGACTCTTTTTTAATGAAAATGTTGTAGTTGTGAGGAACCTCATCAGGTCGCTCATTGGGTGACCCTTTTAAAAGGTCAGTAACCGAGTCTGCAGAGAGATCGTGTCTCTTCAACTTCTCCACCAGCAGATTTCCAGCGGTCTCCACCCCATCAAAGCTTTCATCCGATTTAAAATGATTCTTAAGTTTCTTATTTATTGGGAATTTTTTTTTTCTTCTAAGGATTATTTTTACTCGTTTCCTTTGCATAATGGTACTGTCGTTTCTCCCCTCCGTCTGCCACGACTGGCTCGACTGGTTCGACTGATCATCCCCGCCCTTTCTTCTTCTTCTTCTTCTTCCTCTTCTTCTTCTTCTTCTCCTCCTCCTCTCCATTTTAACAAAAATCCTAAGTAGCTCATGAGATATAAAAACCTTGTATTTAATGGAACATGTTGTGCACAAACTTTTCACAATTTTACTAATTTTCCTCATGAACATTTTTTCCGTTTTGCTGCCTTTCCTTTTGGATAAAATCCTCTTCATGCTTTTTATGCATCTGTGAAGACGTCTCGATTTTATGTTTTCTAAAACTTTTTTCATTCCCATGACACCTCGACTGTGGGAATTATAACCCTCCTTACGCCCCTTCCGATATGCACAACCGGGGTTCTTATCAAATGAAAGGCTGTCGATTCCACTTCTATCGAGCCTACTTCTACTAGCTCTATTGCTGTCGATGATAGCTGAGGTAAGACTACCCTCAGAGAGGGCAATGAATTCATTTCTGAAGTGATTAATGGGTTGAAGCGTTCTACCCATGTCCCATTCCTCAATGGAAGACGACATGTCTATTCCTCGACGTGAATCCAGCAAACTTGTGTGGAATTTATGCATACCATCAATTTCATATTTCAAGTGAGTTAAACTTAGCTGCTCCGTGGATGCTTTATCGTCTAAATAAAATTCTTTTAAAAATTGTAAATAATTTCTATGCAATAATTCGAATCGTTTTATATATACATCTCTGCGGTTGAAATATGAATAGTTATAAGTGTCCCATTGGAAGGAACCTATCTCATCATTGTTCTGCATGCTCAGATGTTTCATCTGGACATACTCATTCAGTATATTTATTTTGTACTGATACCTTGTGAATTCTTTGAGTGTAAAAAAAAAATAACTTTTTTCCATTTTCAAATTTTCCTGTATTTTTTTTTTCTCTAAGTTGTGCAAAATGGAGGGGGGTGTTCTCAGGTAAGTCAAACCAGAGTATGACAAATCCTGCCAATCTGTTTTGATTTGAGACAAATAAAAATCGGAAAAGATGACATAACTCCAAATGTGAGAATCCTCAAGGATATTTAAACATGATAACAGCGTCGTTTTCCCAATAGGTATAAGTCCTCGATAAATTTTTTTCATGCAATTAATTTTGCTGTTCTTTAATTCACCTGGTGCATGCACGTAAACTTCTTTGCTTCTCCAACTTGGGTTATTAGAATGCGGGAAATTTCCTACAATATTGGAAACATTGAGCACACTTTCTTCATCTCTTCTCTTAGGAATTGTGTGAAAAAGTTTCTCTTTTTTGTTCGTCCTTTCTTGTGAGTATTCCATATCATTGTGTAATGCTCCGTTTCCTTCACGACAACTACTCCTTAAATTATTCAAACGTGAGAAAATTCTTTTCTGAAGTTCCTCTATTTTTTTCTTAATAGCATCTGCGTTGCGAATGTCTTTTTTTTTAATATTTCCCTTCTGTTGATCAATTTCGCTAGATGATTTTTCTTTTTTTAATTCTTCACCTGATTTCACTTTGTTTCTCCTTTCATCAATTTCCATGTTAACCGCATTAAAAAATGAATCATTCGAATGGAAATATCCAAATTTACTGTTTCTCTCCTTCATCTTTTTTTTAATTGATGAGTCGTTAACATGATAGACACTTGATTCGATACATATGGATTCTCTTTTCTGGTTCCACTTGGCATCATCACTAAGAAATTTGTTTTGACCTGACATTTTTTTCTCTTCTCCAAGTGACTCATTTCTTCTCTTCTCCAAAATTAACTCCTTGAAGTACTGTGCTATATCTGTTTGTGGATTAATTTCCTGTTTTTTGTGATTTAGATTCAGTGCCTCTCCCCCTCGCTTCTGATGATCTGGATTACGGATACATTTAGAGTAGTAATTGTTACTTCTCTTGGAATGTCTGCCATAATGATTTGGAACATACTCATTAGACGCTCTTGCATGATTGCCCTTGACAAGGTTCCCTATTGTTGTACTGTTCGCTTTGGAGCAGGTACGCTGTCTGTATGGGCCACTACAGACGCTACTTCTGTCACTCCGATCACTCCTGTTACTCTTATCACTCATATCCTCCCCATCCATGTTGACCCTTCCCCTCCATGAGAACGTCCCCTCCCAAGCCACACCACATTTGACCTCTCTCTCTTTTTTTTTTTTCTGATCTCTCTCCTTCTGAAAATTGAGTTCCAATAAGTTCACATATGGATAGGAAAACATGTGATCTATGATTGAGTTGAAAATTTGTCTGAACTTTATGTTGTACTCTTTTGTGCTGCACATTTCGTTTTGTCCTTTTTCATCCGTCTCGCTCTTTTCGATTGACATGGAAGGAAGACTCTCCTCCGTGTTGCCATTCGAATTTTCATAGACGCTATTATCTGGTATGTATTTATTTCTCTTCTCACGTTTGCAATCCTCATTAAATTCTTCTCTTTCAACGGACAGCAGATATCTTGTAATTTCTCTCATGTTATAACTGTTGATATTCACATCGGGAAATCCGTTTTGAATCTCGTTTTGAGTCTCGTTTTGAATCTCGTTTTGAGTCTCGTTTTGAGTCTCGTTTTGAATCTCGTTTTGAGTCTCGTTTTGAGTCTCGTTTTGAGTCTCGTTTGGAAGTTCCTTTTCCAACCCCCACTTGGATTGTTCATAATGTGAGTAACTCTCATTTGCAATTCCCTCCACGCCATTTTCCCCACCAACTTGGTTCCTTTTTTCAGCTGAATCGTCAATGGGGGTCGAGCAGATTCCCTGTTTTATGCACCTACACCCTTGGGGAGACAGTTCACCCAATGGTTCATCTAACTTTGTCTCGTTCTTCCTCGCATCGGTTCCTTTAATGCATCCACAACATTGTCTTGCATTCATGTTGGCATCTTCTCTCTCGTGAGAAGTAGCTGCTCCTACACTATGCTGCACCCTGTCATGATCAAAAGTAAAGTTGTCATTTTCGGTCTTACCTAGCCTATAAAGATAACATTCTTCCATCTCCAAATGGCAATTCTCCATTTCTTTTCTTTTTTTTTCTCATGAAAAGATATTACATGCAAACATTCATCAGGCACAGAAATGTGAAGAGGGTTGCAAGTTCATGTTTAGTCTCCTTCGTTACGGCAGCATGCTTATATACATATATATATATATATATGTATACATGTGTATGTACATATGGACGTTCTTTTTCTTTCTTTTTCTTTTTTTTTGCCCCTCTGGTTTTCCTTTTATGCACCCTACTTATTTCAATTTTGTAATACCCAATTTTGTATAATGTAACAATTTAAATGTAAAATAAGACCCTCTTTTTATTTCTGCTGAATTCTTCGTGTAACAAATGATGCTTATTTCTAGGGAAATACGTTTCCTCTGTTTCCTCTTTACAATTTTTCACATTGCAAAAGTGGTTATATTGATCCACAGCTCGTCCTTACAAAATATGCTCTTATGTGTCGTGTGAGTTGTTATCGGCTTAACTTCTTACGTGCCGTGCTGGATTTTATTGGTTTATTTGTTTTTCCTTCTTACGTGTCCCATTTTGAGGTCTTAATTTTTTTTTTTTTTATCACACTTAGGTCAACATCGACCAATTTCTCTCTACCACTTCTCCCTTCTTGCCATTCGTGAGCGTAAGGAAGGGTAGAGAAGGGCCTAGGAGGTTCACACACGTTCACCACCTCTACTCTAACTTCGCTAATCCAAAAAGAAACAGAAAAAAGAAAACAATAACAAAAAAAAAAAAAAAAATAAAATAAAAATAAAATAAAATAAAAATAAAAAAAAATAAACACTGTGCCTTTAGAAAGTGCAGTGCTGCAACTGAATAAGCTACATTTTTTGGGTAATTTTTTTTAAACGCTTATGCAAAAACTGATTCCACACCTCCCAGCCATCAACGCGACAAAAAAGGGTGATTTCCCTCAGAAATTACCTATTTCCAAAAAGAAAAAAAAAAAGAGGAAACATTTCTACAGGATGGCATTATTTTCAAATTTGCTTCCCGTTTCTGTTAGGTCTTGGATTTTTTTTTTTTTTTACATTTTCCCTTCCCGGTGGATTTTCTTTTCATGAAGGAAATGTAAATGAGCGTACATCTGCAGGTACACACCTTTACCTAGCTGCGATTTACCTAGCTGCGATTTACCTAGCTGCGATTTACCTAGCTGCAATTTACCTTGCTTCGATCCACCTTGCTGCCATTCACCTTGCTTCGATTCACTTTTGTGCGATGGATTCAGAATTAAAAAAAAGATGCTTGGATTAAGTACGCGTAGATTAGCTGGGTATCCCAAAGCCTCTTTCCATGAGCAGAACATAAACCCATTTTCGAATGTACAATGGTATGTACATGTATGCAAATGTGGTTTGCATCTGAGTGTGTATTTGCAAACTCCCTTGTGTCAATGTTTAGGGAACCTCTCCGCCTCTCCCACTGTGGGTAGCTCCTCGCAGCACATGCTACACCAAAAGCGGGTTCATATGCTGACCCGTGTGTTGATTTATATGCTGAACCGTGTGTTGATTTATATGCTGACCCGTGTGTTGATTTATATGCTGAACCGTGTGTTGATTTATATGCTGACCCGTGTGTTGATTTATATGCTGAACCGTGTGTTGATTTATATGCTGACCCGTGTACTGATTTATATGCAAACCCGTGTACTGATTTATATGCAAACCCGTGTACTGATTTATATGCAAACCCATGTACTGATTTATATGCAAACCCATGTACTGATTTATATGCAAACCCATGTACTGATTTATATGCCAACTCATAAACTTCTGCGTTCTGCTTCCCCTGTTGGCATTTGCAGGAAAAGCACGCCTTTCATGAAGAAGAACATGCCCAAAACGGACATTTTTGCAGAAGAACATGTGTCGAAGAATGCAATCAGTGTGTTTGACAAGGAAAAGGGTAATTGGTTTGTTATTGATGCATATAACAAAAGCGTTGGAAGTCTAAGTGTATGCATCTGCAAGCTGTTGCAAGGGAAGTACAGAGTTGATTACAATTCCAATAGAGTGAACAGTAGTAGTGTAATAGTAGTTAACGCAATTCATGTTAAGTTTTATGGACACACCTGGGATACAAAGATATATAAATTTCCAAGAAAAAGTCATTCAAAAGGTCATAAAATATTAACATGCAAGACAGTTTTTGCTAGAAACCCTTCCATGATATTAAACTTAGCTGTTAAAAGAATGCTACCAAATAATAGATTGCGACAAATTTTTTATAGAAAACTTTTTGTTTATCCAGGAGCTCTTCACCCACACTGGAGTATACCTCAAGTCATAGTTCCAAAGAAGGAAATGGATTCTAATTCTGACCAAAGTAGAATAATGGCATTTACTGTTGTGTAAATTGTTGGTGTGTTGTTCCAGGTCGTACATATCATATGTCTCCTTGTGATCCACACCCCCTTCCCCTCCCTTTTTTTTTTTTTTTTTTTTTTTTTTTTTTTTTTTTTTTTCTTTTTTTTTTTTTTTTTTTTTTTTTTTTTTTTTTTTTTTCTCTCTCTTTTTCTTTTTAAATCAGTCCTTTATTTTTTTTTTTTTTTTTTTTAATGAGAACCCCTCGAAAAGATAACATTTTTTTGCTTACCCCTTTTGCATAAAAAAAAAAAAAAAAAAAAATCTAAAAAAAAAACGAGAAAAAAGGCATTTTTTTTGCTTTCTTTTAATTTTTCACTCCCTTTTTTTTTTTTTTTTTTTTTTTTTCTCTCTCTTTCCGTCAGTCAGTCAGTCCTTTATTTTTTTTTTTTTTTTTTTTAATGAGGACCCCTCGAAGAGATAACATTTTTGTGCTTACCCCGTGTGCATAGAAAAAAAAAAAAAAAAAAAACTAACAAAAGAACGAGAACAAGGCGATTTTCTATGCATCCTTGTAATGTTTTAATCCCTTTTTTTTTTTTTTTTTTTCTTCTCACTGATGTGCAATATTTTCAAATAAAACTAAAGTTGTAACATATTTGAATAGGAAAATAATTCATCTGTTGAATTGTTTTGCTTTTCTCTGTATTAACTCTTACTGAATGATTTTACATATGTAAACATGATGGTTGGAATAAGGAAAAAAAAAAAAAAAGCTCATGCCACAAGGTACCAATATATTTGGTCACTATGTATGATATCTTGATTTTTAAAAGGTATCATTTACAAACGAACTATTATAATTTCTTTACAAATAGGTAGAGATGTATGACTGTGTCTAGGTATTTATTATGATTCTGTGTGTTATCTGTTGTGTAGCTTTCCAGCGTCAATTTGGCATCACATCTATTGACAATTTTTAAGGAAAATTTCTATGCACATTGGGAAGGCGTCGTGGGAGAGTCGAGGAGACAATGGACAGATGAGCGGATGGGCCAATAAGCGGAAAGAGGAAGGGTTGAAACTTTCCCCAGGGTGACACAACCGGGTGTATTTACAAAAAGAACACAGACATGTACGTGTGTATGGATATACTTCTCACTTGTCAACACTTCAAACGAGAAAGACACGAGAAAAATATGCTTCAAAGAGGGTGTGCCTTGTTCTCTCCTGCTGCTCCTCCTCCCCACCACCCTTCGTTTCATGTACCTCTGAAAGTGTGCAAAAGTGCATATAAATATAAATATAAATGAATATGTTTTCTCATAATGTAATCCTAGAGATGGTGGCCCATCTCAACTCAGCTTGAGGAATGTAATTGCAGTATTGCTGCTTTTTTACAGACAAGAATAATAAAAAATAAAATAAAATAAATAAATGAGCAGAAGGAAGATATATGAGGTGGGGAAGGAGTAATGACAAACATAAAAGCCAAAGAAAAACAACTGGCAAAGGGGGGGGGGGAAAAAAAACAAAAAAAAACAAAAAAAACATTTCATTAAAGCAAAGACTTATACCTTAACCATTTGATCATGCAAGTGACAAGTTAAAAGATTGCCAAAGTAACCATCTCTCTCATATGCACAAAAGTGAGAAAGGTTTTTGCCTTTCGTGTCCTTTACCATTTTGTAAAACTAGCGTAGGGGACAAGTGCCTCCCCGTTGCTTACACCTTTGCATGGAAAGAAACGCTCACGTTTGTCACGTTCATTTAATTTATTCGCCTCGCTCTTTACTTGGCCTCTCTTCGTTCTCTCTTTACTTGGCCTCTCTTCGTTCTCTCTTTATTTGGCCGCTCTTCGTTCTCTCTTTACTTGGCCTCTCTTCGTTCTCTCTTTACTTGGCCTCTCTTCGTTCTCTCTTTTTTTGGCCTCTCTTCGTTCTCTCTTTACTTGGCCTCTCTTCGTTCTCTCTTTACTTGGCCTCTCTTCGTTCTCTCTTTACTTGGCCTCTCTTCGTTCTCTCTTTTTTTGGCCTCTATTCTGCTCGCTCCTTATTTGGCTCTTTTTGTTCGCCTTTTTCTTCAATCAAGGGGACGAGCAGGCGCGCACATACTTTCAGAGTAACCAGATTTGGAAATACAAACTTTTGAATTCTTTCCATGTTCAAATATGTTCGCATAATTATTCATACCTAAGTCATACATATTTTGCATTTCCTTTTACGTATACCCAATATGAAAGAAAAAACGTGGAGGTGACAAATTTATTGCTCTTATTCTTCTAATAGCACTCGCAAAAAGGAGAGGAATATATTTGGGCCCCCTACCACCCCCCTATGTTACCTTTGTTATACATATATATATATATATATATATGTATACATAAATATGTTTACCCTTATTTTGAGATTAATAAGTTGGTAGTACTGAAGAGGCTCCGTCAGAACATTCAGTCTGTGTATATGTGTATGCGTGTGTGTATATGAATCAGCGAGAGTAAGGATCTCAAAACACTTTTTTGGAAATATCAGTTTTTATATAATCCATTTGCACTTGTAATTCATGCGTATTATTAGCTATGTAGTACTTCCCAAACTATGCGAACAGACACAAAAGGCATAAATATGCTTAGGCATAGTGACATATAAATACGTGATTATGGCACCATGAATAGGTATTTGAAGATACAGCTAGAAACGGGGCGAGGTGGGGAAGGTACATAGGATGCTTCACCACAGTTTAACTTTTTTTTTTTTTTTTTTTTTTTTTTTTTTTTTTTTTACATAACAAGTAAAATGTAACATGTAGCACTTTAACACCTTTTTATGCCATTACCTACTTGGGAGAGAAGAAAAAAAAAAAAAAAAAAAAAAAACCTTCCTTCAAAATACCCGCACGGGCATTGTCATACATTTATACAATTCCACTGCCGTTAAGTTATGTCATCCCAGTGGCATGCTTTTATATGTGTATATAATATACATATGTATGACAGGATTATTTTGCAGTTTACGCCTTTTTTATAATTACCCTCCACCTATCGCGAACTGTTTTGTTTTACTTTAATATATATGTACATATGTATGTATATATGTATGTATACATGTACATATGTATATATATATATTTTTTTTTTTTTTTTTTTATCTCCATTCGTACCTCCCCTTTTGCCCGCACGCTTCCCCATTTTTTTTCTCCTTTTCGCCCAGCCCTTGTGACACGTTGAAATCTCTCTTACACAGAAGGCGAGGCAGGTTTCTTAGTCCACGACAATTCCTTTTCCTTTTTTCCAGCTACCCTGGTGGTGCCGAGCAAACATGGCTCTGAAAAGCATAAACTTAAGTGGGAACTTCAACTGGTGCCCCTTTGAAGAATACAAGAATTACTTGATTTGTTTTAATTCACACAATTTACTGTACTCAAATAATAACAATTTAAACAATTATGTGTATCTATTAGATATTAATCTGAACAATGATATACGTAACCTAGAAATTGTAAGTAAGTTAAATTTTGAAGAAGCATTAAAGAATGAACAAAGTGGCAAAAAGAAAAATACAAACGAATATGTAACATGTTTCGAATGGATAAACTGCCATAATTTTGTGGAAACGGAAAATGAAGATGAATTAAATAAAGGAATAATTGTTGGTGGTTTAACAAATGGTGATATAATTTTATTAAATGCTCAGAATTTATTTGATGAAAAAGCAAGTTATGAAAATTTTATATTAAGTAAAGTAAATGTGCATGAAGATTCTATAAACTGTTTAGAATTTAATAAACATAAAAATCATTTAATAGCAACAGGTGGAAATGATGGACAGTTGTTCATAACAGATATTGAAAATATATGTTCTCCAACATCATATGATCCATATTTAGAAAAGAATAATTTACAAAAAATTACCTGTCTTAATTGGAATCAAAAAGTATCTCATATCTTAGCTACTTCATCAAATAATGGAAATACAATCATTTGGGATTTGAAAATAAAAAAATCAGCTGTCAGTTTTAGGGATCCTCACAATAGAACAAGAACTTCTTCTCTCGCATGGCTAGCTAATCAACCAACGCAAATTTTAGTTTCCTATGATGATGATAAAAGTCCATGCTTACAACTCTGGGATTTGAGAAATTCAAATTATCCAATCAAAGAAATAATTGGACATTCAAAAGGGATCAATAATATTTCATTCAGTAATTTGGATACAAATTTGTTACTCTCATCAGGAAAAGACATAACCAAATGTTGGTTTTTCAGTAACAATAACTTTGATGTTTATAATGAAGTTAACAATTCTGCTAATAATATATACTCCAAATGGTCCCCATTCATCCCTGACATTTTTGCATCTGCTACCAATATGGATACAATACAAATAAACTCCATAAACAATGGGATCAAGATGACAACCAAGTATATCCCAAGCTTTTATAAAAAGGATTCAGGAATCTCTTTTGGATTTGGAGGGAAAATATGCTACTTTGATAACACCACAGTTGGTACAAACACAGGAAGAAACAGTGTTACCAGTAATGAAATAAATAAACAGAATGTCGTAGGGAAAGAAGAAAATTACTCTACTCCCACCACAACTGTACATGGAAATGATGTAAATACAATGAGATCAAACAGTGGAAACATGGAAAATAAATTCTTAATAAAATGTCATACATACTCTACTGAAATGGAACTTATATCAGAAGCTGACAATTTTGAAAAATACATAACGAATGGTAATTATTTTGAATTTTGTGAAAATAAAATTGCTAAAACTGAAGATGATCATGAAAAGTTGACTTGGAGAATTTTACAACTATTATGTACATCACAAAAGTCAGAAATTGTGAAATATTTGGGATATGACATGAATAATATTTTACAGAAAATTTCAAACGACACAGGAAAACAACCTGGTTTTATTTTTAATCAATTTATAGAGGAAGAAAAAGAGAATATCATCACAACCAATGATTCAGGAAATATGTTAGGTGCAAATATACTTTGTGACGTAAGGAGTTATGAACATATGAACAATGGGTTCATGAATGGTGCACAAATTGCTGACACTAATATGGTCACAGCTTCTGGGCCAGGAGGAGGAGGTATTTCTCTCCAGATTGGAGAACATAATTGTCAAAGTTTCAACACTGCTTTCGATGTTGATCCTGAGAAGTTTTTTCGAGAATTAGGTGAAAAGAAAGAAAATGAAGAAATTACAAATGAAGATGGGAAGAAACAACAGAAAGGCGAAAAGGATTCAAAGGATAACAAAAGTGGAACCGATTCGAAAGATGCCAAAAGTGGAACCGATTCGAAAGATGCCAAAAGTGGAACCGATTCGAAAGATGCAAAAAATGGAACCGATTCTACATCGAAAGGGAAAGAAAAAGGTAAGAAAAAAGGAAAAGAAAAAGGAAAGAAAAAGGGAAAAGGAGGAAATGATGAGGGAGATGATGAAGAAGATGAAGAGGATGGAGGAGACGGTAAAAACGGACTTTGCAATGTTAAAGAGAAAGATGATCAAACATTAATGAGTAATGAAAATAATCAAAATAATGACAACATAAATTGGGATTATGGAATTGAATCTATCATTAAAGAGTGCGTTTTGGTAGGAAATATTGAAACAGCTGTAGAATTATGTCTTCACAAAAACCGAATGGCAGATGCACTTTTCTTATCCTCTTTTGGTGGTGAACAATTATGGCACAAAACCAAAACTATATATATCAAGAAGCAAAATAACAGCTTCATAAGAAACATAAATTATATTTTAGATGACAAGTTGGATCTTTTGGTAAAGCAGATTGATTTATCTCACTGGGGAGAAGCACTTTCGATTTTATGCACATATGGAATTAATAATGATAATTTTAATATCCTGTGTGAAACATTGGCAAAGAGATTACAAAATGAAAAATTCGACATTAGAGCTGCATCTATTTGTTATTTATGTGCATCTAATTTTGACCAAACTGTAGAAATATGGAGTGATATGCCATCTACCAAAAATTCTTTACTAAGTGTTCTCCAAGACTTGGTTGAAAAAATGACAGTCCTTAAAATGGCTGTAAAATATGATATGTGTAATTTAATTATGAACAAAAAAATAAATCAATATGCAGAATTATTAGCTAATTCTGGTAGACTCAAAGCTGCAATGACATTTCTATGTCTAATTCAAGATGACCAAACAGAAGAAAGTTTAATTTTGAGAGATCGAATTTTTAATAGTGCAACTCATGTTTTATCACATCAAGTGAAACCTCCTGCATCTCCATTTCAAGTTTTCCATGTAAAGTCAGCAGGAATAATGTTACATCAGAATTATCAATCTTATAATAAAAATGCACAATTTAAACCTAATCCAATGTCTAGTAATATAAACACAAACCAATCAAAATTATATACACCCAATAAAAGTACCTCATCTATGATCATTCCACCACCCATGCCAATGCAACAACAGTTACCAATACAACCTCCCAATTCAACACATCTTGGTTATGCCTCTATCTCGTCAAACAAACTCAACACACAAGGTGGTATATCTAGTCCCCCTTTACCTAATCGTGCATCATTTACAAGCACATCTAACAAGAATTTTCCCATGAGTAATAATACAAATGCAATCAAGCCTCCATCTATGAGTACTATTTCATCCTCATATATGCCTCCTCCTCCTCCAGCACCTGCTACTGGAACGAGCACGTGTCCTATTGGTACATCTTCATCCATGTATTCCTCTATGTCGAATTTTGTAAGCCTTGGCCCATCCCAGGGTATCAAATTGGAACAAGGTTGTCAGAAGCAGACTACAACAGGAGGAGGAGGAGTAGGGCCACCACCACTAGCACCACAAGCCGGATCGGGAGTAGGAGCAGGTCCTATGTTTTCATCTCAGTCTTATGCTAACTTGAGAAAATTACAACCAGGAGGTAATAATAACTCAATTAATGAAACCTCACCACCACCATCTGGGCCAAATCAAATAAATAACAGAGCCAGTTTTCCAAACATTCAGAATATTGTTCCACCCCCTAGAAACAGAAATACATCCATACTATCAAATGCGAATAATAACATGTCTTTTAATCCGGATACTAATAATCAGAACTTTTTCAAACGAGAGTGCATGGATCAACAATCTTTTGGAAATACTGTCACTTTACCTCCTCCTATGCAATCCAGGAATTTAAGTACGTCATTTCAGGACTCTACTTCCAAGATTGGCTTCAGTGCACACACCTCTGGACCTCCTTCAACAGGTTCGTTCATATATAAGAAAGCCCCCTCACATCTGTGTTCTGCCTCCCTACCCACACACACACAAATAAATACACAAATAAATACACAAATAAATACACCCCATAGGAGAGATTCTTTTGGGGTCGAACCTTTAGAATACATATACATTGTGTGTATAGTATAGCATTTTTTTTTTCCATTTTGGATCACGTTAACAATGTGTTTTATTCCTATTCATTTCACCCCCACGCATGTTTGATTATTATTTTACTTATCCGCTACTACTTCCATTTTGCAGGTATCAGCACGACCTCCCCAATTGCAGGGGCCCTAAGTGTCACTCCTGGAATGCCAGTCCCCTGGCCAATTCCCACCACAACGCAGCAGGTATAAGCAAATACAATCAGCTAGCCATTTTTGAGAGGCAATTTTTTTGAGCCCATTTTTTGGAGGCAATTTTTGAGAGGCAATTTTTTTGAGCCCATTTTTTGGAGGCAATTTTTGAGAGGCAATTTTTTTGAGCCCATTTTTTGGAGGCAATTTTTTTGAGTCCATTTTTAAGAGTCCATTTTTAAGAGCCCATTTTTAAGAGCCCATTTTTAAGAGCCCATTTTTAAGAGTCCATTCTTTACGTTTATTTGCGGCTCTATTTATCTTGTCTGTCTACACTTTTGCGTGCGTTTTTTTTTTTTTTTTTTTTTTTTCTACTGCTCTGGCAATGTGTCCGTCCACGCACACTACTCCTCCCAAAGCTTGGATCCACAACCACCTCAACGGCAAATGAAAACAAAAAGATACAAACAGCCACGAAAGAGCAAAATGGAGTATTAATGAGTAGAAGTAACATTGAAAATGTGAAAAAGACCATAAATGGCTTGTTGCATGCATATATTGCCCAAGAACCTGTGAAGAAGAAATCAGAAGATATCTCAGTTAAGGTGCATGAGTTATTTGAAAAACTAGATAATGGATTATTTAATGAACAGATAAATGACAGCATCATTCATTTGGTCAACTCACTTAATGCGAATGATTTTAGGACAACGAACAAGATTATAGTAGATCTCAGTAGGAACTTATGGGATGGAAGTAACAAGTCATGGTAACACGCAAAAAAATTTGCATAAAATGTGTCTTACACTTTTTTTTATTTTTATGCAGATGTTTTATATGTGTACGATTCTAACCAGTTTGTGTTCCACATCTGGTTGTGCTTTTTTGTGGGGACGCCCCATTTAATGTCCTTACGTTAATTCCGTTTTTTTTTTTTTTTTTTTTTCAGGATCATGGGACTCAAGTGCATCATACCGAAGTGCTAACATAAGAAGAAGAAAAAATTATAAGGAAGCCTTATCACGCGGGAGGTGCGACAAACTTTTTGACACTTCACGTTATGACACAAATATGGTATGGAAAATTATACACCACGATGCAATATGATATAGGGTATATCCATTTATGGCACCTTTTTCTCCTGTCCCTTTTATTCACTACTACAAGGTCACTCCATTTAATGTGCACACAAAATTTTGTATAATTAAAATAAATGAGAATCATTCCCTTTTTAACCCCTCCCTACATGACATATGGAGTGCTAAATTCGCTTTTTAAAGTATACCTCATTCATATGGTTTTTCTCTATCATGTTGCACTTTTTTTTTTTTTTTTTTTTTTTTTTTTTCTTCCACTAGGTTAGTGAACATAAAATATAACGAATTTTATGAATTTTCTATAAGTTGTATAAAAATGTGCAATGCATGCTGCATAAAAGTTTTTTTTTTTTTTTTTTTTTCCTCAAGTCCACAGTTGATCACCTCACCCAATCCCCTTGGGGTTATATATAAACACTTATGTTAAGATGTAGACACACTTGGTGTACTATGAAATGCGAGAAGAGGAAGCTTCTAAAAGCATTTGCATCCTCATAAGGTTATAAAAAAAAAAAAAGGGGAAACCATGAATTGGCATGGAAATAGAAAAAAAAAAAAAAAAAAACACATGCGTGAAGATCGAACCTGATTTTGGAGGCTCGAGAAAGAGATGTATAAATTCCTCAACAGTTACAATCTCTCCCCCAACCCATGAAGATTCTAATTCTCGTGTGTTCCAATTCCTGAGACCTCTCAAAAAGTGTCGTCATAGTCAGGATTTTTGGCACGTGGTTTGGGTCCCCCGGCAGGCTTAGCCAAGATAATTTGATCAATTTTGAGAATAGTCTGAAGGGCATCCATGGCCAAATCGATTGCATATTTCTTGCACTTGTAGTTGTCATATATGTTATTTTTTTTTGCAGAAGTAATGAAGGAATCTTTGTTAATATTTATACAGGCTTCGTTATTCCCTTTATCATGTTCATTTATAAGCTGATTTAAAACATCTGTACTGTTGTAACCACAATTGGTAGCTAATATTCTGGGAATAACTAAGAACGATTCTGCAAAAACTTTAACACTGTAATTATCAACACCTTTCAATTGTTGTGCATATTTCTTAAGTCTTTCACACAGTTGCACTTCTATACATCCAGCCCCATATAAAAATGAATTTCCTTTGATAGCATTTTTTATTGCATTAATTCCATCGTGTATACATCTTTCTACTTCATCAAGTAGGTTATAAGTAGCACCTCTAAGGATTATAGTGCTAACTTTTTTATTTTTTGAATTAATAATGGTCACTTTTTTAGATGCAATTTCTGATACATATATAGAGGAAGCTTTTCCTATTTCTTCTGGTTTTGGAACTCCTAATTTAACAAGAGAAGAAATGTTTAGTAGCTTACATATTCGTAATGTTTCAAATTTTGAAGAAATTTTTAATGTCATTATCTGTTCTGCATCACAGAAATGTTGTGCAATATCTGAAATTGCACCGTTAACAACAATTACATCTACTCCTTCTTTTTTTATATTTTGAATCATTTTTTTCATTTGCTCTTCCTCTCCTTTGGTGAAGTTTAGCAACTCTTGTGCATTGTTTAGCAACACAGTTCCCTTTGTCTCAGTCGTAGCTGCTTCAAGTCCACAATTCAGAACAATAACATTTGCATTTTCTTTTTTCTTAACTATTCCATGTGTATCCCTTGCAATGACCATTCCCATAATAAATTGAGAATCAATTAAATTTCCTCCATTCAATTTTGAAATCCTGATATTATCCACATCGAAGTTTTCTACCTTCTCTGGCATTAGTGTTGATATACATTGAGACAATAAGTTAATTATGAAATCAAAATTATTTGTTAAATTTTTTGTAATCATAACAGATTTTATAACTTTTTTAATTTCGTTCTCATCTGAAAAATTTTCCATCTTGTACACTACTAAATCTGGGTATATAATTCTTTCTAATTCTTTGTGTCCTAACATGAACCCGTTCAGAATATCGTTTATATTGAATCCTTGCTGAATTAAATGGCTAGCTTTATCTAACATCTCAGTCGTTATTGTAAATACATAATTTGTGAAATCACCATATTCATAATTCATCGTTTCAGATAATTTCTTCAAAATATTCACAACTGGATGGTTAATCTCCAAGTCTTTCAATATTGTCATGCAATCACTTGACACCACCTTCTTGTTTATGTGGTTTATTATTAACTTGTTCATGCTCTTGGGACCAAGAGATGTCTGTATTATCGCACAAATTTCTTTGCACGCTTCGATGTTCTTTAAAATCGCATCTTCGTTGTTCTTCACAACACGGTATCCATCCTTCAAAACGGAGCTGAATCCATGCCTGTTCGAAAACTGTGCAGTGGTAGGTGCAGCGGCAGATGCAGTGGTATGTGCAGAAGTGGATGCAATAGCAGATGCAGAAGTGGGTGCAATAGCAGATGCAGAAGTGGGTGCAATAGCAGATGCAGAAGTGGGTGCAATGGCAGATGCAGAAGTGGGCGCAATGGCAGATGCAGAAGTGGGCGCAATGGCAGATGCAGAAGTGGGCGCAATGGCAGATGCAGTGGTAGATGCAAATGTGGGTGGAGACGTGTGCCACTTGTGCGGTGGGTTCATTTATACGGGAAAAGGGTGAGGGGGCGAACGATCTCGTGTTCAATTCTCTCACCAATACAAAACAAAACAAAAAAATGTACGCATGGCAGAAAAGGTGTACATATATATATATGTGTGTATATGTATGTGACGTGAAAACGTTTCGTGCAGTTGCTGAATCTTCTTACCATGATTACTGGTCTGTGTTGAGGGCAGTGTATGTTCAAAAGGGAGATGAAAAAAATGGATGGACGTTTTTTTCCGTTAGACCAATAATGGTGATGTGGAAGAGATATTACTTTGATGGGTATCTGTTTCGTATGATTAGACTGCCCTTATAACTTCCCTTTTTTTTGCAATAAGGTGGGGATTGAGGGGATTGGATTTTTTTTTTTTGGAAAAACTGGGTATCTCACTCACACTCTGGTTTGGGAACCATTCAAAGGTATGCATATACATATATGTAGAGATAGATAGTTACATATATAGGGATATGTGTTTATGTATATGAATATTTTCACGTATGTGCAAGCTAAATATTCTGCGCATTCGTTTACTTTCTTTTTTCTGTTGTTCACTTCAACATTCCCAATTCTGTGGAAAAAAAGAAAAAAAAAAAAAAAAAAAAATCACGTGTTAGGGAGTCATAAAATAAGCATTTCCATGGGGTAACCTTTTTCCACCATATCATATATATTTTAGCGTATTTGTGTATGTTTTAATATGTTGTATTTTTTTTTTTCTTTTTTTTAAATCATTAGGTGGGAAATAAATTTAACTCTACAAAATGTGTTTCTTTTTTATAAATCATTAAGTGGGAGATAAATTTAACTCTACAAAATGTGCTTCTTTTTTTTTTTCTTTTTTTTAAATCATTAAGTGGGAAATAAATTTAACTCTACAAAATGTGCTTCTTTTTTTTTTAAACTTTTAAAATATGTTTTTAATTCCTCCAAAATTTTCTCCCAGTTTTTTTCTCTTTTGCCTCTTTCACCCTAAGTCGTAGGGAAGTGTATAACTAGGGAAGAAGGACTCACTCACTCTCCCAAATGAGTACTAAAAGCGAGGGTGCCTCCTCATAAGTGCATAAAACAAAATATATATAAAATGTAGTAGTATAAATACATTCTCATAAAAACTTAACCAATAGGGCATAATACACAGAGATCAGGTTGCATGTGTGTTTTTGAGTGCAATGTCTCTGTGTGGATGATGTAATGTTTTACTCTTCATCATATTTTCACGCATGCAAATATGTATTAACCATATCCCTCTTTCTGTATATTTTCTTATATAGGTGTGCTGTGCTGCAATTATATCTGTACATAAATAAATATACATGTAAATAATAGAGGTTACATATGCATGTAACATGTACATCATCCACAAGAGCATGGGCGACCTACAAATGGGTCCAAATATCGGGACAGTTATTTTTGAGAGAAAAAACTTATCCCAAATTTATCCCCAAATGTAAAACTCACGTCTCATCCATATTGACATGTACATATATAATGTCATACCTACAAATTGATGAACCAATTTTTTTTTTTTTTTTTTTTTTTTCCCTGCCCTTGGTTTAAGGCAAAAATGCGTACCCATAAAGGGATAAAAAGATAAGAGGAATGAACCAAAAAAAAAAAAAAAAAACACCTGCTCCCCAATTTGTTGGTCCAAACGTTCTTTCTCCGCTCTGATTAAAAAAAAAAAAAAAAAAAAATTCGTCCCATTAACTGATAAGATGTATAACAGTTTAATGGGAAAAATAGCATATGCAAATGAGTAATAATTAAAAGAATATATGGATAGAAGAGTGTACATATAATATTATGAATATATATGAACAAACATGTTAAAATATATTTACATGCCCATAAATTATGATCGTCCCTAAGAGTAGGAGGAATTTTTTGCCATGTTTTCGCCTTGTTTTTTGCTAATTTGATTTGCCCATTTTTGGATGAAACACGTGGTAGTCGAGCAAAGAAAAACGATAGCTTTTCACATCTTTTCACATTTTTTCACTACTTTTCTCATTTTTTCTCACATCTAAGTGGCATAGAATTTGAGACTAAACATAAAACCCCCGAACGTATTCCTAACATATGTAAGTGGGTAAACCCGTACCACGGCACATACATTTGGATCTATACACGTGCAGATATAAAAATATATGAACATATATATGTTTGGTATGGCGATGAAGTAACAATGCCATCCATATGATCATCTGGTTCTGCATCGTGTACTAGTCATCAATGGAAATTTCCTCGAACTTTTCAAATTTTCCATTTGAAGAGTCTCTGTTCTATTACTCCATCCATCCAGTGAGAAAATCCATATAGTAATAAAAAAACAAAATGAACATTCAAAACAGGAAAAAAAAGCACGTCAGTAGAGAAGTAAAGTTGAATAACTTAGCAAAAATATATCATAGGAAATTGGAAACGCTGCTTATATATATAAGAATTCCAAAAAAAAGAAAGGAGAAACTTTTTTTTGACGATTTTTTTAACATAGAGAAAGTTAGTGCGTACATAAATACAGTAGATGATGAGGAACAGAGTGAGGGGCAGTGCGAGAAGCAGATCAAGAAGCAGGGTGAGAAGCGTGAAGAATGGAACGCTAGGAGTCAACCCGAGCGGAGTGCAAACCTGAATGAGGATAACGAAATAAGAACAAATAAAGACATATTCATAAAGAACCTTCTAATCTTTTTAAACAATCTGATAATACTCTATTTCTCCAAGAGTAACCTGATGGATGTGTGCATAAACAGGAGGAGCTTCAACAAGTGTGGTTTTTACGCATGTGAAAATGTATTTTTAAACAATTTTAGCAAAAGTAAGTATAAAATTGATGTCCATAGCAAAAATATATATCTGAGAGAGTATTATGATTTGTTCTGCTCTTCCAATTGCATGAATTTCAATCTTTACTTACTAAAGGAAATTGCACAAAATGGAAAAAATGCAAATAATACCAACGAAGGAGGCAGCACAGATTTGAAAAAAAAATGCCAATTAATTTATATCATGTTTCTAACATTTTTCCCCATTTTTAAATTTCACGATATAAATTTACTCCTTAAAAATATTGAAAATGTTCATATTGAGAATAACAAAATATTCTTACGCCCACAGGAAGGGGGTGAAAATGAAGAAGCAGGGGAAGAAGTAGGGAAAGAAGAAGAAGAAGAAGAAAAAGCAAAAGAAAATGAAGAAACAGCAGAAGAAGAGAAGAACAGTGGTGGAACTAGAATTTTTTCATCACACGTGGATGAGAAACAAACAAAAAATAATAATCATGAAAAAATATGCACAATTAGAAGTATGAAGAGTGAAGAGGAGGAGGATGTTAATTCTAATTCTCGTCAAGGGATGAAGCCTCCCTTTCCTGTTATCATAGAGAAAGGGGAAGAATATCTGAACCATGAGGATTCGGATATATGTGAAGAATTGGAAAAGTACATGCACAAAGAAAATGAAACTTCTTCTGATCAAGCAATCAGTACATGTTCTTCACTGCATATGTTAAGAAATGAAAATGAAAAAAAGAATATTTACACTCCCCCACCTATTATAGAATTACTCGAAGAACAAACAACAGTGGGTATCGAAGACAACTTCAACGAAGGGACACTCAGCGAAAGAGAGGTCATTGAATGGCTAACCAGAGATAGGTCTATGGAGATTTGTGAAGAATTGAAAAAATCGAAACTTAAGAAAAGCAAAAGTGTTAGTTTTAATGAAGATATCAAAACGTTTAAATATTGCAAAGATGAAAGGGTGGATGTCTATAGTGTCACTAGAACATCAATGGAGGGAATTGAATTCAGTAGTGGGAGGAATCCCCAATCGGATGAAGTTAACCGTGGGAAGAACTGCACACCAACCGAATCAGATTTGAAAAATAATTCAGGTTTTTTAACGTATTCTTTACATTCTCATTTGGATGAAAAAGCAGAGGCGAGGGAATTACTTCCAGAGGATGATCATTCTAGCGTTTCGAAAGTGAATGATGACGAAAACAAATCAAGTGACAGTGGGCAGACGCAGCCACAATCTGCTAATGAACAGACGCAGCTGCGAGAGAAGAACGCATGCTCGAAAGGCACAACCTTTGAACACACGAGTGAAAAATTAAACGAAGAATTGCACCAACAAATGCCAAAGGAGACAAAATTCTCCGATTGTGAAATGGACAAAATGTATGAACAAGTCAAGAATTCCATTTTTACAAATGGAAAACATTTCTTCGAGGATATATTAGAACGTACAATTTTTAATTCGAACAAAATCATAGGATTTGATTACCAAAATGGAGAGCGGGAGCAGGAGCAGCATCGGCAGCAGCAACAGGAAAAGGAGGAAGAGGAAGAGGAGAATGACAGCATGTCTTGCGCATCTCATCGAATGAGTAAAATTAATTTGAAGCACGACAAGGAAAGGAAGGGAAGACGAATTGTTCTGCTAAAATCTTCATGGGAAGGTGAAGTTCCAATGGAAAACGGGGAACCCGAAAAGGAGGAGACGAAGAAGAAGAAAGAGGGAGAAGAGGAAGATCGGACGAGACAAAGTGCACCAACTTCTGAATGCCCACCTGGGCTTGCCCACGATATACTGAGGGATGCAGGGGTGGATTCTCACATCAGAGAGAATGGGAATGCAAACGAAAGTGCAAACAAAAGTGAAATAAAAAGTGAAATAAAAAGTGAAATAAAAAGTGAAAAAAAAAGCGAAAAAAAAAGCGAAAAAAAAAGTGAAAAAAAAAGTGAAAACGAAGATGTAAATCCTAATGAAAAACATTTGGATGCAGCGCTGGACCATACAGTAAACTGTGATGATACAAAGGAAAGCATGGCTAATGATGAACTCTACACGCAAATCATTGACGAGAAGCTGGAAAACCTTCTTATCCAAAAAAAAAATAAAATAAGACAAGAATATGAAGAAACCTTCCATAGTCGTATCCCCATTTACATGGAATCACAACATGGTATTGATGGGGAAGAGGAATATGTTAACGATGAGCAGAGCGGAAAAGATGAATCAGAAGATGAATCAGAAGATGAACCAGAAAATGAATCAGTAGATGAAGAAGAGGTGCATAGCAGAAAAGAGAAAAATAAATATGTATACAGCACATCCAAATGCAGCGCGTATGAAGACATGTCACTTTATGTAGTTCTGTGGGATATTTTTACAGGAAGTATTTCCAAATATACAGTAAATTTTTTTCAAAAAAGTGAATTTATTATCCCCAAATGTTTAAATGATGTGGAACGAGAAAGAAAAACAGAATTTTTAAAAAATGTGTCTCAATACATGCCACTAAGCATCAACTGTATCTCTACCACCATTTTGGATACTTGTCGAACCTTTTTGTATAGCAAACCATTATTACCATTCAAAAAATTAATTTATAAATCCATTACTTGTGTTATTGCAGCTGCTCTTAGGAAGCATAAAGCTGAATTGATTCCTCAGAGTGAATTGAATAACATCAAAAAGGCGGAAGAATATCTCACTATAGAAAATGGAATTGAAGAAGATGAACTGGACGAGTTGACAATGCTTTTTTATCAAAATTGTTACTACTAGGTGAGGGTGGGAGATATTAGTAGTGCAAAATTAACATCTGTAGTCATTTCATTTGAAACAGCATATATGAACTTCTTTCTCTCCGTGGTGATATATATGCATGTGCAAAAATCTCACCGAAGAGTAATATATGTATCCTAGTAGTGTGTCCTCTTTTTTTTTTTTTTTGTTCTTTTTTTTTTTTTGCACTCCCTTTCCCTTTTTTTTTTTTTTTATAGTTATACCCTGTTATTACACTGTATGCTATACATGCTTCATTTAAATGATTTGAAAATGGGAAAGGGAAAAAATCTTGACAGGGAGGGCAAGTAGCTTCATCCATATGTTGACAACATTGTACCTAAATTTCGTGCATGTTGTTTGTAGTACCCTTACATTTTTTTTCTTGTTTCTGAGGTTAATGTGTATACATATCCCCGTTTGTTATGAATTCAGAACCGACTTGTACTGTTCCAGTATTGTACAGTTGCGTTATTCTGCTATGCACTGATGCATTATTCTTCTATGCACTGTTGAATGTGTGCCCTTCTTCATTGTGACGAATCAACGAAATGCATCCAGTAGTTAACCACAAACAGAAGGAGAAAATTACTTATTGGAATAACACTGTGATATATTTTACCATTAAGTATGATTACAAACGAGACAAAGTTGTTATGTAAGTATTCAATGGTCGGACATTTTTGTCCCTTTCCAGTAATGCCTTTCATTTGATTATCATTCTGGGGGAGGGAAGAATTTTTCTCCAAATTTTCCCGATTTTCATTTTTTTCTGTTTCAACTGATTTGATAAAATTTTGTTTTGCATGCAGATTTGTTTTCTGTCTAGGTGTTAGTTCCTCTTGATTTTTCTCACAAAAGTCATCGAATGATAAAATATTTTCCCTCTCTTTTTTAATCGAATCAGTTAGTTCCTTTATTTTTGTATAATACAATTTATCGTCTACTTTTGTTCTTATGAAGGTCCGAATTGGCAATACATCATCATCCCACCTTTCGAAAAATATACTAACTTGTTCTGAAATTTTGATCCCTTGAGAATATTTTTTAAAAATGTTTTTATTATTAATTAATTCGGGAGGTACAGGACATTGCACCATATCCGTTATTACCCCATCTCTCTTGTTGATGTAAAAATATTTCGCTATGTCATTTTTTTCACACTTAATAGTTTTGACATATTTCCAAAACCTCATATCAGAACAACTTGTATTATCACATCTGAAGATTAGTAAACTGCTGAGGTAGTTTTTTTTTTCTTTTTTCATACTCTTCACAGGGAAAGCTTCACGGCACCATATATTTACATTCCCTAGAAAGGTAGGGACCAAGTTGAAAGCAAAAATGGAATAGTCGCCTTGCAGCTCATTCTGAGTGAAGATATGCGTACAGAAACCTCCAGTTGGTTCTATTTGTACAACTTTCGTGTGGAAATGCATAATTGTTTTCTTATTTTGATAATCACATTGATCATATAACAATTTTTTATACAAAATTGGAATTCTACTTTGTTCCACATTTTGTTCAAAATTTAGTGAAGAAACAAAATTGATGTTATTCAGATTCAAATTTTTTTTCTTTTTTCCTTTTCCCGTACTGCTTAACGTTTGATTGGAATATGCATTTTTATAAGATGCAAGAAGATCATAAAACTGAGAATCACTATCCGTTTCAAGTTTATAATTTTCTCCAACTCTTATTCTTCCATTTCGATTTTGTTCGTAACTAGATATATGATTATACTTCTTATATAAAACATTATACAATTTGAGCAATTCTTTGTTTGTGTATACATTATTCTTCACTCTGATGTTGTAATGGGGTAACCTATCTTTTCTTCCATAGGAGACATGCCCAAAATTGCTTATTTCAATTACATGAAGGGTGAGACATTTAACATTTTTACATAAATTATCCATTCCTGTTGTCAATAATTTTATCATCATCATTTCTTTGTTAATAAAAAAGAATATATCATATACTCCCCTCTCAAGTTGAGGTAAAAACGAGCTTAATACATTTCCCCACAATTTACAGGGTAATGTAAATATATCTTTTTTTCCTTTTATTTGCATTTCTATCCTTCCTTCAACTATATTTTTATTTATCAAAAGGATGTTCATCTTATCTTCACAATTTTCATAAATCAAAGATGTGTAATTTTCAACAACTAATGTCTTTCCGTCATCTACAAAAATCGATTCACTTTCATATTCCAGATTTTTCTCTCTTCTTTTGTTATTCCATTTTTCATCCCTAAGTTCTTTCTCACACTGTTCATCTATTTTTTTTCTCACTCTCCAATAATCCACTTCTGCATGTTTTCTGTCCACATACAAATGAGTATTTACAAACTTATCATTATTTCTTAAATCCTGGATTTCCTTATCGTCATTTCTATTTTTGGATATCTTTTCCTCATCTACCATATTGGAAGCATTGTAATTTTCGAAGATATCTTGAATTTGGTTCCTTAAAACGTATGTAAAATGAGTCTTTTCCATTTATAAATATGAGACAAAACAATGAATGAAAAAAAAAAAAAAAAAAAAAAAAAAGGATGATCTGGGGAAGGTAGAAAAATTGGGGAGATAATATGCACATACGCAGAGCTACACTTTTAAAGGATAAATAATTGATGAAAATTCTCCTAAGGCATGTAATATTGTAGACTGTAGTGATTTTTTTTTTTAATTGTTATGAGCTGAACAAATGAGAAAAAGGGATGAGTAATTCCTTTTTTTTTTTTTTAATAGAAAAAAAAAAACAGGTCCCTACTACCCCTATGGATCGAGTTTCTTTCCGAATAAAACAAAAAAAAAGTCCAAGCATCCAGATCACAACATCACGTCATTGCATTATGTTAAGTCTACACTTTAAGAGGTGTATCCCTGCCACTCCAAAGAACGCGAGCTTTAACAAACCTTCGGTTTTAAATAAACAAAATGTGTACACATGCAGATGATGTAGAAAAAAACATGTATACAAGGTTAATTTCAGCTAGCTACTGTCCTTAACCCATATAGTTCTTCTCAATCACCCCGTGTTGTAGGGCATGGAGTGATAAGAGCAGGGTTTAAAGAAAAAAACAAAAAAATAAAAATAAACAAATAAAAACAATTAAAATCTGCTCTTTCTTTATACATTCATATATATCAGAATGATGTATCCCTTCCACAAATGTTTTTCCTTTAATTCCGTTAAAAGGAAAAATTTACAAACTGTTAATGTGACAAGGTTAATGTTTTTACACCTTTTTTTTTCTTTTTTTTTCCTAATTCTTACAGCAAAAATGAAAAGAAAAAAAAAAAAAAAAAAAAACTTAAAAATAAATTGTTGAAATGAATTTCATTTTCATGTGTAAATTATGTACACACACATATATACATAAATATGTAGTTAAAAATTATAGGAAAAAAAAAAAAAAAAAAAAAAAGTTCAAAATGTATATGTGAACTTAGGGGCTTAAAAATAAGGAAAATGAGATAAAGGCATACTCTAGATACGCAAATAAAACATACATGTGTACTTACATATATATAAGCAATCAAATTGTCTTCTTCAAAAATGGGGAATATTTTTATATCAAAAAAAAAAAAAAAAAAAAAAATTTACAGCTGTGCAACACGGTGGGGGCTTTATACAGAAGATCAATTATTTTTTTTTCCTTCTTCATGTTTTTACTTCTCCATGTTTTTACTTCTCCATGTTTTTACTTCTCCATGTTTTTACTTCTTCATGTTTTTACTTCTCCATGTTTTTACTTCTTCATGTTTTTACTTCTCCATGTTTTTACTTCTCCATGTTTTTACTTCTTCATTTGTTTTCCCATGGGGTGTAGAGATATATGCCACTTCACTGCATAATCGCTTCCTTTTGTCCTCCCTCACAATACCCAATTGAATAAGAGATCATTTCATTTCCTCCTTCAACGTTTTGTGCAACCGATCAGATATTTCTGGTAACATGGGTTCATGTTTATCAAAGCACTTAACTACGCACCCCTCCATTTCTTTTTCTATCGTCGGACCGTCTATGTTTGCATTGCTCTTTGCATAATTCGGGGAATACTTATAAAAACAGGACTGCAATTATGCGAGAAAAAGAGAGAGAATGAAGAGGGGAATAGGGGGGAATGTATATCAGTTTAAAGGCTTTGATGAAACATGGACACGCATGTCGTTATAAATATGTCCTTGTACAGAACTCCATTCAGCAATAATGTACACACAAACATCATACAAAGGAATGCACGATGGAGAAATTTCACGATGCAATATATGATATAATATTATCTTTCTTTATTTTGATCTAATTTTTTTATTTCATTATTTCTCTATTTCATTATTTCTCTATTTCTTTACTTCTCTATTTCTTTACTTCTCTATTTCCTTACCTGCTGACAAGACTGCAAATTATTTTGCAAGTTTTGCATTTCATTTTGAACTACCTGCACGAAGTGCTCAGTCCCCTTCTGACAGTTATTGACACATTTTCCTATTGTCTCAAAATCGGTGTTATATGTATCAAAGCAATTGACGCAACAAATGAAAGATTTCTTTTGAAAAGGCAAACTTTCGGTACTTATTTTGTTTAGTATATTATCTATTTTTGATTGAAATTCATTTGTCCTTTTGGTTAAATTGGTTATCATATGATTAGTCGATGGGCTACTCAAGAACGACATTTTTGTAGGAGAGATTCCTTTGTTAATTGGTTTATGCTGATGAGGGGCACAGATTTAACAGTTTAATTGTGGGGTGTGATGCTCAGTCAGCAGCGGTCTTTTTTCTCCACTAACTTGTTGTTGCGTCGTTTAGTATTACTCCTCTTCTTCTACCTCTCTTGCATAGGATGTTTCCTTTTTTTTTTTTTTTTTTTTTTCTTGTTTTTCTAACTCACCAGCAATGTTGTTTATTTATTACCATGAGCATGGGAGATATTTCTACTTTTCTAAAAGCCTAATTGTGTTCTTTTTTATGAATATGAGATATTTATTTTTTCTTTTAAAAATAGCTAACTGGGCTATATTTTATGAACATGGGGAACGTATTTTTTTTTTTTTTTTTTATTATTTAAGAAGATAATTGTTTTCCATTTTTTTATGAACATGGAATATATATATATATATGTATATTTTTTTTTTTTTTTTTCTTTTTAAATAGCTAATTGTGTTCCATTTTTTCATGAACATGGAATAATTTTTTTTTTTCTTTTTTAACCTTAATTTTTTTTTTTTTTTTTTAGCTAATTCCTTATGATGATAACCATTCTTTTTGATCTTACGTGTCCTCATTATGTAAATCCCTTTTTTTTTTTTTTTTTTTTTTTTTTTTTTTTTTTCTTGTTTTTCTAACTCACCAGCAATGTTGTTTATTTATTACCATGAGCATGGGAGATATTTCTACTTTTCTAAAAGCCTAATTGTGTTCTTTTTTATGAATATGAGATATTTATTTTTTCTTTTAAAAATAGCTAACTGGGCTATATTTTATGAACATGGGGAACGTATTTTTTTTTTTTTTTTTTATTATTTAAGAAGATAATTGTTTTCCATTTTTTTATGAACATGGAATATATATATATATATGTATATTTTTTTTTTTTTTTTTCTTTTTAAATAGCTAATTGTGTTCCATTTTTTCATGAACATGGAATAATTTTTTTTTTTTTTTTTTAACCTTAATTTTTTTTTTTTTTTTTTAGCTAATTCCTTATGATGATAACCATTCTTTTTGATCTTACGTGTCCTCATTATGTAAATCCCTTTTTTTTTTTTTTTTTTTTCTTGTTTTACATTTAGTTCTGTTATGAATATACACAACGTTGGAGTTGGTCTCGTTTCTTTTCACTGAAGCGGCGTTGATTTTGAGGACTCATAATGCAGATACATATGAGCATAAATATACAAAGGTAACTTATGAACACCATGCATATGTACATAACAAAGAAAAAAAAAAAAAAAAAACATATGTATCATACCATAAGTATACACAAAAATAAGGGCGTATACAATAACATATAACAATCCTTTGCATGTGGAAAAAAATAAAATGGGGATGAATCACAATAGTGAAATATTGTACACTAAATGAATTCACAAAAAAATAAGGAAAAAATAGTAACATCTTTTTCTTGCGAATAAATTATCCCAACTACATGTAAATGTGTTTCCATAAAAAAAACATTATAGAATCAAAACAAGAAATTGTAAAGTTTAGCTACGTGGGGAAAATCACCACTGAAATGTTATATATTATATATATATATGCATAAATATATAGCATAACAAAGGGGAGTAAATTGGAAGCTTCCACTCTACGCTATCAAACTGTTATCCCCATTCCTTTGTCATCAATATCGTGTTGCTGTCAAAGTAAAGCATTACTATATATACAATTTTTGACCCTCTCTCCTCTAATTCCATTTTAATTTCCAAAAAAAGGCATAAAGGAAGGTTAGAAATGTGAACAAATAATTTAATGTGTCCCTTTTGCGTATGTATAAAATGAGAAGCCCAAAAAAAAAGACTACATGTAGTAGGATTAAGGACATACCTTTTCATCCATACAATAGAAATACACACTTTTTGTAACCATTTATAATTTCTTGTGTTATACTTTTGAAAAATACAGAAAGACACACTTGTTTCAGTGGCATATTAATATCTACCTATGTATACCACTTTTCAAAAAAAAACATTTTAAAAACGAACCAACAAATAGTCTTTTCTCGTCCCATTAATCACAGATTTATATGAACTGAATAAAATGAAAGAGCATAAAGGATTATCTTCTTCGTCAAATTGTTCCAAGACCTTGATCATGGAGCATTCACATCAGTGGTTTTCATATGTATTCCCCGAAAACATATTCATCGTTTAGATACACAGTGCTGCATATGTATATATGCATACATACATTCTTCCTTACATAATATATTAGGTTAATACAAAATGTTTTTTTCCTATTTTTCTATCATCCCATGTGGGTGAAAATTTACCACTTTTTAACATCCAAACGGTTCATCTTTTCAATATGGAAAATGTGACACGCTTGTAATGTCTTTTTTTATGTGCTTTTTTTTTTTTTTTTTTTTTCCTTGTCTTTCGCTGTGTAAGCGACATGTATAATAGCAAAATTTGCGGATTCCAAGGCGAATGGAGAAAAAAAAAAAAAAAAAAAAAAAAAAAAAATTAGGAGCCATTATAATAGACCATACATATTGTGACAAAACCTTGAGCTAGTTTTATTATCTCTTGTTTTCATTTCCAATTGTGCACATCTCCCATTCGGTTAAACACAACATTGAGGAACCATATAACAAGGGTATGCACTGTATCTTGTTCTTCTACCTCTTTTTTCATAGCAAAATTAAATTAGATGTGCATATCTAAGTCTCCTTTTTTTTTTTTTTTTTTTTTTTTTTTCCTTTTCTTATATGTACATAAATGATCACACCAAAGTCATAACATGTAAAAAAAAAATATGACGCATTACAATTCGGATGTCAATTTTCAGTTCATCAGCAAGCACATTTATTGCTTTTTAAAAGATAGTTGTATTTGTCTACTTAACCTTTTAAACAATGAAAAAAAGTTATTGTTCATTTCTTGCAATGAAAGCTTGCAGGAAGTTCGTTTCGAATTGGTGGAAACCACAGAAGTGGGAGTTAACGAATACAGAAGTGCTAGTGTTAATATAAAAATAAACACAGATAATGACAAGTTCACATATACAAATATGGAATTAAATGCAGAAACAGATGCAATAGGACACAAGTACAGGTTATACCCCGTGAGGAAATTTTTCTGCAATGAAAAGAAGCATACCATCGCAGTAGTGATACATAAAACCTCCATTGACTTTTTATGTTATCTTTTATTCGACGAAATGAATAACTTCAATTCCTTTGAGGTCCAATTTGTTCACAAAGTAGAGGAAACTATCAAGGATGTATCTTTAGGAGATGAAAAAATATACATGTTACTGAAGAGGCGACGTGGTTCTGGGTTGCTTCACTGGGTGGGTTCAGGCAAGAGTAATGCAGGGTCATCTAAGTCAAGTGGTCATTCGAGAGCCCATTCGATTAGCCATTCTAGTGGTCAGGCAAATGGTCAGGCAAATGGTCAGGCAAATGGTCAGGCAAGTGGTCAGGCAAATGGTCAGGCAAGTGGTCAGGCAAATGGTCAGGCAAGTGGTCAGGCAAATAGTCAGGCAAATGGTCAGGCAAGTGACCAGTCAAATGGTCAGGCAAGTGGCCAGGCAAGTGACCAGTCAAATGACCTGATGAATGACAAACAAAATAGCGAGACAAACTCTAGCAAAGAACTACCCAGGAACAGAGAATACCTCATTTATGCACTGGAATTGTCGAGTGGGGAAAAAAAAGATGAGGGAAAAACAGAAATTCCTAATAAGTCCTGTTTACGACTGGAAAAAATGATGGTGTGTCCATATGATGAGAAAAAAATAATTTTGCTGTCAAAAAGAAGCATTTTTTTTGTAACTATTTTAAATGAGCAGGGTATAAAAACAAAAATGGTAAATGTGTCGAAGGAACTCTTATTTAAGAGTCCAATTGTAACAACCTCATGGTTAGACTTCCACATCTATGTCATCTGTTTGTCAAATAATGATTTACTGTTTTTTAATCTTTCCAAGAATTCGCATATACATCTGCCCACTCTAAGGTGTCACAACACGTATTCAAAAATATGTTCTATTTTTTACAAGTCTCACTATCTTTTTGTTGCATTCACCTCTAACGAAATTGTTTGCTTTAGTGTGAACTACAACGCGCTTCCCCCTTCTGCTTTTTGCAAGGTGAGAAATTTCCCTAGTGTCGAAAAATCGAAACTTGGAAAATTTTCCACATCTAACGTTGGCTTCAAAAGCTCAGTTGTCAGAGAGAGCGATTCCTACATCCAGCATATTCCATTTCTACCCATTTGCACCTCTACCCTTTTGCACCTCTACCCATTTGCACCTCTACCCATTTGCACCTCTACCCTTTTGCACCTCTACCCTTTTGCACCTCTACCTATTTGCACCTCTACCTATTTGCACCTCTACCCCCACTTGAACTATCTGCCCTTGTTAGGTAACTCCCATCGAAGGAAATTACATAAGCGCCAAGTGTCTATTTCAAAAAAAAAAAGAAATCAAAAAAAATAAGGATTACAACATGAGCACACACAGTGCAATTAAAAATGAGAAAGATGCAAATATTCATAATGTGGGAGAGCAGCATTTGAAGGAAGTTAATTTGAAGGAGGTTAATTTAAAGGAATTTAATTTGAATGAACACAATATGGTAGAACCGGGAGATGACAAACACACCATGCGCAGGAAACAAATTGAAAAGAAAACTCCACGCACATGTAGAAACACCTTTGAATCCATTTTAAACGAAATTAAACAAGTAGAACTCAAAATGGATGAAAAAGGGTTTGACGTGTTGAAAGTGTCAGATGGGGAAGGGGGAGATGGCATTGAACAAACATTGCAGAACATACCGCTCGATGAGTTTGAGGATTCTGTGAATTTGCGTCCTCCATGGGATGAAAGATCTGTCGTCCACTGTGTTAACGATTCTAATCGTGAGAACTTCAACATCGGTTTTAGCTCTTCGAATCCGACAAATAGAACGAACCCTATAAGTTTTTCACATTTGAGAAGGAGAAGGAAAGCGAAATTTTACAAACTGCACTATGATAAAGACAATGTTATCGACCTACTGAGAACCGTTTCGATGGTGAATTTCCAAAAATATGTGACACATAAAATGAGGACCTTCTTCATACGCAGGAATTATCTTTTCATTCAACTGGAAAATGGACTATTATATTACAGCACAAATTTTAATCAAAAAAGGTTGAGTCTGGATGCAGATTCTAATTTCTACTTATGTTCACACAGATCAATGTATAAAATAAGGGATATAAAAATAAACGAAAAAAATCAGTTGTTTACTTTAGATAATGCTAAAATACTCAAGTGTTATTCTCTTGAAAATAATGAATTGAATATTATATGTACAGGAAAGAAAATAAAATGGTTCCATATTTTCTGCATTATGGGGAAATGTAGCTGTCTATTTGTATCCCAAATGGATGGTTCCTTTTTTTTCATTAACATAACGAATCACAAAATATTGCTATATGACAACATAAGACACTACATGAAAAGCCATACTTGCAGAATAAGAGGAATAATAAGAGATGTAACGAGTGTAAGAAGAAAGCATTGCATCGAATGTGGTATCTTTAATAAAATAAACGAGTATATTTTCAATGGATATTTTAAGGTTTCAGGTTTTGTTTTTTCCTTTTTCTTAATTTATTCCTTGTCTCATCAGAAATTTTTCATTTATTTCGTTCACAAAATTGGAATACAGAAGCTTATACATTTGGCAAACTCAGAAAATAATGATAATCCTGTCAATAGAATCAACGAATCAACTTCAATTGTGCTAAATTTTTCAACATACAAAAGTGAAGACTTTGACTATGCTTGTTTCTTAACATCCACTAGCGATCTGAAAAAATTTTACCTTTTTTTCGTGCAACTTATAAATAAGCAAAATATAATAATGAAGAAAAAAAAATGGAATACAGATTTGAAAGTTTTTTATTGGAAAATTCAACATAGTAATATCGTTTACGGGAAAGTAATTGGAAATTATGTAATTCTTGTGGACTTCCATTTGAAGATTCACTTTTTTCACCTGAACAGAGATATATTTTTTTTTGTATCCCATTCACCAAGGGATTCAAATGAGTTACCTTCCTTCATCAGATGTGCAAAACCCTTTCTGAGAGGCATGAAAAATGCTCAGATTGGAAAACGTAAAAATTCTCATGAACTGATAGACGAAAATAATGCATTTGAACAGTTCCTCTTGAAGAGAAGAATACGCAAAAACAGATGTCATAGGAATGGGATCCTTCTCCAAGATGTAGAAACCAAACTCAATGAAGGAAAAAATGGAAAATCTTCAGATACTTGTCTATATCAGTTAAATCTAGGCGATAGAGTGTATCACATCGACATTAGTCATGCAGGCACAGTTCAATTCATTAACGAACGGAAGGAACAGAATAATGAAAAAATTTGCATCTTTGATATTGTTACAGATTCTAACACATTTGTAACATTTTCCTTCAACAGTTCAGAATACCCACTTAAAATACTGAAGAAACCCAAGATTTACTCCCACCCATTGCACAAATCTGAAAGAGTTAACTTCTTCTATCCAATGAAAATGAAAAGTAGTACATATAATTTGTTTTTAATCAATGAGAGATTTTTAAGAATGCAAGAAGGAGATTCATCAGAGTGTGAAAACGAGAACATTGAAATGAAAGGTGTGAAAAGGAGTTCACAAATCAGTAGCGGCGATTGCGTGAGCACAGATGGGGGGACGGAAGACAGGGACACACCCTTGGAACAAAAAATAGAGCCTAAAATGGAATCCAAAATAGAATCCAAAATGGAATCCAAAATAGAACCCAAAATGGAATCCAATATAGAACATTGTACGGAAATGATTTGCACAAAGAACCATGATCGAAGTGTAAAAGCTAACTCGGCAAAGCCATGTGAAGTGGACGCATGTTCCAAGCATTTAAGTTTTTTTTTAAAACCTCCCAACGTTGTATTCTTCAAAGTGTATAGCACTGCGCTTCGTATGTATCTGCACGGTAAGCAGAGAAAGAAATTCCAAGACAATGTGGAAGTTGTATGGGGTGAAGTTCCTAAGGGAGAAAGTGAAAATGATTGTGCATGTGATAATGGAAAATTGGAGGAGGTAAAAGGAATTGAAAAGATTCATAGTAGAAGCAAAACAGAGGCTCCAAAATTTACAAACTTCTTCTTCGACAATGAAACAATAATATTCACTTTTCTGAATGAAAAAGAGTATCGATTTCCCTTACCACAATGTCTTATTCATTATAAAAACAAAATGTATCTAAGTAACCTGCACAAGAAGCAAAGGGAAGAAAAAGAGAAGATTTTAAAACTTAGGAAGGAGCTAAAAGATCTCATAAATCAAAACAACAATAGCTGTAGCAGGATAAAATTACAAAGAAAAAACTTTTTTTTTGACAAAAGAATTATTAACGAATCAGAAATTTTAATCAATGAATATGAAAAAATAAAAAAAAAATTTGAAAAAGAGAAATTAGAAAAAGAACGGATAATAAAAATGTTAGAGAAAAAATGTTCTCATTTAAAAGACGTAGATTTTTTGTATGGGTTTAATAAAAATTTGTATGTGTCAAATACTTATAAGAATAAAAATTCTTATCAGTATTGCGTGTTCAGAAATAAACTAAAATTTTTGAGATTTTTACAAATTAAAGAATCTTATTTTGCACAAAATGTGGACAAAAATAATAGTCTCTATTTTTTAAAAACAACCAAAGATTATATAGATAGATATACAGATGACTTCTCTTCTCTCTTTTTCTCTCATTACTATCCGTGCACAAATATGAACTTAAATTATCTTTATTCTAATTTGTTTAGTTCCCTTTTCCCCTCTAATGGGGTCGATAATATCCAATGGAATTATCTTCTGTACTACCCATGCGAGCTTTTCACAAATTCAAGAAAGAGGATTCAATCTTACTTCCTTCAGATGCTGATAGACCAGGTTCGTATCTGCAGTGTCCCCGTGCAATTCAGCTGTTTCTATGGGTTCTGATAAGATGCCATTCTTCCAACCAATTCAGCTGTTTCTATGGGTTCTGATGAGATTCCGTGCTTCCAACTAATTCAGCTGCTTCTACGGGTTCTGATGAGACTCCGTGCTTCCAACCAATTCAGCTGCTTCTAGCAGCGATCATAACTCTACCTTGACTAATCTCCAAACACACATATTCTCATCTCACAGCAAAAGGCAAAATTTCAAAGCAGCTTCCTTGCCCTGAAAGAAGAAAAAAAAAATTACACAGAAGAAATAAATTTCATATCCAACAAGCTGAAGTTATCATTGGAAGTTGCAGAGAAATATTTCACAAAGACGTACTCTCATATGATCGATTCGAATTTATTCAACAGGGGAATTTTAAAAGGAGTAAAGAGCGATGATGTACAACCTATATCAAATAAATTTGATTCGGATATGCTTCTGAAAATGCATTTACATAAGTTGAATGTAGAGAATCAGATGGAATATGATTTTAATTTACATGAAAAAGGGAATCCAAATGTAAAGATGCAAAAATCAAAGAATCATTTCAGATTGGAGACAGGGTTAAAAGGGTATGTAGAACCAAATGAATCTAACGGCACGTAGGAAAATATAAAACAGTTTCACTTTGCAGGAATTCTTAATTATCGCTATGCAACTCCAATTTTTTTTTTTTCATTGTAGCGAATCTGAGAAAGACAAAGAAAACTCCCAGGGCATAACCATTTGTGATAATGATGAGAACTCAGAAAATTTGGAACTCTATGAAAAGAAGAAAAGTGATCTTAAGAATACATTATCAGATGTGAAGAGTTACATGTAAAGGAAAGATCGAACTCGTGAAGTTATATATACTACATCCCGTGGGAGGGATGAAAGAGTCTAAATTTGTAAAAAGGAGAGAATGAACTTCTTTTCTTAACCCAATTCATTGTATTATGTTGATACTTTTTAGACTCTATTTTTGTCTTCATATGTTCCATTCTGCAGCTATCAAATTACGGATCACTGTGATGAGTTCAATGAGAAGCTGAAGATGTTGAAAAAGAAGAAGTAGGACCCCAGAGAGGGTGGGGAGGGGGGAAAATGACAAAAATGGGGAAGACAAACGTGGCAAAAAAAATGAAAAAAAAAAAACGATAGTCGAGATACCCACACGATGCCCACCACCCGGAGAGACTCACTTCAGAGGCTAACCTTTTCATCACCTTGTCAAAATAGACAGACCGAAAAATTTTCATCATTAACTTCCTCATATTTTAATCATTTCTCATGAATCACTTTTTTTTAGATACAATATACAGAAGTTGATAGCTGTACACGAACTATACTTTATTGGCATTTATGCCACATTAATAAATGAAGAGTGGAAATTAAAAGTTTTGAAGAAAATAGAAAAGAAGAGGAATCAAGTTGAGGAGCAATTGAATAAACTTGAAAATTCTATAAAAAATTTAAGCATGTTACAGGTAGGTTTCTCATAATACAGTAAAAAAAAAAAAAAGGGAAATACAAAAATGAATGTTACTACTACAACTAACCACAAATATAATGATCCTACTCCTCCATGGATATACACAAGCCAATGTCATTGCAAAGGGGGTGATACTCTTTTTTTGTTAAGAATTTTCACACATAATATATAAAATTAAATTCCTGTAGGTTGACAATGAATCACTAGGAGAAGAAAAAGTGTGTCTATTGGAGGTACACATATCTGGGATGATATACTTTGCAAAATCACCAAAAAAAAAAAAAAAAAAAAAAAAAAAAAAAAAAAAAAACATTGCACTAGCCATAACATGAAATACCCAATTCCTCATGAGCACAACATAGAATTAATTTTTCTGTGTTCCTTATCCCTATTGTTAGAAACACAAAAAAGCCTTGATTCTAAGTGAACGTTTGGCAGAGAAGAAGCAAAAGTTTGAGAAGCAGTTCCTACACGAATGTATGAATTTTGACGTCTTGATTGAGCAAAAATATGAAAACGTAAGGGAAAAGACAGACAAAAGAGGGAGAAACAAGGGAGAAACGAGGGAGAAACGAGGGAGAAACAAGGGAGAAACGAGGGAGAAACGAGGGAGAAACAAGGGAGAAACGAGCTACATCAAATTAGTTAAATCACACGAAAAAACTTCTCTCCAAGAGACAAAAAAAAAAAAAAAAAAAAAAAAATCACAAATTGAATCTGCTTTTCAACCAGGTCATTGGATTCGACTTCGATTCTAGGAAAAACATTTTCTTAAAAAAGAAAATAATACAGAAGCATATAGTTGAAATAAATCAAATAATTTTAGAAAATTTAGAGCTTCGAAGGAATATTAAGGTAACGTGTCCCAAGTGAATGGTTCATCTATTCACTTATTCGACCACTCCACCACTCAGTCATTCCTTTTTTGTTTCTTAATCCCGTTGTGTTGGCACCACCCCAAGCCACGCGCGTATTACATATGGCTCTCTGCTTTGTACCCAAACCTCCCTCACAGAAATTAAAGAACGAAATTTACAAAAACAGAATAAAAAAAGACTACTTCAACTTTTTACTCATGGATATAGAAGAAGGGGTTGACGACGTTAAGTACCTGAAGCAGAACTGCGAGTATCTTTTTTGTGATATAGGTAAAATAATGAACCCTTGCAATGCATACAAACACGTTACATTTGAAAGCATAATTTAAAATGTATCTTTGTCTATTTCTAATAATTTCCTCTCTCTTTCTAACTCCTCTTTTTATCACGCTTTCTGAAAAATACTACTTGTACACAGTTGCAGCGTTTTGCATTTTTTCGTTATTTTTTTACCTGACCATGGTGCCTGCTTTTTCCTCGCAGATAACGTGATTAACTCACTGGAGACGAAAAAAAAAAACAGGAAACTTATTTTCAGAATGTCTAAACAGAAGATACGTAACCAAATTAATAGCGTGGAATCGAAGATATCTGCAATTGTAAGTGGAGAATCATGTGCATACTATGATCCCCACCACCAACACCCTTTTATTTTCAAATTCGTTTGTTGCCACGCACCCTCATCGAACCCATCTCAGCTACACCCTTTTTCCTACACACTACATCACCTGTCTCCCTTTTCATAGAAATCTGAGAATATCGTGCTGGAGGCAAATATGCAAAGCCTAATTAAAGAAATTAAAGAAATAAACAAATCGATGCAACTCGACAATGTGGATGGAATTTCATGCCACTTGAGTTATGGAAAAGAAACGGGTGATGTATGTCACATGGATGAATCACATCAAGCAGAAGAACACATATCTTATATAAACGAAGGGAAGGGATATTTAGGAGATGATAATATTGCAGGAATGGACAAATCCTTAAAACCGTTACCCATAGGTACTGAGGTGGGAAAAAATGCAAAGGGGGGAGAAGAGGAAGACGAAGCAGAAAATGAAGCAGAAATGGACGAGGAAAATAAAGCAGAAATGGACGAGGAAAATGAAGAAAAAATGGGTGAGAAAGTCGAAGGAGAAGAAGGGGACGTACCCATGAACTCTCTAGACGCAGAGCGGGAGAGAAATAAAGAAAACCTACACAGCAATATGGAGAATAAAAATGACAATACTACTGAGGAACCTATTTCAAACCAAGGGGGCGAACAAAAGCATAATCATGCTGATGACCAAGTCTCTGTTTGTAGAGAAAAAAAAAAAAAAAAATTGTGCACCAAAGATATTTACAAAATAAGTGCCATGTTGCGGAAGAAATATAAGTAAAAAAAAAAAAAAAAAAAATTGTGAACTATAATATATGAGCTATATATGAATGGAGAAAGAATTAGCATTCCTACATATATATATATATATATATATATATATATATATATATATATATATATATATATATATATAATGTAAATGTTCCTTTTATAGCATTCTCCTTTTACATTTATTTAATTATTTTATTATTTTATTTTTTTCTTTTTTGGAGGAGAGAAGGAGAAAAAAACGGCAACATCGTATGCTTGCCCATTCCTGCCTCTTCATTCTTCTTTTTTTTTTTTTTTTTTTTTTTTTTTGTGGGACACATTTTTGTGAGTTCAAATAAATGCATAATTTTACACCTTTGCGTCTATACAAAGAATAGTCCCATTTTGTTTATATTTTTCTTTCAACAACTCTTCGAGAAAAAGGAATTTCTCTCTCTCTTTTTTTTCTTTTTTAATTTTAGCATATGTATATTTTTAACCTTTAAATTATTTTTCTTCTGTAAAGGTTCTTACATTTGGTTTAAGACTTTTTCGATTTTACTTAATTTTATTTTATTTAATTCAAGTTTACTTAATTTAAGTTTATTTAATTTTTATTTTATTTAATTTTTATTTTATTTTTTTTTTTTTGAGTCGGGTGGTGGTCTACATAGGATATAGATAATTCTACAAATGTATCCAGATTTATTCCACCTCTGTATATACATATGCAATAGAAAAGAGCCTTCATGATATACTTACCACAGGGAGGAAAAAAACGTACCCATTTTTTAATGATTAAAATATATATATTACATATAAAATTTTTATGGGTGCATATAAAGGATCTTCACATAGTCACAACGAGAGACGTGTATACATTGGGGAACCATGTTGATGTAGGAATCCATGTAGGGTGTCGAACACAAATTACATTTCTTGTGTTAATTTTTCCGAAACGTTTCTTTATTTTTATTTTTACTTTTTCATTTTTCTCACGTTTGAACTACGTACAAATTCACAAAATTGAAAACGCAAGGGGCCTGATCTTTCCTCTTCGCTATGATGAAAGACAACATCAGAAATGCATTAGAAGCTGAGAGGGAAAAGGAACAAGGGAATGTTTTATTTTCCAAAGGAGATTACGAGGTAACGGAGAATCAGTGCCTCCTGTCTTTCATACTTATGTATTCTTCATCTTGAGTTCCTTGATAGGCAATACATATATACGTACCTGTATATGCATACATATATACGTACCTGTATATGCATACATATATACATACCTGTATATGCATACATATATACATACATGTATATGTATACATATTTCTTATTTTTTTTTTTTAACCATTTCACCCCCACCCCCTCTTCACAGCTGGCCATTTTTCACTATAGCAGAAGTATCAACTACATGCCTAAGTGTTCTATTTTGTTCACAAACCGATCCTTGGCATATTTCAAGTATGAACAAACAGAACAAAAGTGGAGGGAGTAATCAAGCCTGAATTATGCAAAACCAAAAAGTGTGTATACCTTTATGCAACATATACAAATTGCCTTTTTTTTTTTTTTTTTTTTTTTTTTTTTCCCCCACCTATTCTTGCTAATATGTGAAAGAATTGGATCATATCAAAAGAGTCTTGAAGATGCACTAAAGGCCAAAGAATTGGATGAAAAAAATTTAAAAAGTTATTATAGAATATGCGAAGCTTACTATGCTTTGAATGACATGGAAAATTATCAAAAGTATGAAAAATTGTATAAAGAAAAGAAACATAAACAGGGGGATGATATAAAGAGGGTGAAGGAGATTAAGAATCAGTCAGGGAAAAAAAAAGAAAAAAATATTTTACCCATGCAGATCGAATCAACAATGAAATTACCTCCTCCACATGAAAGGGTAGACACCAATTTGGAAAATATAAAAGAAAAGGGAATTAAAAAAAGTGATGAATTAATGCACATATGTGAAAAAAAGGACGAAAATAATAAATTTATCTTCTTTAATCAACCCAAAATTCATGACAACGCATCCAATTTTAAATTCGAAAAAAAGCCATACAAAAATAATTTCCTAATAGAAGAAGTATACGACTTTGACATGAATAAGAAACAAAAAAATTTACTGAATGGGAACACAACAAAAAAAAAAAAAAATGAAGATTTCTATTCAAATGATACAGCTGCGAAGAGGATTCTAATAAACCACTCCGATATACATAACGATGCTGAACTCTTTGTAAATGAATTTAGGAACATCTTCATGCACCCTACCAACACAATTTCTGTACATATTCAGAAAGAAACAAAAGAAATAAAATATTGGAATTATGCTAATGAAGATTTGAAATTTTTAAAAAAAAAAGCAGATGATTTTTTTTCAGGAAAAAAATTCGATTCTGCCATGGAGTTGTATAATGAAATTATTAAGCAGCACGATAGGTAAAGTGGGAGAATAATAAAAAAAAAAAAAAAAAAAAAATAGAGTGGGTTATTCCCAAATCGATTGAATAAAAACGTGTGATATACTCTCTGTGCCATGTTTATATATGTATCCATCTGCCAAGCTTTTTCATTGTCATCACGTGAAATGGAGTAACAACCCTTTCATTGCCATCGTGAATAGGACACGTCCCCCCTATTATGCACATGCAAACATGCACACATGCGTACCATTCTGATTCCTCCACATGCAAACATGCACACACAAAAACACCCCTTTGCAGCGAAAATGGAATACACTACTGCACAGTACTAAGCAACAGAAGTGCTTGTCATATTGAACTGAAAAAGATACGAAGTGCTCTCTGTGATGTTAGTAAAACGTTAAATATTCTTTTTACATTTTTTGAAAAACATAGAAAAAATATAACGAGCGTAGATGCTCATGTACCTGTATCACCTTCTGTGCATGAAAAGGAATTAGCATTTGCTCAAATAGACATAGATGTTTACAGAGGTCCCAAGGGAATATATTCCCAAGCACACAAATTGTTAATAAAGTTATTATTTAGATATGTGAAGTTTTCACATTTGTATGAAAAAAATGGGTTTATGATTCCATCTCCTCACCAAGTAATCAAATATATATATATATATATATATATATATATATATTTTTACTCTATATCTATACATATCTGTGCATAAAGTATTTTTTCGTAAGATCCTACACAATTGTTCCCTTCAAAAAAAAAGTGAAAAAAAAAAAAAAAAAAACCTTACCTTTTTTGAACCTTCACAGGTGGATACTCTTGGACGCATGAAGGGAATATGCTACATAAACTCTGGAGAATTTGAAAAAGTGATAAATATAATTTCACGCTGAGTTTATAGTTCCTTTTTCTTTTTATAGATTTCTTCTGCATATTGTTGTATGTACGTGTAGTTAACGTCTTTCAGCCATTCGTGTTCCTGCGCGGTGAGGTGTGGGTGGCAGAAGTCCCACAGGTTGGAAGCAAACACGGAAGAGGTGGATATATGTGCACAAAACACAAGGTTTACATATATGCACACATATTTACACATATTCACATATATTCACACATATCCACATATATAGACAACACATTTGTTCCCACTTGCACTACTAACACGCGTATGGGTTTTTCTTCCCATTTTCTGCATGACTTACGAGCGCCTCTTCCGAACTGAACCTATCTCTTGGGTTCTTCCTCAAAAGATAGCTCAAAAATTCAATGTCCATATTTGAGAGAGATCGGTCGCAAGATGGAAACTTTTTTTTAGTATATTCATATAAAAAGTTATTTCGATTCAAATGATATTGTACTTGACCCCTGCCAATATCTTGGAACAACTGAATTAATGATTTCCTTTGGGTGAATGGCAAAACGCGATAAAACAAAGCGTACAGACAAATGCCTAAACCCCATATATCTACCTTCTCTCCGTAGTAACACGATTCGTTGGTAAAGAATTCTGGAGGCATGAATTCATATGTTCCCTGTGAGAAAAGGAAGCAAAATTGAAGCAGTCCTTTTATGATGTGATAAACATTAAGGATGGATTATAAACAAAAAAAAAAAAAAAAATGCATAAATGGGAAGATAATTTTTTTTAGAAAGGCATGACAAATGGTACTCTAAACCCACTACAAACTAAGCTGGACTATCATAACGATTTTGTGATGCCTTCCCTTCACTCCTCGTTCTTAACCTTGGTTCCGTGTATCTCTCTGTTGGTCATCATGTACTGGGATTCACCAAAGTCTCCCAATTTTATAATACCACTTTTGCTTAAAAATATATTGGATGGTTTTACGTCCCGATGGCATATATTTTTTATTGTATGAATATAGACAAGTGACTTTAAGACACTCTTAACAATGCATTTAATAACTGGAAGAGCAATAAATGTATGTTCATTCTTATGGACAACAAAAAAAGTACCATCATACTGCAATATAGATTCATTTTCCATATAATTATTCACAATATAAATTTCATTATAATTTGTTATAATTTCATCACAGGATAGGCAATATTCATTTTTTATGTCTGCCAAAATTTCTAATTCTTTTTTTATATCGTCATATTTGGAACGTATTATCACTGGGGCACATTTATTGCTTTTATAAAATTCTCTTTGTTTTTCCAAAACTTTTTTTTCATATTTTTTTATTCCGTAGAATTTCCCGTCCTTTTCGCATAAAATTACTTTGCTGAATTTGCCTATAAAAAGGGTGTTTATTGGGGGGATAGTTTTTTGTAGTGGAATAGGTAATGAAAAAAGAATAGGAAATTCAAGAGCGAAAGAATGAAAAATTCGTTGATAAAAAAGTTCACACAAGCACTACATGTGTATGTGTTAATATGCTTGCACAGGTATCATATATGTGCTATATAAGATGGTATTATACAACTAGCTTTTTTTTTTTTTTTTTTTTTTTCTGTGTGTGAGAAATTTTGTGCATGTTGTTCAGGCGAAAATTGGCTCATCTTTTTTTTATTTTTTTTGTGTGAGAAAATTTGTGCATGTTGTTCAGGTGAAAATTGGCATATTTATTTTATTATTTTTTTTTTTTTGTATGCTTCAATTTTGGATGCAGTTATTTTTTATTTTCTCATTTTTCACATAACTATGTGAAATGTTGTTATTTTTCGTTTTTCCCCTCCCTCGGTTACTTCACGATACGACTGCTTGTGCCGCTAAACTCTTTTTACATGTACAAAGTCACCTTCCTTGACTGTTCGAACAACTCGGTAATCATTCACAAAGGATTCGCCATCTTTTTCTCTTTTTTCCAAAAGAACTACTTTTTCGTGGTGCTTTAGTATCTCCTGCATGTTGTATTAGTACATCTTAGTACAATACCACATATATCTCATCGGATGTTTTGAAGAACACAGTGGGTGTAGAGGACATGTTCCAACAATACACACCTATGTTTGTTAAAATTGGGTTGACTGAAATTTATGAACGTTCATGGGAAAAAAAAAAAAAAAAAAAAAAAAAAAAAAAATAGAATAATAATATAAAATAAAATAAAACAAATTAAGCAATAACTAGTGAGTAATAATTAGTAAGAACAAATTAACAAGCAGTAGTTAGTAAAAACAATAACTATCGTATAACAATTAATGACTAATAGCTAATATCTCGTTAGGCCATTCGCTACCTTTTTTGGCATATTATGGCTGTACCAAAAAAAAGAAGAAGCTTAAGCAAGTGTAGAAAAAGAAGAAATACGATTTTTTTCGATAAACTCGTTGGAAATTGGCTAAAACGGAGGGAGTGGTAAAATGTGCAGCCATTTTTTTTTTTTTTTTTTTTTTTTTTTACGTGTATACATATAGTGTACCTATTGGATACATATTTTGTGTGCATATTCGTTCGTATACATGCGAAATGAAAACAATGGCTAAAAGTATTGTGAATAGTGGAAGGCTGTAAAAAGAAATAAAGAGGGGACATGTGCGAAATCCCTCTTTAATGCTTCAACATATGTCATGTGTTGGTGCACACCCCATATTGTTTGTTCCCATTGGGTGAATGTTCAAAATTGTGAATAATACACACAACAAATGCAACAGATGGAGAAAAGTGTATTTCTTTTTTCGTTTATGTAGCTAATTTTTTTTTTTTTTTTTTCCCGTCCTATGTCCAATTTTCCATTATATACAACACCAACTGTAGGTTTTTCAGAAACGAGTATCAAAAAGAAATTTTACCCATACAGCAGGAACCTCATATGTTTAAATTCCCCGGCTTCTGGCCGAACAAGTAAGAAAAAGAGAAAAAAAGAAAAAAAGAAAAAAAGAAGAAAAAAGGAAAAAAAGAAGAAAAGAAGAAAATCCTAATCATGTTACGAACATGGCGTGAGTGTTTGGCATATGTCTCACACGTGAAAGAAAGACAAGTAATATCGGTTACACCTTACCTATATTCCTTAATTATTCTCCTCACCATACTACTCATAGATTCGTCCATCAATTGTCTTCACAAATTAAAAAAATCATAAAGTAGTAAACGTAGCAGAGGAAGAAAGTAACATCACACGTTTGGAATAAACAAACTTTGTGAAAGGACTCTCTTCAGAAAAAAAAAAAAAAAATTCTTAAAAATCTCCACGATCTGCAAGGCTTAATTGGTCCCAATATTTGCATATGCACTTTTACAAGCAAGTATTACCATCATGAACGTATTCAGGAAATTCTGTTTTTTTAGTCAAAGGAGATATTTGGGAAATATTGTTAGGGGACCCCGACCAAACGAGGTACATATATATATATATATATATATATATATAAAACAAAAGGACGTCGAAAAAGAAAGAAAACAGAAAGAATGACCAACTGTGGACTAGCGTTTTCTTAATGCAATTTTACATATACCCCCCAAATGACAATCTCGCAGGGGGGGGGTACGGTGAATATGGCACATATTGCATACACAAGCTGTAAAAAAGAATAGCATGTGCAATCGCTACATATTGGTTGGTTCATCATGCACATATATATACATGTGTATATATATATATGTATGTATATATTTACATATGCATATGTATATACACGTGCGCACGAAAATACATGCAACGAATCGAATATGTATACTTCCCTTTCCCATTATAGATCGCCAAAAATTTAGAATATGCAGTGGACTTCTTTCACAGGAAATCGCACACGTACCAGGATTTCAAACAGCAGTGTGAATCGTTGCGAATTTTTATTTACTTTGGATTAGTGGGTGTTCTGTCAGTAGACCTTTTAATAAATCCTTTAAAATCGTCCTACTGGGATCAGTTTTCCCCCATGAACATAATGAGGAGATTTTTTCTCTTTTTTAAAAACAAGGAGGATAATATTTTTAGACATAACGGCAGTTCCTCTTACGAAAAATATATGCAACTTATTAGGTAGCATTTTGAAATTCAATGTTGACTTTCCCGTTTTATTCGTTCATTTTGTCCCTTCGACTCTTCAATTTTTTAATACCTTAACAGTTTTATTTTTTGTTTTTTTGCCATTTCGCCGTTTCTCCATTTTGCCATTTCGCCGTTTCTCCATTTTGCCATTTCGCCGTTTCTCCATTTTGCCACTTTGCCATTTTTCTATTTTGCTATTTTTTTTCATTTTGCATCTTATGAAAGGAGCAGTTTAGTTAACTTTTAAAAAAAGAAAAAAAGTACGAAATCAAATGAGTGCAAAAAAAAAAAAAATAAAATAAAAATAAAAAAATAGGTGCGTTCAGGTACCGTGTTGCTGCAATATCTCAATGCAGTAGTGTCACTGTCCCATTGAACTATGGTGTTCTGATGTAAAGGTACATGAGGTAGAAAAACGGAGGATTAATGAATACATGGAGTTAAGAAATGGGCAAATAAAAAAATAAAATGAAACATGAATATAAAAAGAAAAGGGGGAGAGGGGTAGAATAGGGGTAAGGGAAATAGAATCTGCATTTCATGCATTGGAAACTTATCATATAATATCTACTCAAATTGGAAGTATTTTCCTTTAAGTCATGTATATGCATAAGTAGTATGTTGTGATATTTTATGTTCACACGCATGAGAAACTGGTCCACGGTGATGTGTGAGATGAGCACATTAGATAAGAGGCCATGCATATAATGATGTATGCAACATGCGAAGATGACTCAACATGCGAAGATGACTCAACATGCGAAGATGATTCAACATGCGAAGATGATTCAACATGAGAAGATGATTCAACATGAGAAGATGATTCAACATGCGAAGATGATTCAACATGAGAAGATGATTCAACATGAGAAGATGATTCAACATGAGAAGATGATTCAAAATGTGGGGATAATTCAAAATTTTGGAAAGCAGAAAAAGTGAAGGTGAAGGGAAGATAGTAAAAACGTGATGATTATATACCAGTGCGTAGCGCAGAACAATATTATTACTTGTGTTCGTTCGGCTTTAATTCCATTTTGAGTTAACTGTAACTTTGTCTACCATTTGACTCTTCCTAATTTTGAAACCTTAAAAAAAATTTCCATAAATAAAGAACCATCTTCTGTTCGTGTTTATATGTATATCCTTGGTTCAAAAAGGAGAATTCACTTTAGCATTTTGTTCCGATTTTAATTTCTACGACAATTTTTTTTTTTTTTTTTTCTTGTTTTAAAAGGTATTAGCTAGCGCTTCTCGTATTATTCTTTTTTTTTCGCTAGTCAAACTTTTTGGAAATATGATATCAAATTCTACAATTAGGTCTCCTTTTGTATTTGGAAGTTTGGAAGAAGGCATACCTTCTTTGGATACAATTTTTCTCGTTTTGGGAGTAACAATTTCATCCACACGTATATTTATGTCTCTGTTATCTAACGATTTAACAACAAATTGAAAACCTGTTAAAGCTTTGTCTAATGGTACTGGACATTTGTATATTAAATGATTTGAATCTCTTAAAAATCTATCATGTGTTTTAGTTTTAACCTTGAAGACTAAATCTCCTGGTTGACTCATTGGTGACAACTGATCCCCTTCTCCATAAAATGTTATTTTAGTTCCATCTTTCCATCCTGCCTTTACATCAATGGTTACAAAATTGTCGTCTTCATAGCTTTTAGAGCCCATGAATCTTTTCCTCGTTATTTTTAACTTCTTTTTACATCCACTATATAGTTCTTCCAGGGACAAGGAGAGAGGTACTTCATATGTTGCAGGCTTGTTGTAATTGTTGGGGGTTACGTCTAAATGGTGAAGGCGTGATGATCATGTTTATCAAGATTAGCTTCACAATTTGTGTCAAAGAAACGGGTGAAGCGTGTGCATCGGTTGTGTGCATCGGTTATGTAGATCGGTTATGTAGATCGGTTATGTGCATCGGTTATGTAGATCGGTTATGCACATGCACAGCATGGAAAAAAATTTGGGCATACTGCTGTGTTACACAAGTTTTTCCAATGTATATTCATATTGCACCGATATGCAACAGTTGTCAAAATGTACACTAAACGATTGCATGTCTTATATTCAAGTACTCACTTGTTGTTGCAGAAGGTCTTGCTTTTCTGGAAGTCATGTTAACAAACGTTGAAAATGGAGAAAAATCATCATCGAACCCAGATGTAAAGGAAAAATGACCATCAGAGCCAAAAATTCTACTAAAGAGTTCAGACGGATCTACCCCACTATAAACATATGTATTTCCACCTGTGGGGATAGAACCTTTTAACCCTTCTTCTCCATATGTATCATAAATTTTTCTTTTTTCTTCATCCGACAATACATCATATGCTTCTGCAATATTTTTAAATTTCTCTTCTGCTTCCTTTTTGGACTTAACATCTTTGTGTTTGTCCGGGTGCCACATCATGGCTAGCTTTCTGTACGCCTTCTTTAAATCATTTGTCGTACAATCTTTGCTGACTCCTAATATGGAATAGTAATCCTGCATGGTGGACAAACACAGAGGGGTACATATAAGCACACATCTGGCAAATATAAGAACACGTCTGGCAAATATAAGAACACGTCTGGCAAATATAAGAACACGTCTGGCAAATATAAGAACACGTCTGGCAAATATAAGAACACGTCTGGCAAATATAAGAACACGTCTGGCAAATATAAGAACACGTCTGGCAAATATAAGAACACGTCTGGCAAATATAAGAACACGTCTGGTAAATATAAACAACACGACGGATACGTGTATACGTATGTATATGTACAAGTAAGATACAGACTCTAAGAATATGTACAAAAACTAGACAATAAAAAAGTGCACGTATACTCAACCAATTGGGGGAAAAACAAAAAAAAAAAAAAAAAAAAATCTCACTTTTCACAATTGTGTCTAACTACTCTATTAAAATTTAATGACACAGATATTAAATGTTAAGTGTTATTTGTAAGACCTCCTAAACAGAGTGTATTTTTCTCTAAGTAGCAACCATTTTCTTTTTTTCATTTTCTCTCTTTAAAAAAAAAAAAAAAAAGGAGGACGAAGAAGAAGAGGAGGGGAATTGAAAAGGAAGCATCACGGTCTTAATTCAGGGAATCAGGACAGCTGGAAATTATTAATACTGCTTATCATTTGTGAATACATAAAAAGGAATCATATATTTGTTAACGTGCCTTTTTACAAAACATACACAAAAGAGTGGAAAATAGATTATTTGAACTGTTGTTATTACCTTTCCCATTTTGCAATGCAGGAAAATTTGGGTTCTTCTTAAAGTGTTTTACTTAGGCGTATACATATGCATGTACGGGTACTTTTTTTTTTTTTTTTTTTTTTTTTTTATACATACGTGTAAGAGTAAAAAGAAATGCCTCTCTTTATATATGCATAAATATTAACAATTTTATTTTGATAAATCCCTTTTTAGGGACAAAAAAACAAAAACATAAAATAAAAATATAAAAAAGTAGAGATAGATTCACTTAAAATTATAACAAAGATTATTTAAAATGTGTTTCCCTTTATCTTTTTTTTTTTTTTTTTTTTTTTTTTTTTTTGCGCTCTAAAATTTATCCACTTGTGAAGAGTAAAAATGACCTTTTCAGTTAGAAAAATATTTGAACGCATGAAATGTGAGAATGTGAAAATATAAAATTGAAAAAAAAAAAAAAAAAAACAGGAACTTAAAAACGGATAGGTGCATATATGTAAATATTTATACGTATATTTACACGAATGTACATATATATGTACATATGCGTTTATGCTTGTGTACTATCCTGATTAGTCAAAGTGTACAGATAGCATATTACATATAAACATAACTACGGGCGGATCGAGGGTCTACTCCTCAGACCACATGCATATATATATGTTTGCTTATATGTATACTTATATGTATGCTTATATGTATGCTTATATGTATGCTTATATGTTTGCTTATATGTTTGCTTATATGTATACTTATATGTATACTTATATGTATGTATTCATGTGTGCATATAAAAGCGACAGCGCCCACTGGGGAGAAGGAAGAGCATATAAAAAAAAAATAAAAATAAACAATATATTTACATATATATAAATATATATATATGCATACAAAGGAGCGCATTTATATCATACCACACCTTTCCACTTGGGGGTGGGGTGGAGAATCGATATGGAAAAGTAAAAGATAGTGTACGTAGTGTTCTACTGTAAATTTTTTTTTTTTTTTTTTTTTTTTTTTTACATGCCAAATAATTTGCAATAGATTTGTTCCTTCATGCTTTACTTGTGTGTTACTGCTTTATAATATTCTAATTTATTTTCCTACCTACTTTATTATTTACCTATAATATATAAACCCTTGTTAGGTAAGTATTTTTTTTTTTTTTTTTTTTTTTAAGGAATATATTTCCATATATTCAATAAATATCTTGTTATTGTTAAGGTATATATATATATATATATATATATACTACTTTATTCGTCCCCTGTTAGGGGTGAAAAAGTTAATGTAAATTTTTACACCTACCTTATTCGGCATTAGCTTATTTTTACTGCCACGTTAAGTGACTCTGTAGATAGCTGCTTTACTTAGGTGACTGTCTAACTACTTAGGGTAGCAGCTCAGTTAGCTGATTAATTTATTTTATCGTACCAAGTGTATGTTCTGTCGTGAAATTTTAATTCCCAATTTTAGGGACATAGGGTTTGTAGAATTTAAAAAAAAAAAAAAGTAAAAGGGAAGAGGAGTCAAAAACAAAAAAAAAAACCTTTTATTTCATTATAGTGATATTTCCATCCCCATAGTACACAACTACTCATGTGTATGTAACGTGAAACAGCTCCCTCGTGGATACCACTCAAGTGAACTTTCAAAATGTTCTAATCGGATATTTGCATACCATATATATACATATATACAAATATATTATATGTAGATATACTATATGTAGATATACTATATGTAGATATACCATATGTAGATATACTATAGGTAGATATATTATATGTAGATATACTATATGTAGATATACTATATGTAGATATACCATATGTAGATATACTATAGGTAGATATACTATAGGTAGATATATTTATGGATAAACCCGTTAGCGTGCTCTTATCTTGTCATGCAACAATGGGTGTTCTACAGACCTGGTAAACAAAAGTGGATGTGGAGAAGTGGAAGTTTGGCATATATTTTGGTAGATAAATTGAACACGAGAATTCACGATCGATGAAGGGGGTGATACATGAGGATGTGTTAAGATGATGCACAAATTGTTCTAGGTTTCCTGCTACCAACAGAATATACCACATAAAATATGCATTCGTTTGTTACCTGTATCTGTTTTCAATCATTAGATACGTAGGTTAAGGATGAACACATTTGTTCTACACCGGATGAGTCATAAACGTTATGTCAAAACATAAAAATATAAACAAAAAAAAAAAAAAAAAAAAAAAAAAAAAAAAAAAAAAAAAAAAAAAAAAGAAAAAAAAAGGAAAAAAAAAAAAAAAAAAAAAAAAAAAAAAAAAAAAAAAAAAAAAAAAAATAGCGTATAAAAAAGAGAAAGCATAACATATAAACAGTTCCAAATAACCCATTTGTTTCCACCACCACCCTAGACAATTTCTTTTTCCACACTACACCGCTAAGGAATTAAACGCACAATGGAATCGTCCACAATGGTTTCATATTTATCAGTAGAATGAAACAAGCACTCTTTGTCCATATTTTCTGTTAATTCTCGAATTTTCTGGCTTTTGACATAGTCTTCATAAGAATTTTTATCCGCCCATAATCTCAGCTGAAGGTAACTGACGGGGGAATTATTTAAATTAATCGCCTTAAACAGTTTTGTATATTCATATCCCTTATTTTTAAAAGAGTGGATATTCACCTGATTGTACTTTTTTTCAAAATTTCTTATATTATTATTATCAACTATGTATTCATCAACATATATTAAGTCTCCATATACTCCCTTCCCTTTCTTCTTTTTCATATACTCAATTTTTCCATATACATATCCACAAAAACAGCCAACAAATACCCACACAAAGTTCCGGTGACCTATACTTGATGATTTATACCAAAAGCTGAACTGATGCACCTTCTGTCTCAGCAATGTTAGGTAATCCCACAGTTGCATTGTCTCGGTGTAAGCTTGTGTTTTTACATACAGGATGGGTGGGGTGTAGGATTGTGTTTTATATATACAGGACGGAGAGGTGTAAGATTGTGTTTTCACATACAGGATGGAAGGGTGTGATATTGTGAGCATAATGGGGAATGAACAAGGATTGATTGATTGCCATTTCACTATTGTACAGCTGCGGTCCTTTGACTAATCTGGTTCAGCTGGGTGTAGGATATGCAGTTTCTTTGCAGCTTAGCTCAAATTCGCGCTCATATTATTCGAACTTTTTTTTTTTTTTTTTTACCATGCTTATTCATATTTATGTTCACATTTCTGTACATATTTATGTTACATTTCTGTACATATTTATGTTACATTTCTGTACATATTTATGTTACATTTCTGTACATATTTACGTTACATTTCTGTACATATTTTTTTTATTTTTTTATATGCTTATTCACACCTTTCGGATTTTTTTTTTTTTTTAAAATGCTTGTTCATATTTTTCATATTTTTTTTTTTAGCTTTTTACTTTTGCGCACCACACGAGAACGAAAATCCAAACCCCACTAAGTTCCTCCCGGGAATGGGGCTAAGATATACAGCTAAGAGGCAATGTATGCTCTTATAATACCAGCAACAGTTTTCTACAACCTCCTTTGGGTGAGTTGATATATATATATATATATATAATAATTAGGAGCACAACTAGACCATTGTATTATATATATGGCATGCATATATATTACATTCATCTCTCCCCAGGCATGCACAAAGTAAATATGCGGAAACTTTTGTGTGTTGTATTATTTTGAAAAAATGTCAAAGTCCATGATTTAAATTTGACCTTTGTGCCAACTCGCAAATCAGCTCTTCCCAAAACTTCACCCACACCATCTTTTCAATAGTTCCCCTCTTCCCATACCATTCACATAATCAGTGTTGTATATATAGTGAAATAGGGGTAAAATTATTTCGCCCTTTTTTTTTCCCCCATTTTTTCAAAATTATTGCGTTCCCCTTTTTACGCCGTATAATGGGATGCGCTGATCCATTTTCCCGCACCTCACGCCTCTGATACAAACAAACCATTCGTGAAAGATTTGACATGTCAGTTATGCATAAGGAATATATATAAAGAAATCATTTTATGAATGTGTTGTTTACAAAATATGTAATAGATTAGGTATATGAACAAAAAAAAAAAAATATAATAAAAATAAACAAAATTAAGAATTAGAACAAATGTATAATGTGTATATGTATATACGTGCTTTATATAAAAGCATGTACATATACAATATGTACCACCTTGCAGAATGACAAGGTATTCGGGTAGAAACAAATTTTTTTGTATATAAGTTCGTTGCTGTGTTCATATAGGTTATACCTCACCCCCGTATTTATCTATGATTATATTTTCTCTATTCTCCTTCGACTACTTTTTTTTTTTTTTTTTTTTTCAGCTAAAATGATAAAATAATAACTCAATTTAGTAAGAAACGTGGGGAAGAGATCTCTTGTCACGCACAAAATATTTCCTGTTCGGTTTGCAGAATTACAATATGTTGTAAACCAGATCATTTTATGCACATTTCACGAACTTTGAAAATTTGGATAATATTTGTTTTCCTGTCATGAGTGATCCATCAGATATGCACTTCGGACGAGTTGATCATGTATATTCGGGAGTTACATTCTAGTTTTTTAGAATAGCGATCTTTATATATAACGTCTACTTCATATCACTTCTAATTCGTTCATTCAAAAAAAAAAAAAAAAAAAAAAAAGGATTCACCCATATATAGAATGTTCACAAAATGATGTGCAAACTTGTCTCAATCATCCATTTGACATCATCAATACGCTATAATCATAATTAAAAATTGGTATATGTTTTTATATGTCCAACTCATGTGCAATAAAAAAAAAAAAAAAAAAAATTAGCTACTTAAAAAGGGGGAGGATTTAGTACAGTTCTATAGGTATTTAGTACATTATGTACAAATTTCGATGCCTCTTTTTCTATTTGTGTTATTTCCTCTTTCTACGTTGCTGTTTACAAATGCCTCTTGACCATATGGATAGTTACACTTGTGGAGAAATTTTACCAATATATACCTGAACGATGTGCAATACTTAATTGGCACTGTGTCTACTGATCTGCCATTGAATCTGCCACTGAATCTGCCACTGAATCTGCCACTGCATCTGTCACTGAATCTGCCACTGCATCTGCCACTGCATCTACCACTGCACCTGTGCCCCCCTTGATGAGGACACTGCAGTTAAGTTTTTCCTCAAATGGAACTCTAAAGTCTGCGTGATGATACTTAAATGTTCTATGCATCTTAAAGAATTCTTTCATAGGAATTTCCTTGGATCCTATTTCTTTTTTGTAAGGTAATAACATGCCCAGATCCCACAATTCAAATTTTTGAACTTCTAGCAATTTGGCTAGTGCACATAATTGAACAGTACCAGCACAACTCATCCTCTGAAATCCAGTTAAGCTGGTGTAAATAGAACCCACTGTACATCCAATTTCTCCAGCAACTAAATTATCATTATGCCACAACTCGACCGAATGCATATGTACATTTTTGTATGTTACTTTTTTTTCATATATATTTTTAAATTCTTTTTGGACAAATGGGTAAAGCCAATTATGTCCATGTTTTTCTACAATTCCATTCATGACACCGTTAAAGTCTTTATCAATTGTTATATAAAAAAGTTTGCATTTTTTTTTTACTTTTTTTGAAATATGAATTTCCCTTGGATGCATACAGGATCTAATAAAATGAATCTTCGGAATAAGTAAACATTCTTTAACAACTTTAGTTTCATAGTTTTCTATTTTACATACTTTTTGTTTACTTGCTACAGGTATGAATCCCTCATACAATAGCTGACATATAAATTGCGCGTTACAGTGTACACACCATGTATTTTCATGTTCATAATTTTCTTCTATTAATATATCTACAATTTTTTCTATATTATGGTAGGGTGTCAACAGGGGGTAGAAGTTAAGACAGTTGTTGTTCTTCATCAAACTGTATATCTTCGTCAATATTTTTGGATCCTCTCTCGCTATTTTTTCAATAATCTTATTGATGTTCACATCATCATCTAGGGTTGTCCCACGCTTTTTCTTTTCCTCTTGGTTCTTGTCCCCTTGACCCATGTCACTTGGGTTTGGGTTTCCATCGTTTGTTTCACTTGGGTTAGGGTTTCCATCGTTTGTACCACTTCGGCTTGCGCTTCCATCGTTTGTTTCACTTGGGTTAGGGTTTCCATCGTTTGTACCACTTCGGCTTGCGCTTCCATCGTTTGTACCACTTCGGCTTGCGCTTCCATCGTTCTTATCTCTTGGTTTTCTCTCGTTTTGGATTACACCCCTCAAGTAATGGGAATCCTCCACCTGATAACTCCCCTTTGCAATTTCCTCATTTTCTGTTACTTGGATGTTTTCTGCGTTCCCTCCTAGGCTATCACAGGTACTCATTTTATGTAAAAATTTTTTTTTTTTTTTCTCTTTTTCTTATTTTATGTTTGTTTGCTGATAATTCTGAGATTGATTGCTTCTTGCTTATTTTTTGACTATTTTTCTTTGGTTATTTTCTTCCTATATGTTCTCTGTACACATGTATACGTACACATTCAGGTGTATGCAAGGGGTGTATATATATATATATATATATATATATATATATATATATACAGCAAATTTAGGTCACACATGAGCCATAATAGATAAGGAGGAAATGGCGAACAAAAAAAAAGTCCATAAATGTTGAAGTGGCAAAATGGTGAAATGAAAAAGATAAAAATAGAAGTAATATATTTTGTGATAATTTACGTTTTCTAATTTCAACCCTTTTATTTATTTTATTTATTTTTTTTTTTTTTTTTTTTTTCTTCTTCTTCCTTTTGTAATTCCTATTTTTGCACCATTTTATAACAAAAATGGACTGCGAGATTGAGAAAATTTTTCAAGGCCTCAAACTTAGATTATGCAAGGGTATCATTTCACCGTTTCTCTTCTTTGCAATGGACACGTACATATATAATCAAAGCAATCACATTACTTTTAATAACCTTTTTACACACCCTTGGTTTATGAGAATGTGTGATTTCATATCATTACCAAATCTCTAACCATTGAAAAGAAAAAGCCGAAACGATGGGAATTATTTATGGAAAAATGAAAAAAATGTAAAATTAAGAGGAAAGTTTTTTAAATGACCCTAAACAAATTTACCATTGTAAAATTATCAATCCCTAAGGAAGTTCCTATAAAGACGTCTTTTTTTTCTTCTTTATTTTTAGATGATAAAAAAAAAAAAATTAAAAAGAAAAATTAAAAAAAAAAATCATCGCACTTGTTCTTAAGATTATTTACATATGTGGATGCACAAAGAATGGACACAAACCATAACCCCACATAAGAAAAAAAATAACACTTTTTTTTTTTTTTTTTTTTTTTTTCATACCTACTTTAACCATAGTCTTGTCTTCTTCTCCAACCTCTCATTGGGATAGTGGTATCAAAAGAAAATGACTATTATCCAAATGGACATAGCTCAATGTGGACTTTGATGGGTATGTGATAAGAGTGGAAAGAAACTTAAATGACGTTGTACTTATTTGTAATTAAACAGTTAAGGGAAAAGGTGAAAAAAAAAAAAAGGAAAAACAAAATGGTAAACGTTATCGGTAGAACATACATGACAACGCGTACAATAAAAAAGATTCAACCTGATAGCGCAAAAAAAAAAAAAAAAAAAAAAAAAAAAAAGCCCAGAAAATATATCAACATCGTCCCATAAAGGAGACACAATTATGGCCATTTTGTTTATCTGTTCACCTGCTGATCTTCCCTACCAACCATTCAGAAACATCTTGTGCAAGCGAATGGTCAAGAAGACAATCAGATAAATAACTTGCACGGTCATACTGATTAGGTTTGAATATACAAACCCGTAAATATCCAACTTGATGAAGAAAGTCAAAATAAATCCGAGCGGGTGCATAAAAAAAAGAAAATTAAAAAAGGTAAATGCTGAAATTTCTTCTTGTAAACTAAGCCCTTTTACTACACTATTGAGTAAAGAGGCCAATATTTCAAAAAACAATTCAACTGTAAAAATGAAGAATATTTCTCTTAAATTTCTTTGTATATTTATATCACTAAAAACCAAGGGGATAATTTTATCTCGGTATATATATACGCCACCAAGGCAGAGGTAAAGGAATGATAGTAACATGAAAAAGGCTAGAAAAATTTCAAGCAGGGTTATATTGTTTTTCTTTATTCGCATCCTGGATTCTACTTCAAACATGACCACTTCTTCTCTTTGATCAGTCGATGGATTTGACAAGACTAAAGGGATGGTCAAATTGGGTAAACTCATCGAATTTGGCAAACTCGTCATATTGGATATTGTCTCTTTGCCGTACTTTCCCAGTTTTCCCCGTTTGGTGCATTTTCTTGGTGCATTCATCACATTGCTCTTCTTACGCAATTTTTGCCTTCCCTTCTTCTCCATCTGAGAAGTGATATATACTCCAATAAGCTTACTCAGCACAATTCCATACGAATTAGATACATAATACACAAGGTTAAGTATATTATTTATCTGGACGAACGTGGCAACAGATGTTAAACTTAAATAAGTGGATTCGAATAGCTGAAATTCAAAAGATAAAATTTCAAAAAAAATATTTTTGATGTTTGTGCGTGTGGTTTTTACAAAATCCTTTTTTCTCGTATCATCCGGTGGTTTATGGAAAAACAAAAACTGAAGGTTGTATATACTTCTGTCTGTCATGTGCATTTGTTGTGTCTCTATTTCTCTCTCCCAACTGTTTCCAAAATGGTTTCCGCTGTCATTTCTAGATGATTGTGAATCGCTATTACTAGCATCTTCCTTTCTTCTATTCTCATGATGGCTGCATTTGTGATGTATAAATGGGGAATCAGTACATACATCTTCCAGTACGTCTTCGGGTGAATATGCACGGGGGTCATCGTGCATCTCCATATAGTGATCAAAACATGGAACCGACACCTCGCATTCTCCGTTAGTTTGTTTATCCCAAGTTGGAAAAACTGTCACCACTTCATCCGTTTCATCCGTTTGACTCGGCACCCCACCCCTGTGCACTTCTTGCCCCTCCAAGGAGAGACATCGCCCCAAGTGAACATTCAGAAACTTCAAAATAGAAAATAAATTAAAAACATTTGTCAGCAGCAAGGAAAGGGATGCACCGACATACTTCATACCCATGTAAAAGACAAAAATGTAGCAAAAAAAATTTAACAAAATGAAAGAAACAAAGGAAGTGTACAAACTTGGGTATATATAATTATGTAAAATTAAATAACGTCTTGTGGATTCATAAATAAATTGAGGGAAAAAAGAAATTAATAATATTTGAAGAGTCGAAAAAAATACATTTATCATGTAAATATGTTCATTATTTTTATTCATATTAACACCATCACCAGTATATGCATAATTTAAAAAGAGAAAAAAACAACATTTGGAGAAAAAGAAAATTATTATCATTTTTAAATAAAATATATAAAATGTGTTATATGCTATGTTTAAAAATAGTAAAGATAAATCAGTGTTTCCTATCCCTGTTGCAAAGCTGCAGAAATAATCTAGACTATTTGACACTCCATCAACCACTGAAGTGAGTAATGTGATAACCGAAGCGGCCATACCAAACCCACCTATTTCTTCATATGTACACGAATTAGAAACATACAAATTTAAAAAAATGAAAAAAGATGTTGTGATAACATATGAAATCATCGTTTGGAATGACTTGGCAAGTATTTCATTACACAGCAGACTTATCGTTTTTCTCAACGTCATAAATAAGTTTCTGTGCCTTTTTTTTTCCCCTCTCGAAGATACATTACTACATTTTTTGCTCTTACCTAGATGCTGTGATTCGGCCTTCTTCGAGTAAGCGGCACCGCCTCGCTGATTCCGTCGTGGGTTATGGCCAATTGGGTTATGGCCAATTTGGTTACCTCCAATTTGGTTATCTCCAATTTGGTTATCTCCAATTTGGTTACCTCCAATTATGTTAGCCCCTCGTTCTTGGGGTTCCCGCCGGTTGGAGGACATCATATGCTTACCTTCATTAGAAGAACCCAATCGAATGTAATTTCCATTCATGTGCAGAGTCTCACGAATGCAAGACTTTTTACAACCCTGAGAAGAATCTTCATATGGAAAATTTTGCACATGTTCATCCGTATTTCCATTTGGAGGCATTGTAGTAGAATCGGTCATTAATTTGGCTTGTGCAGGGACGAACAGAAGTGTAGAATTGGGAAAATGCGAACATGACTCTACTAAGTGAATGTTTTGAATATTTTGAGTGCACACTGCATCTTCATTGTCATTTGAAACGTGTCTCTTATACATTTCGAGACCATTTTGTTTTGATGAAATATCTGTATTCATTTTATTGAACCCTTTTGTGAATTTGCTTGACAACTCATCATTGTATATAGATGTAGTATATCACATTGATGTCTTCATCCCTTTTGATATTTTCGCTGTATTTATTTTTGCGGAGCTATAAAATCTGGAATTATCAATTTGATCAGGTGAAGAACCTATGAAATGTAACGAATGCTATGATTGTGTAATGATTACGAGATAAAGTATATTGAGTCATTTTAATATTTTCCACCTTGTATGTATCTTCCTTTCTTTTTTCCCTTAATGAAAATTTTGTGAACATACAACTGTGGATTTCATATATTGACAATCTCTCTCTTTTTTTTTTTTTTTTTTTTTTTCTTTCTTTCTTTGAAGCTTGAAGTTTAATTATTTACCTGACTTCGAATTACACTTCCTTAAACTAGTTCCTAGATTCCTTCCCCTACAACTTTCATTGTGCTCATTCATGTCACGCAAAAAGGGATTCTGCTGCCAAGTGGAGAAGTGGCAAAGTGATGAAGTGACAAAGTGAAGAAGTGACAAAGTGATGAAGTGAAGAAGTGACAAAGTGATGAAGTGACGAAGTGATGAAGTGGCAAAGTGACGAAGTGATGAAGTGGCAAAGTGACGAAGTGATGAAGTGGCAAAGTGACGAAGTTCAAAAGTCAAGCAGTTGAGACATTACTATGTTTTTTGGTGTCGTAATGTTAGCCCCAATTGACACCCCTCTGAAATGATAATCTTCCTAGGGGAGGCTGTGCACTAAATGTTACTAAGCAGGTCACACAGAAAAAAAATGAATAAATGGAGGAAATATAGTGGATGCTGAGTGACGCAATAGAATAGTTTTTTTTTTGTTTTTTCTTCTTTTTTTTTCTTCTTTTTTTTTCTTTTTTTTTTTTTCTTTTTTTTTCAGAGTCGGAATTATCGAAATTGCCTTCTAATTTCGTTTACCGAGTTATGCCTTATGTACATGTACATGTGCACGTAGATGTGCATGTGCATCACCTGTCGCTGATATATGTGCTTATCCACCTACAATAGAAGCACAAAAAAAAAAAAAAAATAGGGCGAGTTTTTTTCTTCTTCTCCCATTCAACATGAACGAGTGTAAGTTCTTTCAATAGGTCTATGTTGTAGTAATTTTAATAAGAGACTAAACAAGGTGGTAGATGAGATGATGCACAAATGTGGAATAACCGAAGAGAAAGAGAGAAAATGAATCAACAGCATATCCTCTTTTTACTACTTTCGCAAATGTGAACATATTTTTATTAACGAAACATCACTAAACGGTTACTCAACTTCTCTGAATTGCACACCAACATATTTATATCACCTTTTTATAGTTACAAAATGCTGCCATGGCAAAGGAAACAAGAAGTTATATTTGCTCATTCATGAAATTGGAAAACTTATGCAGAAAAGTAAAGGAAAAAAAAAAAAAAAAAGAATGTAGTAATAAAATAAAACATAATAACAAAGTGTAATTCTACATGTGTAGTGTAAACATATTAACAAAATTGTAGGAAAAAAAAAAAAAAAAAAAAAAAAAATAGGACATCTTTTTTTTTTTTTTTTTTTTTTTTTTTTTTTTTTCATAACCAAACTTTCAAAAGAAAATATTCACTATTTACAATTGAAGGATAAGGGATGTAGAGAATTGAAACGTTTTAGGGGCCGCTAAAGGAGAATCCATTTTTCTACACATTTTTATGTGTTCCCCTCCTTTAGAGCTAGCCAAAATACAATTCACCCAACCCAATCTTGAAAAGTAAGCAAAACTAACATACCTACTAGTCATTCCATATTTGAAAAATTTTCTAAATGTTGAGTCACCCTTTGACATGTTTTGAAGCATTTATATATGCAGATATATCCGAATGATTGGTTATACATTATCCACACCATAGTCTCAAGTAAGAGAAGAGACATCAGAGAGGGAGCGAGGTAAAAAAGGGCTAAAAAGAGGACTGAAAAATGGGCCGAAAAAAGGGAAAACCCAAATCGAATGTAAAAATAAAGGGGTTCTATTTTTTATTCCTGCCTTGCGACAGACTTACATAAATGTAGAAAAAAGGTGGTGGTGGGGGAATATAATAGCCCACTTTGTTCTTATACATTTTTTTCATGTACTGATGAAAGATTAGATGAAGCACACTAAGTGTGCAGTACCAGTTGTGTCGATATAAATAAAAGCGATTACCACATAGTCTAACAAACACATTTACCACTTTGAATTTCCCCAATTGAACTCTGTCATACTGAGTTAAAAAAAAAAATCCACTTTTTATACAAAGCAGAAAAAAAAAAAAAAAAAAAAAAAATATGAATATAGAAATCTTGCTTTTCTGGAAAAAGCAAAATTGGCTTAGAATTTCTCCTATGACGGGACGTTCGTCAAATAGGAATGTATATCAAGAGTTGTTTCCAATACATCGAAAATAAACACGAGAAGGAGGAAAGAGAAAAGTGAGTAGTGAAAAATAAAAGAGTCGGGAGTGGAAGAAAAAAAAAAAAAAAAAAAAAACTTTAACGTGACATGTGACTGTAACCATATATTTTAGTTCCCAGCCAATGCCAACCAATTTGCATGAATGAAGCTAATTTATAATCTCTCCTCCAAAAGGTCAAAAATACATAAATTTCTAAATCTGGTGATGCATTCAGATTTTCTACTACTCTGTTTAAAGCATGATGGTTAAGAAGAATCACGAAAATAATTTCTCTTCACCAAGGGGGAAAAATAAAATGAAATAAAAATGTACACGTGAAAAGGTGCACATACAAGAGAGGTCCGCGTGAATGAACATAAAGCAGGGAAGGACATCGTCGCGTGAATCATTTTTTTTTTTGTTTTTTTAAATGGAGGATTGGATATATGTGGAGAGAAGGAAAAACAACAAAAAGAAAAATCCCCATGAGAGATATATCGAAATAGTAGGAGTAGAGAAGGCAGGCAAAAGTGAAGAACAAGAGATTAACAAAATCCTGTTGAGAAGAAGAACCAAAAGTCACAGCAATAGCAAGAGGCACGGCAATAGCAAGATTCACAGCAATCGCTTCTCTCCTTATGTGCACGACACTGATAAGTTACATGGCGAGGAAACAATGGAACCCTCGATAGAGGAACAAAAACAAACAGAAAGGATTTACAATGAAGTAAAAAAAGTTAGCAACTGCTTAGAAAAGAGCAACTTTTTCGAAAATTTTCAAAAAGAATTTATCAAAGTGGTTAAAGAGGGAAATGTAAACATAAAATGTATTATTTGTTTGGGTCTGGGCTCTCTAACGGATATAAATTGGAATAACAGAAAAGCCTGTCTCCACCAGTTCAGTTTCATAATCCTGCTGAGAAAGATATATAATATAGACAAAATGTACATTTATGACCCAAAAATTGGGAGTGTCGATAAAAATGTGTGTAAACGACTCAATATCCACGTGTTGTCATGTTATCAAGAAATGAGTCGTATGGGTGAAATGCACCAAGGGGAAAGGGATAGCCATGGTGTCGATAGTGGTGATAATGGCAATAGTGGCGATAATGGCAATAGTGGCAATAATGGAGACACTTCCACTTATCAAGTTGGAGATGACGAGACAAATATTCAAATGGAAGGAAAATGTGGAAGAGCTGTACACGTTGTTCCAAAGCCAAATGCAAATGATCGAACGTTATTGTTCATGCCTCACTGTGATGTGAGTGTGTATGGCCAAGTGATGCATAACATATTTAGTTATGAACTGTTGAGGTATTCCAACATTCAGTTTTCTCTTACTCTCGAAAATACCATTTTTCTTAGTAATTCTTTTGATTATTACAAGGACCATACCTACATGTACAAACCATTTGGAATACCACATTACGCCATTCAGATGATAAGAAATGGAAAAAATATTCCTAAGTATATCAATGAAGTGAGGTTAAACAATTTGGGGAAGCTGTTTAAATTTGCCCATTTTATATTTTACGTCTTCAAATTTATACAAGAGAAGAAATTTCCAATTTACTCTGATCATGTATCAGCCTTTAATGACCTGGCTATCATAACATTTGAGACAATACCGGATAAGTTAACCTTTTGGTTAACCACTTTAGAATTTGTATGTACAGACGACCCCAAGTGAAAATTTTGTTAGCACTTACAGTTGATGAAACCCTCGCGAAATGCCACTCAAATGGAGCAAAAAAAAAAAAAAATTAAGGCCAAATGATTGAAAAAGTTGGGTATGTATATACATGTGCCACATGCGCATGCATGTATACGTATTAGAATTAAAATATGTATATATATATATATATATATATATATATATATATATATATACATACACATGGATGTACATATATTAAAAAGGGGAAGGAAAACACCCCAGGGAAGCGGAAAAGAGAAAAAAAAAAAAAAAAAAAAAACACATCACATTACATGTCACTTGTTTGGAGCTGAACTTATGCTACTTGCCAACTCTTTAAAAGTCTCAGCACATAACACTGAGCAGGAAAGGGGCTCATATTATTTTTCTGCCTTTTCGCTATAGTTACTGATGTGACGATCCGCTATTTTGCCTATTCTATCAGTTTGACAGTGCTAATACTTTTCGACCATTTTTCCCATTCTATCAGTTTGACAGTGCTAATACTTTTCGACCATTTTCCCCATTCTATCAGTTTGACAGTGCCAATATGGCAGCATACTTCTCGAAATGGGTAAAGGCGCTCTACCCTTGCTTGCAGGGACGAGTCTCCTCGATTATGCCACGGGGGATTTTCTTACCATTCCAGAGGCAAAAGTTATCATTATTTTGGTTTGATCTGAGAACCTTTCTCATTCTTCTCTGCTTGTTGTCTATGCAAGGGCCCCATTTGGACCAGGGAGAATACTGACAATTGACATTATCATTTTCGACCTTACGACATAAGTAAAAATTATTAACAGTGCATTTCCGTGGAACATAAGTAGGATCCTTCTGTGTTTGTTCAATTACTTGTTCATTTGGAATAAATCCAGAAGCACCAATTATTTTGAAATCTGCATTTATTTTATCATTTTCATCATTACAAAGAACTGCCAATTCATAGTCAATAATTACTGACATACCTTTAAAACCAACTTCTTTTGAATTATCACAAAGTCTTTTAATCCATGGAGGAGTTACTTCATTTCGATCCTTCAAATCTTTGATTTTATGCAACTTTGATTGTACATCCCGAACATCTTCTTCACTGCACATGATGTATCCTCTAGGACACCAGCAGCTGCAGGAGAGAAAAAGGTTTATAAGTTACACATCAGCATGCGAATGCCTACCACCCATGTTTTTTTAACACACTCATGATTGTTACATCACTGAGAAGCATAAATGGGGATGGGAGAGAAGATACGTGCAAAATTTTCATATTATAATCTCTCTCGAATGGGGAACAAGAATGTTTTGTACATGTAGGAAATTCCACCCTTCTCTATGTGTGGATTTCTGTGTCTGAGTAGAGACAATTATCGGGTCAGAATTACACGAGTCATGTGATGAAAGAGAGCACAGAAAAGTACAAGCGGTGACATGCAGGTAGCAACTTCAAGAAGTGAGTGATGGTGTGAAGGAGTGAGGGAGACTTACTTGGAGGGATCCCCTTGTTTGGCAGAAAATATCAAACATGTATCTCCATCTACCTCTGTCAAGGTGGCATTCTGTCTTGTTCTTGTTTTATTCTGCACGTGTTCAAAATTATCTTCATCATCATTAGTGAGGGCGGAATTTGTCCTCGACAATTTATTACTCAATTCCAAACTATTCTTTTGAGATAAATAAAAGAAAATGAGGAAGAAAAAAATCCAACTTTTTTGCATCACAGAAAGGGTTTTTTTTAAAAAAAAAAAAAAAAAAAAATATAAAAAAATAAAATAATTCTTTTTTTTTTTTTTTTTTTTTTTTTTACTTTCTCATATTTACTTTATCTTTTCTGTATGTAATTGTTGACAATTTTTAAAAAGAAAACAACATGAACCACATGTGGGTTTAAAAAAGGTAGAGGAAAGTAGCATTTAGAAAAAGGTGTGTTAAGTGTGTGAGGCGGCGCACATTTCAAAAAATTGTGAAAAAAGAAAAAAAAAAAAAAAAAATGTATGTTGCAAGGTTGCGATTTCATAAAAGAACGGAAAACAAATTTCTTTCTTTTTTCCTCCCTTTTTGCTCCTTTTTTTGCTCCTTTTTTACGCCTTTTTTTTACACGTTTTTTTCACACTTTTTTTAGCACTTTTTTTCACACTTTTTTTAGCACTTTTTTTCACACCTTTTTTAACACATTTTTTTACACTTTTTTTAACACATTTTTTTACACCTTTTTTAACACATTTTTTTATACTTTTTTTTATTATATTATATTTTTTTTTTTTTTTAACTCTCCCATGTTCTCTGCAAAATAAGCAATGCTGAGGGGATGGAGGGAAAAATAAAAAAAAGAGATGTATAAAAAAGAGTTGTATAAAAAAGAGTTGTATAAAAAAGAGTTGTATAAAAAAGAGTTGTATAAAAAAGAGTTGTATAAAAAAGAGTTGTATAAAAAAGAGTTGTATAAAAAAGAGTTGTATAAAAAAGAGTTGCATAAATAAGAGTTGCATAAATAAGAGTTGCATAAATAAGAGTTGCATAAATAAGAGTTGCATAAATAAGAGTTGTATATATACGCATTATGTTATAGTAATCTATGTTGGCATGCGTTTTTTCTACTCTCTCCATTGCCTTATAGTGCTCAGGAGCCTGAAATTGAGCAAGTGCTGATCACAACATTACAAACCCTTTTTGAAGGGAGGAAAATTCTTCGCGATGTTGCAAGTTTTGTGTGTTTTCCACGGGAGAAGCTTTTTGCGTTTTCTTTCTTTCTTTCGTTCTGTTCTGTTCTGTTCTGTTCTGTTCTGTTTTGGTTTGTTTTTCTCCTTTTCGTTTCCCTTTTTGGTGTTTCTTTTCATTTTCTTCTTTATTTTCTCCTTTTTCCTATTCCCATTTTTGCGACAATTTTTTTCCTCTAAGGTGAACAATTTTTTTTTTTTTTTTTTTTTTTTTTTTGCATGTAGCAGTGCAGAGTATTAAGGGGTTGGGATTACATGGCCACGAGCTCCTTTATTTTTATTATATTATATTATTTTTATTTATTTATTTATTTTTTTTTATCTCTCATGATGAATAACCATTTGGGGTCCCTTTTTATGAAAAAATGGGAATATGTAAATGAGACTCATCATGAAGAGGTGAAAAAAAAAAAAAAAAAGAAAAAAAAAATGTTTGCAAATTAATGATAAAATGGTAGGAAGTTATTCATGATGGCAAAATGAATTACCCATTGCCTGATTTTTCGTTCATGAGAACAGGAAAAATGAATGTTCACACGATGTTGCACAGGGGTACTTTTTCACAAAATGGGGTCACTCATATGTTATTTTTGTTATCATTGTTGCTATTACTGCTACTACTATTACTGCTACTACTATTACTGCTACTACTATTACTGCTACTACTATTACTGCTGCTACTATTACTGCTGCTACTATTACTGCTGCTACTATTACTGCTGCTACTATTACCGTTGTTGTTGTTATTGTTATTGTTTACCACCACCACGCGTCCAGAAAAAACGGCAAAATAATTCCCCACAAAAATGCTCATATGTATAACATGCATCAAATGTATCCCAGGAATGAGTAAAAAAATAAAAAAAAAATTCCACCTATTGCATCATTAAACATTATGCGTAAATTTTCAAATATGTGGAAATAAGTTCGTTTTTTTTTTTTTTATTTTTGAAAACAACTTTGATACACCTATAACTCTGCTAAGCGTAAAGTACACCAAAAAAAAAGAGTTTTTTTTTAAAAAAAGGTTATGTTAAAAAATGTACTTACTGGGTATGAAGAAGTCTACAAAATTGCACATTATGGATGATGCGTCGGTATGGGCACCTCTTTTTTCGTTTCATAAAAAAATTGACATTCAAAAAATTTTGCAATGTGTTCTTGGGGTGTGGAGAAAACAACTTCGGCGCACAGATGTGTGTGTACATATGTACAAATCGAAGAACTAATATGCTCAATCCCTGAATGAACAGTTTATGATCCCCATCCTGTTCTTAATCACGTTGCAAAAACATGGGTGTAATCAAAGGAAGGGGCCCTCTATAAGTGTGATCTTGCAAGCGATTTCCTCTAAGTATGTCTTGAATCGCTTAAGAAATGTCTGAATCGCTTGAAATTCGAGAATATGTGTGAGGAGAGGTATTTTTGTCATAACCTCATTAAAAGTGACATAAATATTTTCAAAGAATTTTTTCAAAATATCAACGGAAGATTTCTTAACCTTATCATTGTCATATATGGAAGAATCCAAAATGACACAACTAATGTCATAATTGCGAGATGCAGCATCTGATGTATATTCAAAATAGAATTCTGCTCTGGATAACAATTCTTTTAAGAGTGTTATCAATGAGTAGTTATTTATATATTCTATATTTCCATTTCTGTCTTTCAAAAAACATCCAATATTATTTTTCTCATTAAAACTTTTCTCTTCATTATAAAAAAAAAAAGAACAATTATTTTTATCTCCATTTATCCACATGGTAAATAAGTAATAAATTATTATTGCAATTTCGTGTTCTTCTACTTGTGAAGATTTCTGATGCTTCATATTATTCTGGATCTTCACATACACATTAATTAATTCCTTGTATTCAATTTTATGATTTAATAACAAATTAGATATCCACACAATGTATGAACAATAATTTTTGTAACTCAACACAATTATCTCAGGTGGATGCACGGATGCATTGGCTGTTGTTCCTCCAACTTTTCCACTCTTAGTAGTAGTACCAACACCCTGAAAATCTTTCTCATGTGCATTCTCATTAAAGCAGTAGTTCACATTGTACAAATGATATAAGGCTTTCCTATCGTTCCGATCGATAGCTGCATTATTTCGTTTTATTTTTTTCGATAGAAATTCATCAGCATTTTGCATATTATAATCTGCATCCTGTGCATCAAGCGTTCTACGTCCCCTGTTTCGGTAACCACCACCAAGAAGAACTTCTTCCTCTCCTTCAACTTCTGCTTCGTCTTCTTTTTCTTCCTTTTCTCCATCTCCCTCGTAGTTATCAGTGTAATCGTGGTATGAATACACACTCCTGAGCTTATGGTTTACAGCCTTTGAAACGAGAGAAAATGGGGACAATTTGGAAAATATGATTTTGTCCTGGTTTATCTTGTACTCATAAGACTCGTTTATCAATATGACATTCATCTGTGGATCCAAATATATGAGAGGAATACAATTCAAAAAGTAAATTAACTTCATCCGATTTGTGGAAGAATAGTTCTGACGTTTTCGTAACACATCTACCTTATTTTTCAAAAGACTTCTTATTTTTTGCATTTCGAAAAGGTTGTTCATAAACTTGTGTAATTTGACAATAACCAAAAGGTAAAGACAATTTTTAAATTTCACATCATACAATTTCATAATATCACCAATGTAGTTAATAATAAAATTTATATTTTCAAATGTGATGGAGAGGGAAAATGCAAAGTCGAGTAATCTTTCAAAATAAAAAGAATATTTTGAAAATGTAAGAGTGCTACATTTCTTATTATCATTCTTTAGCATATAATTGACCGTAGAAAAACAGTTCGTATTCATACATTCTATTTTTTCTTTTTTCTTATCACATAATATTATCAATTTGAGTAAATTAAAAGATGGTAAAAAATTCTGAAATAGAAACTTACTTTTAAAAAAAATCGTTTCCTTTAATTTTTCTTTTGTATGTATACACTTTTGAATTACAAAAAGGTATTCCTTAAACGTATCAATAATGTCGACAACACGAAGCATATTTATCTTTCCGTTAAAATTGTTATTAATTTTGTTGTTATAATCTGTTATTATATCATCTATATGTTCATATTTACTTTTTGATAAATATTCATACATATTTGCAAAAGATTTTTTTATTACTTCAATTTCCTCTTTGTTTAAATTTTCTAAATGTGTCATAACAGTTATCAGATCTTCTCTCGATCCATTCATCAAAATTTCAAAATAATTTTTTACATAATTCCAACTGCAAAATTTGTATACATAAAAAACAAATAAATTTATAATTTCGTGAAATAATAATTTCTGATAATTCAGTGCCGTTCTACATTTTTTTATATCTTTCAAGTTTAAGAAGTAGCTATTCTGTTTATGTACAAAATCTTCTTTCACGGTGAAAAAACATTTATTTCTTTTCATCATCTCTTTCAATGTGTCTACAAAAGACGGATCATATGAGATTCCTTTATCAATAGTGTAGTAACTCTTCAATACTTCCTTTTTCAACATACTATTTGTATTTAACATATCTAGTAGCGCTTTTTTCTTTATTCCTTCATTTCCATGCCGAAAATTACCAATGCTTACAAGTGGATGATAATGATGATGATGGATATTCTTTTTATTTCTATTCTTCTTATCCCCATGATGAGTAGAAGAATAATAGTGATCAACCAATTCAGTTTGTTTACCTACATCCAAATATTCACTAAGTAACATATTTTTCTGCAAGTTCGTCCCTTTAAATTTATTCGTTGCATTTTGTATTATAAAAATTTTTGCTTTCATGCAACTTTCGATATATTCAATTCTCTTTTTCAAGCTTGGATATGTCAAAATAGTGTATAAGTATTTATAAATGTTGCAAAATATTTCCTTCGTTTCATGTGTATACAGAGGATTCGACATGAGATAGCTATTTCCAATGAAATTATTTTCATAAATGTAATTGTTATGTGTCAGCTCAGTCATAAGTTCGCTGTTACTCAAAAAAACATTGGTCAAGTTTTGAATGTGATTATTGACATATTCAATGGGTTCATTATATGCAATATTATTCTCTCTATCTCCATATGGAGATTTTATCGTAACATTCTTTTCACCAGCTTGTTCTCTGTTCAAGCGATTCGTATAGTTATTTCCATGACGATTGTAATTGTGCTGATATACATTCTGGGCATCTCCTGATGATTCCTGGATATCTCTATATGTTGAGTTGTCGTCCATCCTTCCTTTCCCCGTGCTGGTTCTGACATTTTTGACAGATGTTCTTATGCCATCTCTTTCATCTCTTCCATCTCTTCCACCCCTTCCACCTGTGCTGCTTATATTTTGATTCTCTTCACCAATCGGATGTTTGAAAGACAACAATTCTTCTACTTCTTTGTTTCCACCTTCCCTAGGATTCTCTTCCTCTAACTGTTTTCCAAGGACATAATTCTGATAAATGTACCTCAAGTAAGACTTGTCAGAATTTTGATCGTTCCATGTATAAAAAGCTTGTCTTGCATAAAAAATAACCATATCTTGATATTTGTTTTCAGAAAAGTAATAAACATATGCATCCGCGATATTCATCTCGTTCAACTTGATGAAGTAGTACAAGTGAGGTGAAATTGTCAACTCGGATAGAGGACAGGGAAAGATGTTATTGCATTTGTACAGAATGAGGTTAAATATGAAAAAGTGTAAATTGATGTCATTCGAATATTCTAGTAAGGTTGTGAGGAAGGTTTTAATTTTTTTTTTCTTCTTCTCATTATGCTTTAGTAAATATTTCAAATAATTCACGTGAACGATCTTTTCAATCGGCAGGAAGCAGTTTTCAAAAAGGACAAAATAATCATATGTGTAGTTAACATCTATATTGTTCAGAAGGATGGATATTCTCTTGCCTGACCCATGATCCTTCGGCAGGAAGTTACTCTGCTTCTCCTGCAGCATCTGGTGCTGCATCTGATTCTGATTAGCACTACGGCTGTCATTGCTGAAAAACAAAATGTCTCTCGTTAACCACGTGGTGTTATTTTTCTCGATAAATTTCTCGTTTCTCTCCTTATTCCCCTCATCCATGCGTAGTTTCTTATTGTAAGCATCAATGTACAAGCTAATAAGTGTACTTGCACAACGATAATAATCAGCTTTGTATAAAAGAATAATCAATTTAAATATGCTTATATTGATAAGTGCATCTTTCAAATTTTCGTGAATAAAATGTTCTGCCCGTTTTTCAGAAGCTAGAAGTTCATCAAATTTGTCCACACCTGTGGTTTCTCTTTCCAAGCGATTGTTATAATTGTTATTATTACTGCTGTTGTTGTAATTGATGGAGTTACCTCCATTTCTGAATCCATGGTTACTATGATTATTCAAGATGCTCGTTCCTATTTTGCCAAGACCAACACCGAGGGAATTTCTAAAGACTCCATCATCATACTCGTTCTTTATCTTCATTTTCTTCTTCAGATAAACTTCCTCCTCAATTTTTTTAATCAAAAAAAGAGCCAGGAACTCATTTTTGTGTATAATATAGCCTTGAAAAAAATCCACAGGGATGTATTTTCCAGAATTGATAATAGTGAAAAGACATTGCTTAAGTATTTCTCTATAGGTCTTACTCAAGTATATTTTCATAAAGTTACATTTGATAAGTAAGTCGAAAAGAGTGCTTGGAAGGTACAGAAAATTCTGTTTCGTCCCAATATTTTTTTTCCTTATTACAGTTTTGTTCTTGTAATAATCACAAATTATAATGGAATATATTAACAAATACTCAATACTAAAATTGATAAAATTTAAAATTGCATAAAATTCATTAATTTCATTTATCATTACTACAGTATAATCGTAGTAAATGTTCATAATGGATGTATCTGTAACTCCTTTTATTTTTTTAGAGAAATCTTTTTTTTTTTTTACAAGATTCGTCAAAATGATACTAACACATAAATTTAAGCATTTCAACTTTTCAATTAAATTTAGACAACAATCCAGTGGAATATTTCCTTTTAGAATATAAACTCCATCATTTCTTTCATACCAATTTCTCTTTCGTTTTTTTTTAGAATATATAATATCATTATCGTTCATACGAATTATGCAAAAATCTTTCATATTATAAAATGATTCTTCATTTTCTTCATTTTTTTCCTTCGATATTACTGATATCCCTATATCACCATCTCCCCTCAAATGCTCGGATATTCTCCTTACCTTTCTTGCTTTCCAAGGGATATTTCCTTCTGCAGAAGCAGAATTTTTTCCTTCACTTTTGTACGTACTGTTACTCGTGCTGTATTTGAAAATGTGCGTATCTCGATATCTTTCATAGGAAAACAAATGAATAAACATCACTGGTTTAAGCATGCGGCTAACCAGTAAAAATAACCCTCTAGACAACATATGTAATGAGTTGTTATAAAAGTTTACATTCTTTAAAAAAAATATATCAAAATTTTTATTTGTTAAGTACTCAAAGGCAAAATTACCGCTTCTATTTCTTTCAGCTTCAAATAACTTCTCCTTTGTAGCTCTTTTTTGACACACATTAAAAAGGTTGTAATATCCTGAGTCGTTAAGAAGAAGGTTTTCGTTAGACTTATTCACTCCCTGATTCATTTTATTCATATCTCTGCTTCCATCACGAACTCCTCCTTCTGTTTCGTCCTCTTCCAAATCAGTCAAAGTGTCATCGAATAGATGATTTATTCCTTTAATTTTTCTAGTCTTAATTTCTAACTCCATAGCCCTCTGCAGTTTCCCTTGTTTAATAATATAATCAGCATCCTTGTCTAAGAATCCGAATTTGAATGGTGTTGGTCTGTACAATTTATTCAGAATATCATAATCTATTTGATTTCTTCCACTTATTCTATGGTCAGAGTATTTTATTTTCCCATATTCAGCACCTGATAAAATGTTACCACGGCTACTGTTGCCACTGTTGTTGCTACTGCTTCTGCTTTTTCCATGTCTTCTTCCCCGTTGTGCTGTTCCGTTTAATCTTCCTTCGAAATGCACAGCTCTTTGCTTCTTTTTCATTCCTCTCTGGTTTAAATAAACAGGGTGGTAAGAATTGGAATGAGTCTGCATGATCATACGTCCATATGGCTTGTTATGCATTCCCAGCATAAGTGATGGTATTCCTCCTTTGCGAGAATTCAACCTCATATCATGATATGCATCATTATTACCATCTACATTATTACCATCTATATTATTACCATCTATATTATAACTTCTGGATTCGTTTTGTTTATCTCGAACCATTTTCCTTCCTCCAGTATTATGAACATTATTGAAACACATAATTTCATACTTGTACACGTGATTTAGCAACATGCACCACATTATATATAGGAATTCATCTCTTGAGGAAATTTTAATTATTTCATTCACGTAATAATGGTACATCATTTCTTTATTGCTTGGGTCCTTCATGGGAGGAGACGGGGTTGCTACTGTTCTCACTCCCACTGAAGCGGGTACTGATCTCACTCCTACGGCAGCTGCTACTTCTTCATCTGTTGAAGCATATCTCCTAGACATAGATTCAGCAACTCTTCCTTCATCATGTTTCTCTTGATCCGTGTGATTTTTTCCACCAAGAAAAAGCTTCCTCTCCTCATCGTTATCATAATTCTGCACTGGATCCCGCAAGCGAAGTTCATTCAGCAGGATATTTCTTATGTTTCTATTTTCAAATGACATTTTGTATGTTAAAAAATTATTTACCATTTTTTCCACAATTTGCGTGCGTGTATTTTGGATAATATAGTATAAACGCTTTTTCGTTATTATTAACAAATCATAGTAATCATGATATTCACTTACGGTATGTTCATTTAAAAAAAAGGGAGGAATACTTTCCAATCGTTCTACCACTTGGTCTGTAATGATGGATCTTCCAACATTATCATGTGCTCCTCGTCCTGCCCCTGATGCACCTGCTACTTCATTTTTAAAAAAAAAGTTATTATTACCTCTCATCATAAAGTTGTTATTGTCATAATAAATTGGTAAGGTACATCTGGTGAGACTGTTATCCATGTGATTTCCAATGCCCGATGAAAAAGTTTCAGCAAAACCTCTTCCAATATTTTCCATATTGGAAGCAGAAGGGGTAATTCCATAATACATATGATGTCCATTATTTTCATCATTCCTTAGATCATCATTCATATTGACAAAGTTACTATTCGCATAATTCATCCTCATAGGATTATTTTCATTTTTAGAAGAACCCATATGATGGTTTATACTGTCATACTTCATTTTATCGATATAGAAATCTTTAATTATGTTACTCTTTTGTGATTTTTCAAAGAATTCATGAAAATTATAATTTCTTTTCTTATACAAAATTTCTACAATTTCTTCATTAATGTAATATTCATTAAGATGCTTGAACATGGATTTGTTCTTCTTATAATTTGGAGACTGATTTAGGTTTCTTCCTTCGCTTCCTTCTCCTACTTCTTCAGAATTTGTCAATAATTTCAGTTTGTACAAATGGGGTGAAGATCTTTGCACTTCTTTCTGTTCAGTAGCTTTTCCAAAATTTTTCTCATCTGGTCTATTCTCCACGATATCACTACTCTCGCAAATGCTTCCACTCTCATATCCACTACTACTTCCTCCTTCATATCTATAACTTTCATAACTTCTTCTCTCTTCGATATAACCATCATGGTTTATCTCGTCCTGATAATTCTTATTGTGTTCTCTCTCTAAGTGACTTTTACTTCTTCGATCCTTCTCTTCCTGTTGCGTAAAATTACGTGATTTATATGAACCTCTAACAGTTTTGTCATGATCTCCAATCCTTAATGGAAATTTATCTATTGGGCGTGTCTGTGAAAAGTGATAATCACCATTTTTGTTCATCTCCATATTGTTGTTCCTCTCCGTTTGTGGAAGTTTGTTATGACTACTAGAGTTTACTTCAGCATTAGTAGTGTCCACTAGCCTCCCTTCCACCCCTTCAAGAATATTCTTATTTTTCATTTTTCTTTTTTTCAAAACGATAAAAAAATTTTTCAAATGATGTGTAAATACAACTTGGGTATCCTTCTCGTTAATTTTTAGCCCTTTCTTGTGAGGAAAATTCTGAAAATCTTTCAACACAATTTTGAAGTTCTTCATTTCTGTATTTCTCACAAGGGATAAATAGTATATGTTACAATTATTATCAATCATTTTTAGACAAATATCATTTCTTTCGTGCATATAATTAATGTGAATATCGATAATTCTAAGTTTGTTCAAAACACTATGTTCAATATTCGTGGGATAAACAAATTTGTTCATTTCTGTGTTTTGAGCTTGTGGATATTTATTGATTCCCAGGTTGATACTAGATGGATCAACGACCTTACTACCAACAGTTCCCATTCCTCCAATTCGTCCACTTCTCATCCCTTCACTTCTTTCACCTCTCATTCCTGTGTAAAATGCTTCACCTGGGAATGGCCCTCCATATACCTCAGAATTGGGACCAAAATTACTATCATCGACAAAATATAAATTTCCCATCTCAGATACCAGATCACTTTTTGTATATGTAATAGTCTCAGAGATATAATTCCTTGAATTCCCCTCTCCTCCTATATTCGTTAGAATCTTAACATACAAATCGCTATTGTCATACAGTACATACAATATAGATCTTTCATTGTCTACTAACATCTTCTTCACTTTGTTTTTGAAAAAGGAAAAACATTTTATAAAGTATGTACTGATAATTTTTTTTAAATAATATTTAATTGGAACTTGCTGAATATCATCACAGTATATATTTTTGTTATACTCTTCTACAAAGTCTTCATCCTCTTTCTGTTGTTTCATTCCACGCGATTCGTTATCAGCATATGGGCTGCGATTCCTGCTATGCTTGTTGCAGCTACCACTTCTTCGACTTTTGCTTCTTGATATGCTTCTTGATCTGCTTCTTGATCTGCTTCTTGATCTGCTTCTTGATCTGCTTCTTGATCTGCTTCTTGATCTGCTTCTTAATCTACTTCTTGAGCTGCTTCTTGATCTGCTCCTTAATCTACTTCTTGAGCTACTTCTTGATCTACTTCTTGATCTACTTCTTGATCTACTTCTTGAGCTACTTCTCTGTGTTCTACAGCTCCTTCCACTTCTGCTGCGTGAAGTACTCCTGTTGTAATCGCTAGTCACAGACATGGTGACCCCGCTTATACTCCTACTTTGATTGTGGCTATGCACATATGAGCCATCGTCCTGCACCGAATATTCAGAATACTTCTTTCGTGAAAAGAATGTCTCATTAACACTACTGACAAGAGCGCTTAACATGTTGACAATAATTTTTTTAAAAATATTTAGAGGAGTGAATAGCTGTTCCCTTTCATATATAAACTCGTAGACATTCCCATCATCGGCAGCGAGGAAAATTCTTTCATTCTTTTCATGCGACTTAATAAATTCGTACTTTCTCTTTTTGTCATCTTTTGACAATTTGAAAAGTAAAAAGAGGTAAATGTTAAAATAGAAGGGATAAATGTTTTGGTACACAAGTTGTTCACTAACTGATATGTTGTAATCTTCTTCACAATTAAAATACAAATGAATGTTGAAAAAGTAAAAGGAAAATTCTGTTATTACCATCAGGTAGTAGTTTTTTACAGAATTGTAAAACGAATCTAATGGAATGAAAGAATTTAAAAATACCACATCTATGCATTCCAGTGCCGAATCAATTTCCACTGTCATTACCTTGCTATTCAGATTGTTTAAATTGTACAAGTGTAAATAATGCACATGTTCTTTTTTTTCATAAAACCATAAAATATTTATCTTTTCGATCGTTCCCTTTTTGTCATACTTAATTTCACTTACTCTATTCTTTCTACGAGGGTCTTTTCTACACACATCATCATTCCTATGCTCACCACTACTCCTGTGAGGGTTTTCAACAGAAGAAAGTGTTAATCGACATTTTTTGCAATACAAGTTAAACAGGATGTCTCTATTTCTACCCGAACTCATCACGTAATTAATCTTATATATATTGTTATAAAAAATTATGTTTTTCTTGTTATTGTTATATACCATTTTTTCATCATTGAGCATGATTTTACATATCCGAAGAAATAAATTAAAATCGCATGTCAGATTTAGTTGTTCCTTTTGTAATTTTTCAGAATCTTTTTGTTTTTTTATCTCTTCGTAATTTTCCATCAAACGATCTACAGCAGAGTCAAACAATTCAGTAAATTTCTTTTTTATATCTAATTTGTCATCTCTACCACTTTCTTGTATATCTGACATGCATAAAAGAGAATTTTCAATCATGTTTAATTTTTTCTCTACAGAATGTAAGTATTCACCTGACTTTATCTCATTTAGCAATATTTTGTATTTATCATATACATAATTAATATTCTTCATTTTGTTACTTTCCCATTTCTTCTTCAGATACTGATCATTATGATACCTTCTCATCATTTCTTCATCCGATCCCCTTTTTATATATGTCGTGCCTGACCTACAAGCCGCAGAAGCAGATGTAGCTTCTGTTGTGGTGGCTAGATCGCCTCTGTCACCTTGGTTTGGTAGAAAATTCTTATCTTTTCCCATCCTAGTTTTCATCATCATCATCTGTTTTTCATTATGAATATTATTTTCTCCTACTGTCGAGGAACTTACAAAATTTTCCTTGCTATAATATGCATCATCTATATTGTTTTTATTGGATAGATTCAATATATTTTGCATAATTTTTTCATTTTTTCTCATCTCTTCTTTATCTTTCTTTGTATTTTTTATTATCTCTTGACTTTCATTTAGGTTTATCTTGATTTCATTCGAGTTGGACAGAATGTTTAAGAGAAATTCTTTCTTCTTGTTTGTGGCATTGGCAGAAGGGGTAACACACTGTTCCTGATTTTTTTTCATAACAATGTTGCTGCAGAATTTCTTGATGTTGTTTATTATGTGAGTTGCTTCATTCTGTTGCAATCTTGATGGATTTGATCCGATGGAGCGGCTACTTCTGCTTCGTCTACTTCTGCTTCGTCCACTTCTGCTTCGTCCACTTATACTTCGCCCACTTCTGCTTCGTCTGCTACTCTCGTCTCGATATTGCTCTGAGTTTTCCTCATCAGATTGATCACTTGCACCCGAATCATCTGTGTAATTCCTCCTCTTCCTTCCTCCTTCCGAAGAATGTACACTCCTCCTGTGACTACGAGTTCCCTCATCTGACAATGAAGAAGTGGAAGATGCAGGTGATGATGATGATGGCGAAGCATCGTTCATTTGATTTTTTCTCCTACTATCCTTATCTCGTTCATCTGGCATATTAGAAAAAATGGAACACGGTCCATTATTGTCATCGTTAAAAATTGACATGTCAATATTTTCATCATCATTTCTGTTTACAAGTGGATCATCATTTTTTTTTCCAATTTTTTTTTTTGCGGAAAAAAAATTCTCCTCTGAATCTGCACCATCATGTTCTTTTTGTCTAGGTCGATCATCATGATGATCTTTCTTTTTGGTAAAATATTTTTTATAATGTTCACTTTTTTTGTCCCGATTTTTTTTTTTATTTCCAGAGGATTTCTTCTTCCTACGCTCTCTCTCCTCTTTCGCTTCGTTTACAAATTCTTTTCCATTTTTTCCATTTTCTCCATCTTCGTCTTCTTTCTTATAATTCTTTACATTTCTGTGCGAAATGTTACTTGGGATTCCTTTCTCCCCTTCGCTATCACTGCTTCTTAATACTTCTTTCTCATCTGCACGATTGATAATTTTACTCTTGTTTGCTTCATCTGAAATTAAACTTTCCCTTGGAACATTTGACGATTTGGGATTCCCTTCACTTTCCTCATTCTCTGAATCTCCCTGTCTGTTCTCCTCCGAAGATGTGTTCATTTCTTATATGTTTTGTCAAAATGGCAAATGTGGTAGAAACCATAAAATGGAATGACAAAAAAAAAAAAAAAAAAAGAAAAAAAATATATTACCTACGTACTTACGTACATACAAATACTCCTAAGTACAAAATGTGTGTGCTTCACCTAGGTAAAAATACACACAGAGAGTTAAAACGATTCCCATTTCCCCTCTGCATATTTCATGCAGATTGATGTGCACTTGTATGCGGAATTTAAGCACATACACGAATGCGTCGTTAAGTTTTTACAATGGGTACTATGCTAACTTCGTATATTTTATGCGTGCTAAGTTATGTTCACATGTCATTCATGCCAAGTATGTTCATATTATGAGTGTCACAAGTTAGGCTCTTACAGGATCCTGCTTGCCCTTTGGGAGGTTCACACAACTGTATTCGAGATTTTTGTGTTATTCCTTGTATGCACAAATGCTCATTTGCATCCCTTTTCGTGTGTGTGTGTGTAATTATAACTAGGTATACTGGGGCGTAAGTGACTAAGCCTCGTGGTCCCTCTGGGCTCCTTGTCCCTTCACATGAGTACGCAATTCGATGAGTAACTCTTTGCACAATTCGCTGAACAATTCACTGAACAACTCGCTGAGCAATTTTATGTGCTGTGGCTAGCGCAAGAACATGTACATGTAAAAAAAATAAAATAAATAAAATAATACATATACAAGTACATACCCAAGTTGACAGTTACAATGAAGAAACGCTTTGCGAGTATCTTCCTTGAAAATTGGGTTTGTGTTATCTATTCTTTGTTTTCTTCCAATCATTTCTTTCCCGCTTCGAGCTTTTTTTTTTTTTTTTTTTTTTTTTTTTTTTTAATATTTTTATAACCAAAAAAATTGGCTAATAAAAAAAAAAAAAAAAAAAAAAAAAAAAAAAAAAAAAAAATTATGATTTTTTTTTTTTTTTTTTTTTTTTTTTTTTGTTTTTTTTTTTTTTTTTTTTTTTTTTTTTTTTTTGAGATATTTGTATGACCAAAAAAGTTGGCTAGTAAACAAAAAAAAAAAAAAAATAAAATGACAAATAGTAAATTCTCCTGTTAACATACAGGTATGTAACAAGTTGGCAACAAAATAAGGTGAATTAAAAAAGAATTCAACTCAGAACCTCAGAACCATGTGATTATACTCATTAGAATGAAAGTTCGACAAATCTCTCAGTGCTCCTCAAAAATAAAAAAAAAATATATGTCAGAGAAAAAAAAAGATCCTCACGTGAACATGAATTTTTTATCCTTTGCATCAGGAAGAGAGAAAAGAAACGAAAGCGTTCAGACCCTAACACGTTACATATGTATTTAATATATATACATATATATATATATATACACACATACCATATATATAAACCTTCTTCTACTTCATAGCACTTAAATGCGTGTGGGATAATAAGTATTTTTTTTTTTTGGGGTGCAGGGAAAGGTGGAAAATATTTTTGGAAACGTTCCTTAGGTCTTCCCCTCATGTGCCAGTACTCCGATGTTTCTTTTTTTTTTTTTTTTTTTTTTTTTTTTCTTTTATCTGGGTTATATATAGGTGTCATGAGAGAAATTTTTTTTATCTTATAAGGTATGCAAAAATATGTAAGCATATTTGCTCACGCAACTGCTCAATCGTGCAATTATGCAATTTGCGGACTTGGCGTATTTACATACCCATATGAGAACCCCGCTTTTTCTTTAAGTAAAAATAGAATCTTGCTTAGCATCAAACCTGGCAAAATATATATGCAGTTTAACAAAATATCCATAGTGGAAAAGCTGTTTTTTTTTCCTTTTTTTTTGGTTTTTTTTCCGCCTCTTATGAATGTGCACAGGGACAAAGCAGTATAGTATTATAGATGTACACATAATATGTACATATATATATATACATACATATACATATATACATGAATACTTACATGCGTTTCACCTTGTAAATAAAGCGTGAAACATTTTTACTGACACAGGATAACGTCTAACCAACCGGGAGGTATAAACACACCTTCAGTCAGTTGCTATATGGTGATTACGAAGCCAAGAACAAGCTGCTTTCTTTTTTTTTTTTTTTTTTTTTTTTTTTTAAACTCTCCTGACTAGGTGCTTTTGTTAAACCAGCATTGAAAGAGTTTCCATTTACAAAAAACAAAACAAAAGAATTAATAATGAATATATGTATGCATGTATGAATGAAAAAAAGGAAAACAATTTGGGAATGTTGTCAACTGAAGTTTTCCCTATATTTATTTGTTTCGTTTTTGCGAATTTTTCAACTTTACAACTTTTCAATTTTTCAGTTTTTTTTTTTTTTTTTTTTTTTTTTTTTGTTCATATATTTGAATTTACTGAAGCTAAGGGACATAATAGCAGCGCCTTGGCTCTTTGCGCTTTAATTTCGGGGGTTCCCATTTTTAATGAACAAATGAACCAATTTGCAACCTGAAGTCACAAAACATGAACATAATATGTTCTACTACTTGGTTATTCTCATTGCCACATTACTAACTGGATGTATCCAGAATTTCCCTTGTGTTTTTCCCCTTTTAAATGGAAGGGCACAAAATGGTGGTAAAAAAAAAAAAAAAAAAAAAAAAAAAAATAGCCACAACAAATGTAGTGCTATCCCTATATACACATATATAACCAATTTGTATTACAACTTATGTACAGCATAAGGCGCATACCTCATATTCCCTCTTACATCATTTAAAATACATAATTTTAGAGGTGAAAAAGAGAATTCCAGGGTTTCGTTGAAAGGGTCAACAATATATATTACTACACCGTTATTATCTCTGCATATCTACCGCTGGTCTGTATGTGTGGGTTTCATTTTGAAAGGAGGATTAGTTAACATATCCAATGCTGTGCATGCGTGAGAAAAGAGATTGAAACGTGTGTATTTATAGAGTATTAGCAGGAACCCACGCCCAACAGACGTACACACACACACACACAAATATATATATATATATATATATACACGCATACACTGCTGAGTTACTATGAAGAACCCATACCTGTCAAACAAGAAAATCTATGAACTGCTGTATACAAAGAGTTATAAAGGGCACGAGAAGGAAATTAAAGAAGTGTTCGAAAGGAGATACTCCAAATTGCTGACGTACCTAAGTGAGAACAATAAGAATCACGAAATTATTTCAATTAAACTTCAACAGTTCATTAATCATAATTTAAGCTTCAACGATTCCAAGTCCTACTTTTTTGGATTCTCCAAAGAATTACTGGTACATTGTATGAAGGTGTATTTTTATGACGAATTTTGTTCAGGCACGAATTGTAGAAATTTATCATCTGGCAAAACTGGATTGGGCGATGATGGTGGAGTGGGCACTGACGATGGTAGCGACAATGGAAGTGACGATGACAGTGACGATGACAGTGATGATGACAGTGACGATGATGAAGAGGGCAAGGTGAAGAAGATGAAAATTTCCTCCAGACTACAGACAAATTCAATAGGAAAGGTGCATTTGACAAAATATGACGATACTGAGGATGAGGAAACTTGGGAAAAATTTCTTTTTGACGAAATAAAAAAGAAGGCAGAAGAGTTTGATATGAAAAAATTACACGATATATACTGTGATGAATATTTTTATATTTTCAAAAATATCCTGCACGTTTTGAAAGAGTGTGAAATATTTTACGCATATTTAAATTACAAAGCTGAAGATTTTACATATGAAAAGAATTTTGTTTACACTTTGTTTGATGTGATAGAAAGCAAATTAAATATTCATCAATTGTTGCAAATATATTTCGACACGTACAAGGACGCAAATAATTATTTCGAACTTATAAAAACAACAAATGTAGAAAACAGAACATGGGTATACAAATATCTACTTCTTTTTCTTAATGTGCAAATATGCTGTATTAATATATTTTTTTATATCCAATTAAGATTAAATATATTTTCAAAATTTAATTTGAAGCCCTTCTTGAACATTTTTTTATCATTTTCCCCTATGGATGATCAGTGTGATGTTAATCATTCATACACAGACATTGTTACAAGTACCCTTCAACAGAAGGAATATTCCATTATTTTTTTCATTTCTTCATTAAGCAAATTATTAACATGGGATGATATTGTTAAATATGTAAAATACCCGTCTGGTGTTAATTCCTCCACATCAGCTATTTTAATGAAATTTTTTTTTCTCTTTAAAGAAGAAAATAAATGGAAGAATTATGAAGAAAACATATGTATGGTAGCACAGTGTTTACCATATCTGGATGAAATAATTAACAGATTCTCCTTTATGCAGGATAATTGTGTGTATAAGAAAATCATTTTGCATGTTCTCAACGCAGCTTTGTGTACTGACCAGGATAAGGAAAGCGCTTTGCATTTTGTCGATCATGTGGACTTTGGAAATAGCAACAGTAACAGTAACAGCAACTGTAACAGTAACTGTAACAGTAATGGTTGCCCTGATAACATGGAAGAGTATGGAAGTGGTGCTCAAGCCTTCGAAGCAGAAACAAAATGTTCAGGGGCAGGTCCGAGTAACCATCAGCAATACTATAATCGAAAAGAAAAAAAGAACATAATAGGGATGCGAACAATGAGAAATGATGATTTTTCCTGTACAAATCATAACATATATGAGAAAAATACAAATGAAAGAAAAGTTCGTCATGAAGAATGTATTGGCCCAATGTCAGAACGTGATTTAAACTTCTCTTTGATAAAGAACATGAAAAAACATATCGAAAAAAAAGAATTTTTCAAAAAAACAATTGACTTGAAATTATTTCTTAAGGTTTGCATATGTCTTTACAGTAAAGATGATTATATTTTATTTACACATGACATAATGAAAGAAGGAAGAAATATCAACTTGTGTATTGAATACTTACAGGAAGACGATTTTCAGTTTGACATGTACACACAGAAGTATTTTTTTTACGATTTTAATTATAGAAGTACTGAAATTGTTACAAATGTGGAAGAGAAAAAGAAGATCGTACCATCATATATCTCTATTGAAAGCAAAAATATCTTATTAGAAATTTCATCTTTCTTTTTTTCGTATGATTATTTGAAAATATACAGTATGAAACAAAGGAAAAGGGGAAAAAATTATAGTGGAGAAAGACCACCATCTCCACCTTCTGATAGTAATGATGAGGATAATTCCATTTATCATCCAATAATTTTGCAGAATGTTAATCGATTGCTATTAGAATTATTTTGTAACAAGATTGGTTACACATGTGTGGACAATCTTATCATATTCAACCACAATTTATTATCTATATACAGGATTTTGAAAGCATTAATCGGAACGAGTGCAAACTTGATAAGTTTCAAAGAAGTGGTAAAGACAGTTGATACAATTTCGAAAAAAAATCAGAACAAAATGGTTGTTAATATAACAGAAGAGTATACAGTGACAACTTTGGAAAATTCTTTATATTACAAAATTTGTGAAATGTTAAAAAAGAAAAATTTAGATAAGAATAATGTGTATATTACTTATATCGAGTATTACTACATATTACTAGATTTTTATTGTAAATATATTTATAATAATTTTGTGAAGAATAGAAGAAAAGATTTTTTGGAAGATAATTTTTTTTTTGAGAAATTTCAGTATATTATTCACTTCTTTTGTAAAATATTAAAAATAAATAAGTGTTTTCATATGCTTATTGAAATTAAAATAAATAATTATTTCAGATTGGGATATGACATATTTAACAGTTTCGTTAGTTTATTTACGTATCTTTTTTTTCTTTCTTTAAAATATGAAGAACTGAAATCCCTAAATTATGAAATAACTAGCTGCTTATTATTTTTATTAAAGAAAGTAAATATTAATAAGCTCAATGCATACATATTTCAAATTTTCTCTTACATTGAATATGAAGAATTGTTGAGAAAAGAGAAAGGAAATGTTGCACATGGGAGGCAGAGAAATATGTTTAGTTCTTCTGATAGAGATAATACAAACACGAACAATAATAACAATGAAGATGGAGAATTGCATGACGAATACTTGATTAGTGCTGAGATACCATTTGCTACAAATATCGAAACGGACATTTATCTTACCTCAAATGTGAACTACAATAATCTTACGAATTTTAAGTATGAAAAGGACCAAATGGACGTCAAAGAGAATTTTAGAATCGACATTTCCTTCTTGAAAATTTTTATTTTGATGAACGAGGTGCGCAAGGTAGACTTGGTTGCCTCCGGGTGTCTCCCTGAATTTTCCAACCAGTTTGACTCAAACGATGGGGACCATAGTGGGAGAAGCGGGAGAAGCGGGAGAATTGAGGAAAGTGATCAAAGTGGTAGAAGTGAGGAAAGTGATCGAAGTGGTAGAAGTGAGGAAAGTGATCGAAGTGATAGACGTGATCGAAGTGGGAGAAGCAACTCTCCCCCGTCTTCTAATCTTAACAAGAGCTGCAGGAGCCATTTGAGGGATAGAGGATTTCACCCATGTGGAATCGAATACATTACAGAAGATATCAGCATGGAAGACATTTGCATTATCACACTCATGCAATTGTTCGAAGTAGACGGTCATAAGATGAGCTTTATAAGTGATTTACTTAGAGTGTACGAAGAAGAAAAAAGGAAAAAAATATATGGATTAACAGAAATAATACTAAAGATATTTCAAAAAATCATAAAAAGAAAAAGCAGTAATTATTTCCATCTAGACATGTATAAATCTTTTCAAATAAAAGTGTTACAGATGCTGGAGTGCGTGAATATTTTAGAAAATAAGTGGGTCATATGGATATTTCAAAATTGTGATAATATATTTAAAAGAGAAAAAGATATTGATATAAAAAAAATTGTGAAGCTCTTTTTTATTTCTTTTTATAAATTTTTAAAAAATTATTTTTTACAAATAAATAATTTTCTTGAAAATAAAAAAGTATACAACAGTAACAACAGTTTCGACGATTTTTATTTTTTCCTTTTTTCAAATTATATTAACAAGATTTTTATAGAAAATTTTTCTTCTTCATTTATATTTAAATTATCCAAAATTTCTATTCTTAATTTGTCCTTATCGATAGTGAATTATATGATGAAAATGACTAAAAGTGTGAATGTGCACATGTTAAAAAATTTGTATATAGAACTGAGTACTGCAATTTCTATGAGTTCTATTACATCATTAAATTTACAATCAAGCAGTGAACAAATATACAATTCTCAACAGCAGAAACAGTTAGAAGGAGAAGAATTACTATTACTACCCTCTGAAGAGAAGAACCAGAAAATCCCGATTTCTATGCAAAACGGGAATAGGTATGAATCTGCCACTTTCAATAACTTTATGAAAAATATAATTATTAATCACAAGACGTTGTTAAACAAGCCAGAAATGTACATAAAGAAAAGAGTTAACATTTTTCAGATTGGAAAAGACATTAGGGAAGTGGCAACTAGTCGATATTCCATGGATTACTTGCAAGATGTTTTGTTATTAGAAAAGGGAGAAGAGAACCATTCTTTGAAAATGATTGATGATAGTAATAATTGTTTCTCCAACAAAGTTGAGAAGGAGAAGAGGAACATCTATCAAAATGGGTTCAGAAATGATGTTTACGCAGATCAAAGCTACGGAAAAAACAACTTTCAGCCCGATATGAAACTAAACAATTGCAAAAGGAATGTTGAACAGCTTTTTTACACATCCACAGTAAACTACAACATGTACAATTCTTCAATTAATGGAAATTCCATAAATCAAAATTCAGCATTTGAAAAGGAAGAAGAAGGAGAACAACAACAGCAACAACAACAACAACAACAACATCCCATGGCAAGATACAGTTTGATATTTTTTAAATTTTTCTATCATATAAAAAATATGCTGAACATTGTATTGCAAAACAATTATGTTTTTTTTTTAAGCGACTTTTTGCTTATGCATTATGAACACTCAGATAAAAAACATAATTTTTTTAAATACAACATGAACAAGTCAGATGAATATTACTCCATTTTTAATGTCTTTATCAATGAATACAATATGAACTATTACAAGAATAAGCACAATCTTTTTATATCTATAAACACAAAAAATCCAAATTTTAGAAAATTGAATGCACAAGTAGTGAATCGCACTTTGCTTCTATACGCCCTTTTGTTGGACAGCTGTTGCAAGTTCTCTTTTTTGAAAGAAGTTAATAATATATCTACCAACATATCGAGTCAGATTTTTTCACTTTTCGACACTTCACATCTTATCCTCAGTTTATTTTCGAAAGTTTCTCTGAGTGTGATTCCAAAGGTAAGACATTTTTCCCTTCATAGCCCAAGAGTGTGTCCCCTTGTTCATGTTCATGTTCGTGTGCTAATGTGAATTGACGTATTATTTTTACCCCTTTGCATGTGATACTGATGTGTATACATGTATATATTTTTATTTCTAAAACATTTTCATAACTTTGCCTTTTTCATTTGAATACGCTGTTTTTGCTGCATATAATACATGCACGAGCTGCATAAATGTATTGTGGAATGACCCACCCCCATCCCCATTTACAGAACGATATGGTGAGCCAAGCTATTAATAATGACATCCTAAGCATAGAAAAAAAACAAGCAGAAGAAAAAAGAGAAAATTTGAATATATCGTTATTATATTTTCTAACTTACAACTACAAGAATATATGCAACTTTTATTTGAAACTAAATCAGTACTTTAAGGTTAATGAATTTAATAATATGTATTTTCTTTGTAAATATAGCCAAGGGTTTCTTCCACTTTCTAAGATTCTGAACATGTTCATGCAGAAGCTGCTATTTTGTTTACGTAAAGTCAATCAAATAAACTTACTTAACATCAAATTGATTTTCACAAAAAAAGCATTCGAAGTGCTCAAAATTTTGTATGCATTTATAAAAGATAACGATTTGATAAGTTGGAGGATATACAAAAATTTATTTAACACACTCTTGTGTATAATCAAGAGATATATCAAAATTGACGTGGAACATTCGTGTGATGTATCATCGTTTGAGTTGTTGCATTTACGGATTCTGAATTTAGCCCTACACTTCATAAATGTGATCTATTTTAACCTAACCCAGGTGGTAGGACGTAATAACACGAGTATTCAATCTGCTGAGAAGATTAACAATGATATGAAGAATACTGACGATGTGAAGAACATCCAGCAAGAGAACGATCGAGGAAGGGACGAATCAAAAAAGGAAATTAGCAAGGAAGAACTGAAAGTCATTCGAAAGAAAAGGGCATTCTGGAAATACATAAAAAAACTTCTGAACATGTTCACGCGAAAGCTAAAAAGAAATACACTGAATTTCGTGTTCGCAAGAAACAACCATTTATATAACAAAGAAGAGAAGAAAGAATTGATAAATTATATGTATAACTTGAACATAATGTGCGAACTGTTCGATTTGATAATAAAAGGAGTATACACAAAAGAGAGTCGAATGTACAAATTGATTATCAGGATTTGCTATGATCCAAGTATTTGTAACATTTTCTTCACGATTAATTTTGACAATATGAATGAAATGATTAATACATACTTAGATTTGCATAAAAAAAATATGGATAATTCAGAAAATATAAAAGATCTCTTAGCGAACAATAAGAATGTCCATGTAAAAAAACACGGATTCATAAATGATGATTCGTTAATTCAAAATATCATAGATGTATTGAATGAAAAAAAAATAAATTATAAATATGTACTTAACTTGAGTGAAGACAAAGCATATTCGCAACATGGAAATAATACAATTTTTGAAGAAACTCAAAATTCTATATCTGTTAAAAATTTGATTCAAAAAAAAATCGAATTGTTAGATTCTGGTTATGTATGTAATAAATTTTTTCAAGGAAAATCGAAAAGATATGGAAAAAAAAACTTTCTCTTTGATATTAAAAATTATCTGTATTGTATGAATGCATATGGTTCTGTTAGAACTGGGCAGGAAAAGTTTCACGAGAACGACTTGTTTTTTTCAGATGTGAGAAGAAGAACCCTTTTTGATTTCGATTTTCCACTAACCACTGTTTCATCTCTGATTGATGAAAGAAGAATACACAATCAGAGGGGAAAGGACCAAGGACGGTGGGGTGGTGGGGTGGTAGTACTTAACAATGCTGTAAGACGAGATCCTTTGAATGAATACAAATCTGGAGAAATGCTGAAAAAAAAAATAGATTCAAGTATTATGAACAACATAGATACAATTTTGTTAGACGAAGAAAATCAGAACCATTATAATTCCACAGAAGGAGAAGGAAAAAGTACAAACAAAGCAGAAAAGATTGACAAATCTAAGGATGAAAAAAGTGCACATTCTTCACTCGGATTTATCAATGATACAAATACATTATCAGAAAAAAATGATTGGCTCTTCAGTGCATATTGCACAAGACATTGGATTGATCCTTTATTTCCTCCCAGTGATGAACATATAGAAAAAAAAAAAAAAAAAAAAGAGAAGAAGAAAAAAAAAATAAATAATACACACTATTTTGGTAGTACTTTGAGCAACCCATCCAACGTTTTCATATTTTCAAAACATTTTAAGAACGAAATAAAGTGCATGAAATATATTAACCTTACACAAAGCATCTACGACAGTAAGATACGGTTGTTACTGATTTTGTATAAATTGGTGATCATAATGAAACATAAAAATGTACTAAATGATGAAATTTTTCAGAAGAAGGAAAATCGAGCATTACAGAAGAGAAACATATCTAGAACTTCCCCTTTTCTTTTTTTTGTTTATGAATCATTGATTACTTTCTTAGCTCCCTCGGTTCAAGTAAGCAAAAATCCTCTTTTTTACATTCTAGTTTCTAATATTTTGATAAATATATTGACAATAGGAAGTTCTAGGAATTGTAAGGGAGAAGCAATCATGGTGAACACACTTACTCGTGGTGAATTGGAGAGACGAAACAATGCTGACAATTCAGAAGAAAATGCATCGAAATATGAACAACGCTCATTTCATTATAAGAAACGAAGCAATGATAGAAGTTCCGTAAAACAATCTCGTGAGGAGTTTATGGATGAAGGAGGAACATGTTACTATCATCAAGGAAGTTTCTATTGTAATCTTTTTATTCATGAATCATTTATGGCAAATGCAAAAAACAAAAAAGATCATGTTTTCTTTGAAATTTTGAATAACATATCAAAGAATGAAATGCAAAAGTACTTATTCTTAAAAAATGATAGAAAGGAGGAAAAAAGTTACAACCAGAATAATATAGACAAAGAAAAAAAGAATCACAAATCGAAGCATATGAAGAACAATTATGAAAAAAATTGTATAGATAAAAATAGTTTAATATACAATATGCCGTTAGTTCTTTCTTTATTTATTAGATGCATCACATTGCATGTTCAGAATTTTAAGTTTCATCACAAAAATTTTTATTTTCTTAGAAATTTCAACTCATTATATGTACCCAGATCGATCCTGAAATATATGTACCCATCAAACTACTTTAACATTAACTTATTTGTCAATTTGTTGGAACTTTTTTATGTAACAATTCGGATTTACAATAACTATTTTATAGAATTAAACAGAATGTGTTTCCATAGAGAAATGGTTACCTCGCAAAAGGGTGGAAAATTTGAGGTGGTTCAGAATCAGAGCAGGAGCAGAGGTAGGAGCGAGAACAGGAGCATCAGTCCTGAGTCCTCAAATGAAGGAGTGCCAATCGAACAGGTGAAAAATGATAAGAATTATGGAGAAACTAAGGAGCACAAAGAAATGTGCAAATCGAGAGAAGAAAAAGAACAAGTTGAAGAAGATGAGGAAAATTTTAACATTTATATAACAACGTTGAAGGAAATTTTAAAGGAATGCTACGAGACTCATGATATGCACATGAAAAATCAAGAAAGTAATAATGTTAGAAAATCGGATTCGATCGAACACATTCTTCTGTACTTTTTATACAATAGAATAAATACTGTATATGACATTTTTTATAACTTTTTTTTTAATTGTATAAAGGGAGGAAAAAAAAAAAAAAACATTTTCGATATAGTAAATGTTTATATATACAAATTTTTAAAAAATGATATATACCATCATATTAACAAAATTAACCTATTTTTGGATTCAAATGAATACTACTATTTTTACGTGAACACGTTAACTTTTATGATCTTGAATAAGCACATCTGTATGTACATAATTAAGGGAGATATTTTGACAAAACTTATATATGTTCCAGATATATACCACTCCATATTTGACAAGAGCAAGACTTTTAGCGCTATCTATTACTTGAACCATGAAAACCAATATATTAGAAATAAGAATCATATAATTTTCTGTTCCCTTATAGTTCTATTAATTAAAATGCTGTATATTTTTGTAAAAAATGTGAAAGGTGGTATCGGATACTTTCCCTTTGATTATTTTAGAGATCATAACATGGTTGATTTCTTTATGGAAAAGACTACAGAACAGGAGGAGCAGCACCCACGAGGAGGAGAAGGAAGTGGAATTGAAAACACAGACGAATTACAGTGTAGAGACGAAGAAGAAACATATGTAGATCCTCAGAATCATGTAGTTTATTCAAGCGATTCAGATTATTCAGATCGAAGGGTTCATGTGGGGAGAAGTAGAGAGCAAAGGGAAAGAGAAACTGGAAGAGGTAGAAAGGATGCACAGAACGTGCAAAATGGGATGATCAGACGAAATGGACATGCCACCCACTCTGGCAATGCTACCCAATCTGGAAATCCTGCCCGAGTGAGCAACGAAGCAGAGTTTTTTCTAGACTCCATGTTAGACGTGATAAACAAGTTTTCGGATAGAATCAATTTCATATTTTTAAAAATAGAAAAAATTAACTGCCTAGCTATTTTCGAAGAATCCTATTTATATGTGGAGCTACTTACAAAAATATCCTACTACTGCAACATCTTCAATATTAACCATATACTCATATCATTGATGAATAAAGGGGTAGAACACCACTTGTTTTATATCAATCGAATTCTCGAGAAGTTTATATATGAGAAGGAGGTGATAATTGATCCCTACAGTCCCTACGAAATAACTGCATCTACTAGTGAACCAAATGATAAGGGAAAAAAAAATAGGAAAAAAAATGAGCTATCTTTGTTCACACAGAGAATTCTATACTTGTGCTACAAATCTATCTTGAACTACAACACTATACTGCTTAACATAATACAGAACCCATACTTCACTTACTCCTACTTTGTTGTGCATCTATACATTCTGATGCTGAAATCTACGAGACTCGTCACGAACATAATTGAGCACTTTGGACGCAAAAACGCCACACTCATTCGAACGGTAAGGCTACGGCATTTGCACGAACACGAGGCTCAGCTAAGGAGGCTCCACTAAGGCCACTCCACCAAGGGTGCTCTACCAGTGCTTCTTCACTAAGGACAGTCATATTAATATAAAATTTTTTTTTTTTTTTTTTTTTTTCCTCCCTGCACTTTCCCGTTGTCAGATAAAAACCAACTCGGGGCTGTCCTACGTACCCATTTGTCTAGATATAGTAAACACTGTGAAAGAAAAAAAAAAAGAAAAAATCCATTACTCCAGAGGCACTGCCAAATCAACCTTGAGCTGCTACCTAAGCGACAGTTATTCAGGAAGCGAAGATTCGAATTATTTAGGAGAGATAGTTCAATATAACAGATCGATTGATGAGTATATGAATACAAAAAGGGTATACAAAAATGATTACATGTTTAATTTTCTTCCAGAAATGGTAGAATTAAAAACGTATTATAATATTTTAAAAGAAATATTGGAAAGAAGTGCTTTTCTCGGGGCCTTTATATTAGAGAAGCTGAAACATACATGTGAAGATTCATGTCTGAAGCAGATTCTCATAACGAACGTTTGTTCTTATTTGATACATATTAATGCCACTCTTCTACCATCCATTATATGCACAAATAATTTGAAGAAGAAATGCACTCTAATTTATAACTACGTCGTCAACATACATAAAAAGTGAGAGAGAAAAAAACCTCTTTTTTTGCACCATATGTATATATATATATATATATATATGTACACTGTTGATGCATCCAAGCGAAGGACTCTATGGAAGGAAGGGTAGAATGCTTAGTTTGAGTGGCCTTATCATTGTAAGAAGTATGAGAATCAATACACTCGAAAAGAGATTTTTTAATTTGCACACATGCATAATATTCCAATTCTGCACGCACATTGATGTCTGTGAAAATTTACATTTAAATATAAACAGGGTATGAAAAGAAGAGAAGCGTGAAAAAAAAAAAAAAAAAAAAAAAATTTTCTCCAACAGTATACCCAAAACTGACACCTAAACCTAAGCAATTTTTAAAAAAAATTAAAAAAAAAAATTGCATTTCATATGCTGACATGATGTTCTGTTCATAAGAAAAATAAGGCTTTTTTTTTTTGGGGTGTGGGGAGGGGAAAGCAATAACAAATGAGGATATTAATGGAATGCAGGAAAGGGAAGAAAAAAAATAAAAAAAAAAATAAAAAAAAAAATATAAAAAAAAAAGTGGAAATATCAAAAGTTGAAAAAATGGACGTGGGAAGGGAAAAACGTTGTAGAAACGAAAAGTACACAAGGTGGAACACATTAACACATGTGACAAATGAAGAGCTAAGCATGTCTGTGGTAGAGGGTGGGGAGGACGTGGTTGAAAGAAGTTTTAAAATAACCAAATGATGGAATTACAACATGTGTTTTTACATGTGAAAAAATGAAAAATAATAATATATAAAAACAAATAATAACGTGAGCAACGTCATATCTCAATAATGAAATAAATGTATATGTATAAAATATTACCACGAACATTTTTTATTATATATGTGTTTGTAGTGGCAGAGTGAAGGGAAGGATTAAGTGCGTAGAGGTACAAATGCAAAGGAAATATGCTATTGCAATAAATATACACAAAGAAAGGCAGGCAAGGAGAGAAAAAAAAAAAAAAAAAAAAAAAAATACGAGAAAAAATGATGCAAAAATTTGAAGAAAAGCTCGGCACGATGCGCATTGTACTACTTCTCTCTTTTGTCCTTTTATTTCTATTCTATTATATTGTATTGTATTATATTGTATTGTATTATACTATATTATATTGTATTATATTATATTGTATTGTATTATATTGTATTATATTGCATTATATTGCATTATATTGCATTATATTGCATTATATTGCATTATATTGCATTATATTGCATTATATTGCATTATATTGCATTATATTGTATTACATTTTTGCTGACTTCTTATCTTGTTTCTTCCCACACACGGGGGCTCAGAAGAGCTCTGCGTCACTCTCGACATCCTCATCATACAAATTGAGATCCAGCTTGTAGCGAAGCATGCCACCGAACCCTCCAAATCCCTTCTGAAATTGTGCACCCTCTTGAGATTTGTTCGTGACAAAATCTAGGGAGGCTCCATATTTTTTGTAATTATTTATAACCCAATCGGTTAGAGAGATTTTTTCAACAACTTCTAATTCGACATTATTTTCTTTATACAAAGATTCTTGCTTTTCATCATGTGGGGAGATGTGCATAGTTTTGGTTGTATTTGTGACATTATTACGTGTGGTTAATCTGATTATATCTAAACCTTCATACAATATTAACAATTCAACAGCTCCAATTTCTAGTGCTTTTAAAGTGTCTTCAATTCCGTAAACAACTTTTCCTGTGTCTTGTGCTATTTCTTCAAAAAATTTTCCAATTAATTTTTTTTCTTGAATAAATTTAACATTTTGTAATGCTTCTGAACTTAATTCAATTGCCTGATTGAATCCATTATCTCCACCATAAGATATATCCACAATTTTTATAACTTTAGCGAATAATCGTTGATCAAACATATCACTATGTAGTAAATCATTTTTAAAATCTGCACTACCTGCCAGTACAATTCCAGATACGTTAATTTTGTCATTCGTTATAAAAACAGATGTTGCCACTTCTGCTACCTTTCTTAAATAATTGTGTCTCTTTTCTAATCTTAATCGAGCAAAACGTAAAGCACTTTGACCACCTCTTCCATGTTTTTTAGGTAAATCAACAGTAAATCTTCTGATTACTTCTCTTGTATTCCCTTGGATGGTACCAAATAATGCTCCATTTCCATCCACTATTATAAAACCAAATTTGTCATCACTTTCTAATAACTCCTTCAATGCTTCCACATGAAATTTATTATCACACAGATACAAACTTGTGTTTATTGGTCTGAATGGCTCAAAATCTATGGACATTTTCTTTTCTTTTCCATCTTCCGTTATCACAGTCCCACAGTAAACCACAAGACCCTTGGGAGGCGTCTTATTGTATAGCTTCAGTTCTGCAGTTGTGATGAAGAGAAGTGGTTGTGATGAAGAGAAGTGGTTGTGATGAAGAGAAGTGGTTGTGATGAATAGAAGCGGTTGTGATGAATAGAAGCGGTTGTGATGAATTGAAGTGACTGAGAGTGAATTGGAGGAGCCGTATGGGAAAATAAAACAAAGTAACATGAAAATCTCCTCTTTGAGCAGTTCTCACTTTGCTGTGTAGACGTAATCGCAGACAACACACTAAGACGGTTAACTCTGCTTTTAATGTTAGAAGCTGTTCCAAGTTCATCTGCCAACATTTTATTTATTCGAGAAACTTCATCCTTGTTTTTAATTATCAGGCTGATCATGCTGGTTCCGTTCCTTTGGGGAAGGGGTGCGGGCGTGAGAAGATTAGAAGATGAGATAATGTGCAAAGACGTATCATGTTATGCAAAGATGAATCATGTTATACAAAGGTGAATCATGTTATACAAAGGTGAATCATGTTATGCAAAGATGAATCATGTTATGCAAAGGTGAATCATGTTATGCAAAGGTAAATCATGTTATGCAAAGGTGAATCATGTTATGCAAAGGTGAATCATGTTATGCAAAGATGAATCAGGTTATGCAAAGAAGAATCAATTTATACGGTAATTTACATCAGTTACGCAGCAAATGCACATAACTGATATTCCACAATGTCACTCGTCGTGCAAGATGGATCACAGGCCAAATATTGACACATCGAAATATTCATGCCAATTCCTATACAAAAAAAGTTATGGACACTATACACTGTACAAATGCATACACACAGTTTAATTATATAAGAGCCTATATCTTACCCCTTAGCATTCTCTAGCTTCTTTATTAGTCTTTTGATTTTCCACTGTTCTACATTGGCATCTCGATCTTCTTCCATTGTGTTGGAATTTTGTTAATCAACGGAAAAAAAAAAAAAAAAAAAAAAAAAAAAAAAAAAAAAAAGAAAATACAATTATGAGGATGGAAAACAATGTACGTAGTAGCTGCAAAAATGGCGGTGTTCGTTTCTTTTTTTTCTTTGGATGGATTTTAAATGGAGTGAAATTATATAACTAAGCTGTGTGTCTAGATTATATGACTCGGTTATGTGACTCGGTTATGTGACTCGGTTATTTAACTAGGTTATAAAAGACTGAATTATACGTGACTAAATTATAAAATACTGAATTATAAATAACTGGGTGAGGCAAAAATGGAAAGGCGAGAAAACAAAAGGATAAATCAGAGTTCACAACAAAGCTGGGCACACTTATGCGAAAAGAAGATTGGGGTAAATGTCAGAACCAGTAAAAAATATTTGCAAAATTGTGAATCTGTTTGGGCTAAAAGGGGTAGAAATTCTGCTTATGTCCATATACAAAGTATGTGTACACTTAATGTAACAAAAAAAAAAAAAAAAAAAGGAGCAATGGAAACAAGAAAATAGGATTTTTCCTTTTCGTTTCTTTAATGTAATATGCATATATAGCATCTCTAAATATGTACTTTTCTTATTTTCTTCCTTTCATTCCTTTTGTCTTCCTTTTGGTGTGCCTTGAAAAAAGTATACGTTTTCCATTCACCCATAACTGTACATATACATTTGCTTGAGCAAGTAAATGCATTACATTTTTAAATACTATGCTGTAGTTATAGTTATACTTGTGGTTATTTTTTTTTTTTTTTTTTTACTTCTGTTCAAAATGTTCTCATGTTTCATTCGTTCTCAAATTTTGTATAAGCTTTCTCTTCACCTTGAGTGTACAGTGCCTCCATATATATATACGAGCGCATGTGCCTATGTAGGGCTGTTCTTCTGTGGACTTTCTTCTGCATTAAGCCCCTGTGGGTTGTTGTCCTCAATGATAACTTGTTGTATATATGTATACGTTAGGGTTCATGTAGTTTGTAAGCAACCTCATTTATTTGAAGCACGCTTCTTTTCTTTCATACATGTATATATATATATATATATATATATATATATATATATATATGTATACGTTAATAATGTACCTTTCTCGAGTGGTTTACAAAATACAAATTTTTTTCTTTTTTTTGGAGCGTTTAAAATGAAAAAAAAAAAAAAAAAAACTTCCTCTGCTTTTGATGATTGTGCAGAGTGATTTACTAGTAGTCACGTTGCATCACAGCATTAGCGTAGTATATGTTATGTTATACTATGTTATGTTGTGTTACGTTACGTTACGTTATGCTATGCTATATTTTTTTTTTTTTTTTACTTTGCTACTCAATTTTTACCACATTTAGAACATTTTTACTTATTTGCACGCTTTTTTATTTTATTATCTTTTTTTTTTTTTTATATTTATATATACTTTTTATTTCAACTATATTTTTTTTTTTTTTTTTTTTTTTTTTTTTTTTTGAGTGATAAGATTTTTTTTTTTTTTTTTTTTTATTATTTTTTCTATTTTATATTTTTTTTTTTTTTTTCGTTTTTTTTTTTTTTTTTTTTTTTTTTTTTTTTTTTTTTTTTTTTTTTTTTTTTTTCAATTATATTTTTTTTTTTTTTTTTTTTTTTTTTTTCTTTGAGTGAGAAGTATTTTATTTTAGAGCCTGTTATGGGTTTACTATAAATAAAAAAAAAAAAAAAAAAAAAAAAGATTGAAAAAAGGCTACTATAATTTGAAACATACAAAATAATGAAATATAGAATTAGTGAAGTGGCAAAGTATTGAAGAAGTTGAGTAGTGAAGTGCTGGGTAGTGAAATGTCAAAACTTTGAAGCTGAGCAGTGAAGTTGGGGCTAAAATTATTGAAGAAGCAGCTAAGTATCCAAGTAACAACGCATAGCCAATTAAAACAAATGCACGCAAACACGGTAAATTCTATGAATCCCCGTGCTATATTTGTAGAACTACAAAACATTGAAAACAGCCTTTTGGGAAAATACTAAAGGACTACATGCTACATTATCCAAAAGTTGACGTATACATTCTTTTTTTCATTTTGTTTTTTTGGGAAGGGGAAGGGGAAGTTTTACCCAACGCGCTTCACACCTGCACACATATAAAAAAAAAAAAAAAAAAAAAAAAAAAACATAATCCTACAAAACACCATCTCCATACATTACCTAACGCTCTTATACGTGTAACAAAAAAAAAAAAAAAAAAAAAAAAAAGAAGAGGAAAAACAGAACCAACAGAAGAGAAAAGAAAAGAAGCGAAACAAAAGAAAACACATAGAGTTGAATCAAAGGAATTTCCAAAACGATCAATGGGAGCAAAAATCCCTGTTGAGCATGAGCATAAAGTTGACCCATATGCATGGACATTAAAACACACACACCATGATATATCTCTTATGTTATCTCCTAGTACTAACATAGGGTTGAAAGCTTGATGGAGTTTATCAACCAGATGGTGTTATAGTTACTAGAACCACCACACCCATTTTTATAAACTGTATAATATTAATTAAAAAAATATTTTATGGGTATTTTAATTCATCTGCTTATGAAGTAAATAATCTCTTTTTTTTTTTTTTTTTTTGTGAAAAAAAAGGAAGAGAACTGAAAAGATGTAGAAGAAACGAAATAAAAAAAAGAACCCATAACCATAATTTTTGAAACTGAAATTAACCATAGTAATCGAAACTTTTTAATCATATCATCTCGACGTAGAAAAGAAGTGTGCACATGTTCTAGCATATAGTAACAGCAAAAGAATGAAAAAAAACTCAATGCTAAAAATTTATGTTTATAACTCCAGCTTGTGTCGAAATGGTGCATACAACAATGTAACCAGCATTGCCACCTCCTTCAACAAGTTTGATGGAATAAACAAAAAGTTTCAAAAATGGTACAACACCAGTGGTGGCACTGGTGGTAGTAGGCGCTTCAGTAGCAGCTTCAACCTTTTTGATAAAATAAAAGATGTAAATAAAAGTAACTCCAGTGAGGAGGGGAATGAAGAAAATGACATGAAAAAAAGAAAGCCATCAAAAAAAGTGCTAAAACTTGTTGATGAAATTTTGAACCTAACTTTAATCGAAGCAGCTGACTTATGTGATATATGCCAAGAAAAATTAGATGGAAATAAACAATTTAATAATTCCTTTTTTGTCAATAGAAACCCATTTCCACATCCGTCTAGCTTTTTTGCTGCAGGGAATTTCCCTCCACCCAATGTTAATATGAGTATGAATGCTGCATACCCGATTCAAGGGAATGCACCAAGTGGCTCTCAAGAAACCACTGCTCAATCAAGTAAAGCTCAGAATGAACAATCAGAATCAAAAAAGAAGGAAGAGAAAAAAAATACCAAAACTACATTTAATGTTAAGCTCGAGAAGTTTGATGTAAAAAATAAAATTAACACGATTAAGGAAATTCGAAAGATAACAAACGTCGGTTTAAAGGAAGCCAAGGACATGGTGGAGAGTGCCCCATTTTACATACAGAAAAGTAAGTTCCCTCTGCGTTCTGTGTCGGGAATTTCGCTTCCATTCATTAGCATTGCAGCGGTTCAGCTGTTTATGTGTGTTAGCGGTTAATTTTGCTGCCACTTATTCTGCTTTTATTCATTTTGCTTCCATTTATTCGACTCCCGTTTAGGTGTGCCCGCTGAAAAAGCAGACGAAATGAAAAAGAGATTCGAGGAACTAGGTGCGACAATTATTTTAGAATAGTATTAGAGGAAAACTTGTGTCTGGTTTAAAAAAAAAAAAAAAAAAACTCCAAAGAATGAGCAACGTATGGGGGGGGAAAAAGGCTTAAATTGCAAACACGCACACATACATATGTATACATATATATATATGCTCATGTGTCGTATAATCACCGCACTTACACATCTTGTGCTCAAGAGGGCACATGTGTGTATAAGGGGGGGGTGCATACTTCCGGAACATTACTTTTGAAAAGGAAATAAAAACATAGTAGTACAGTGATACTTTATAAAAAAAAAAAAAAAAAAAAAAAAAAACAATTTTACGCTTGAAGAAAAATTTTCTAATTAAAAAAAAAAAAAAGGACTTAAAAAAAAAAAAAAATACTTTATTGAAGTTTGCATTTTGGAACAGTTTACAAGCAGCAATACATATGTAGCAATTATTTTTTCGTAGTGGGACACAACATGGGTCTACTTAGCCAAATGTTCGCCCCACCCACCACCCCCCATATATATATGTGTGTGTAAATAAACGAATGGTATGTATTCCTTGATTACCTAAAAAAAAAAAAAAAAAAAAAAAAAAATACATCGAAAGAATTCTCGACTTGTTTTTGGGAATCTTACAAAAATTCTCAACAGGATTGGCCTACGAGAAAACACTCCCCCTCTGGGTCACAGTTTCCAGGCATTGTATTCAATGTTGGACAAATAAACTGAAGTAAATATGCTAATTTACCTTTTAATCATTTTTTTTTTTTTTTTTTTTTTCTCTCTCTCTCTCTCTCTTTAATTTCACAATTGCATCGTTTTTTCATCATGCATATATATAACTTCAAATTTAGTCCCTTCATATAACATCATGATGGAACCTTAATCAGTCATACGTGTGACATGAAAAATTTCCTTTTTTTTTATTTTTTTGGTACGCTTTTAATCGTTTTTTTTTTTTTTTTTTTTTTTTTTTTTTGAAACGTTTACACATGGAAGAATACACACTGATACTTCGTTTCACCCTGAACTCCCCTAATCCCAATTAATCTCCATTTAACATATTTTCCACATTCAGGCTGATATTAAAAGTGTGTGCAGCAATTTGGCCGCATCTCATATGGTTGCGCGTAATTTGTTTTTATAGCTCATCAGGGGGGCAAACAATGGGATACATTATTGCATTAACCGATATATATACATATATATATTATAACTAGATGGATTTACTCAGTGCACTGTGTGAGCTAAAACTTTATGGCCATTTTCCCAATATAAGTCATTTTCCATTTGTCATAACATTTTTCTGACACAGCTTGTTACAGGATCTCCTTTCTCTTCCCTTGAGGAATTTACCAATTGTGTTTAATCTTTTTAACATGTGCTAAATTTAAATTATTCCTGTTGTATTTCTTTGAATTCACTTGACTGTTCATTCATATTTTGGACTTGGGGGTATATACTCTTCCCCTCTTTGAAAATCTGTGTGTGTGTGAATCATAAATTGTCGTTCTTTTTATAATGAAAATTTTCCAAATTTATGGTAAAGCTGAATTCCTCTCCTTCATCTCTTTTGATACTCTTCCAATCAGTGTGTTTTATTTACCCAGGGGTAATAAATCATCTGAAATTCATTTTCATGGATTGATGTTTTTTTTCCACAGGACGACGATTTTCCCATGCATGCATACTATCACCCAAACCATTTATCAGTTGGATCCATTTTTATCTGCTCTTGTGTAATAAAACTATTTGTTAACTCTTCATTTGATGGAAGAACCATATCAGGAATGGGTCTCTTTTTATTTTCAGCCTTCGAATGATCATCGAATTGTTGCCTACCTTTGTCCTTGTCGCTTTTGCAGTTTTTGTCGTGTTTGCTATGTTTGTCATGTCTGCCATGTTTGCTGCCCCTTCCACTTTTACCTTTTCTACCTCTTCTACCACTTCTACCGCTTCTACCGTTTCTACCACTTCTACCACTTCTACCGCTTCTACCGTTTCTACCACTTCTACCGTTTCTACCACTTCTACCACTTCTACCACTTCTACCGCTTTGATCGTCTTGCTCTTCCTCCTTCACATTATCAGGTAACTCGTGAAAACCATTTCTGTAGCTTTTTAAAAATGGAAATTTAGTCTCAAAGTAATTCTTGACATAGTTCTCAGTTGGTGTGTTGAACTTGTACTTGTATACCCCTTCCAACATTTTTTTATGGTTATTTATTATTCTCAAGATCATAAGGAAATTATTAATTAAAACGTTTATTTCTAAATGGCTATTGGGTGATTTTTTTACATCAAATTTATTCAATTTATATTTTAAAAAATGAAACACATTACTTGCATCAACTGGAGCAATATATTTATTATCACAAAAGGCTGTGTTTTCATCTTTTGGTCTTTTATTACTTACTATTGTGTTGTTATCTTTATTTTCTACTTCTCCTTTTATGTTAATGAAATCTTCTTTTTGCACACTTTTAATGATTTCATTCGATTTGTCTTCCTCTCCTTTGTTATTCGAAATATTATTAATTGACTGAAAACAAATTTTCCTTTTTCTCCCTTTTCTTTTGACCTCCTTTACTTCAGTTTTTACTTGTTCATTTAACGTCTTGCTTTGATCAAAAAGGATATTTTGAATTTTTTTTTTTCTTCCTCGAGTTCCTTTCTTCTTCACGGGTACTGATAAATTATGTTCCTCTATTTTTCCCTCTTCCAGAAGCTCATTACACATTTCTTTTTTTATTTCGACGTTTTTAGCTTCGCCTGTGATGGTCTCCTCTCTATACCTTCCCCCTTCTCCCTGAACGAGCCTATACCGATCTGTTTCATTAGGACCCCTTCCATAAGGATCTGTTTCATTAGGACCCCTTTCATTCGGACCTGTTTCATGCATCTGATTCGTCTCACTCGCTGACGGTTCATGTTCTTGCATTTCATTGAAATTAAATCCGTTTAACTGCGTTATATTGTCAGATTCCGCTTTGACTAAGGAAAGTTTGCTATCCAAAGAATCATCATACGTCTTATTATCTGTACCTTCTCTGTGTTCATAGCATTTATTCTTCAAGTAGGACGAGCTGACATTCATTAAGAAGTTCGTGTAAGATTTGTTTAAATTCTCATTGATGTTTTTACCTATTGAGTACTTATTATTTCGTAGAATCATTTCTACTAAGTCTTTATTCAACGTCAAGTTGTTGCTCGCAGAAAAAAAATTTTCTTTTCGCTCGAGGCCATGCTGCCCCTGCAATTGGAGGTACTTCTGATAGCTTTCGAGAAGTTGACCAACTTGGACAAGTTGGCCATTTTGGAGAAGTTGGTCACTTTCAAAATTTTGCAAGTTGTTACTGCTTGTCGCGGAAGGTTCACAAAAATTTGTTGTGTTCATAGGTGCTTCATTCAAGGAGGCCCCAATTATTCCATCAGAATTTCCATTATCTATGCTATTCGAAATTTTCAACGGATGTGTATTTAAATTGGATTCATAGAAATAATTGTCGTTATTGTAACAATGGTTCAAATTGTTCGCATCCATGGTCATGTTAAATTCCATTTCCTTTTTCAAGTTGTTTGTTTTTGTCCGCTTGCCATTTTGCATTCCTCCTTTTTTTTCTTGTATGTTTTTTTTTTTTTTTTTTTTTTTCTCCTCGTTGTTTGTATTTGCATTTGCATTTACGCTTGCATTTGCATTTACGCTTGCATTTGCATTTACGCTTGCATTTGCATTTACGCTTGCATTTGCACTTACGCTTGCGTTTACAATTGCGTTCTTCGGTTTTCTCCCTCTCGTTTTATTTTTCTGAGGAAGGATATGGAAGTTATTATCATTATTCAAGGGGCCGATCTGCACCTGCTCGTATGAAACATTTTGCTGCATGCTTTGGACATCCAAATAACCCGTAATGCTTCCTGGTTTTTCACTATGTGTGTTGTTATCACTGTTAATGTAGTACCTATGGACACTACTTTTAGAATCTCCTTTCTTATTATTTCCACTGTTTCCACTGCAAATAGCCGTTCTTTTCGACTCGTTCAAGGCATAAACAGAGCTGGAGTTATAATCATCTGTCCATGCAGCATTTTGATTGTGATATTTATTATCATAAAAGACATTGCCAGTGTTATTGTCATATTTCAAGCTATGATCCATCATGCTGTTATTCTTTATGTTACCTCTACTGTGGTCATCATTTTGCCTACTTTTATGAATTGTATATTTCATTTTATCAACCACTGCACTGTATGAATTATTATACAAAGAAGTATCATGTGGAAATTCATTTGATAACATGTTTTTGTTTTTACTGTTCTTAATAGGAGATCCATCATTAATCCCTCCTTTGAACTCATAATTTATGTTTCCTTTTGAATTGTACATTACATTCTGCTCCTTTCTGAATGATTGATTTGATGATTTAGTAATCATATTTATGTTACTCTTTAAGCATAACTTATTTGGAAAATTTTTATTACCCATGTAACTTTTGCTCTCGTCCCCGAAACCATCGTTCAGATTATGAAAACCCTCCCTGTTGTTGTCATTATAGTCTGAAAAATTTCCATTATTCATCATTCGTCCGTTGAATTGGAATCCTTGCTGTATGTTGTTGTTATCACTGGTGGTCGTCGTGGTGGTTCCTATGGTAGCAATGGTAGTGGCTGTAGTGTTCGAAATGTTGGCATTGTTATTACCTCTACTACTCTTATCAGTCGCATAATCTTCCATGTGATAATTATTCTTGTTGCTGTTGCTATACTTGTTCCTTCCACTTAAAGTGTGGAAATTATTTGCATCGAACATATCCTTTTTCTTATCAATCGTGCTTAAATCAATGTTTATAGGACTCATTCCAGGAAGGTTATTTATGTTGCTCACGTTTTTGATGTTGTTCATATGGTTCTGGCTGTTCATATGGCTTTGGTAGTTCATAAGGTTCTGGTTGTTCACATGGCTTTGGTAGTTCATAAGGCTGTGGTTGTTCATATGGTTGTGATTGTTCATACTGTTATAGCTGTTCATATTGTTATAGCTGTTCATATTGTTATAGCTGTTCATATTGTTATAGCTGTTCATATTGTTATAACTGTTCATACTGTTATAACTGTTCATATTGTTATAGCTGTCCACATTGTTATAGCTGTCCACATTGTTATAACTGTTCATATTGTTATAACTGTCCACATTGTTGTGGCTGTTCATGTTATGGTATCGGCTCAAGCTGTTGTAGCTGTTCATATTGTTGTGGCTGCTCATATTGTTGTGGCTGCTCATATTGTTGTATCGATTCAAGCTGTTGTACCTGTTCACGCTGTTGTGGCTGTTCATATTGTTGTAGCTTTGGATGTTGCTCACTTCATTGTTCCTGCTTTCCACATCTGACATAAGGCTAAATTCTGTTAATCCAGTAGGATGGTCATAATTTTTTGAACTACCCTGGATATGCAGCATATTCGCATTACTTGTCATCATGTTCTTCTTACCGCCATCGGGTCCTTTATCTCTTTCGCCACTCCTGGTTATCAAATTTTTCGGAGTTATTTGTTTTCCATACACACCGTTATTTTTTAAATTACTATCATATGCTGATGCATTCGAAGTGACATCTTTAATCTGTGTCCTCGTACTACTTGTTGGGTCGGTTATATTATTTGAGAAAATTGTCATGCTGCCTATAGAGCTAAAATTGGTCTTTTTATTTTCCCTTCTGCTATCCTTTTTGTTTTCATTCTCATGTTCGTCTTTATTTTCGTCTTTACTTATATTTTTCATGTTCCTCTTTATGTTTTTATTTATAATTGCACTTTCCATTTTATTCAACGCGTTCATGTTGCTTATGGAAATGTGCCGGTTCTCCAAGCCACCTATATTGTTCATTGTGTTCATATTTCTCTGATTATTTATGCTGAACATGCTGTTCATAGAATCCATTCCATTCAGGCCACCCACATTGGTCACGCCACTCATATTGGTCATGTTACCAATACGACCCACCCGATTCAACATGTTTATGTTACTTATGTAGGTTAAATTGTTGGATTCGTTTGAAGTGCTCATATTGTTCACATTGTTTATGCTATTTCGATTGCCTGTGCATAATCCCATGTGATTTATTCCTGACACATCATGCAAATTTTCTGACTCGTTCATATCACCCCTGCTCTTGCTATTCAAGTTGTTACCTCTATGCCCATAATGGCGACCATCCCTATCATTGTAATCAATCTGATTGTTTAGGTTATTCTTTCCATTTTCATAATTTCCATAATTTCGTACGTTAGGATTTAAATATCCCTCTTGTATGTTTTCATTAGAATTATAATTGTATGATCTCTCAGCTGTGTCATTATAAAAAAAAGCATTCGGAGGAGCTAAACTGTAGCCACTTTGTTCAGACAAGTCATCATAGTTAAAGTTTCTTAAGTGTGGATTGCAAAAATAGTTATTTTCATCTGACATGTTTTCTTCATGTACTATTTTTGATTGAAAAAAAAATATTTCATTTATAAGCTATACTGAGTAGGGTTTTTATGCATGCACGTGCGTTTGTATTGCATGCAACATACCCTTTTGTTATGTATATTTTTCCTATAATTGAAAACTTTTCAAAGTGAAACATTAAATCATGAATTTCGTTTATTCGTGAATTCATTCGGTATTTTTCACAAAAACATAAAATTTTATTGATATTATGGCCAGTTAAAAATTCCTAATTGCGCCACTTTCTTTATACATGTTGTATATAAAAATGGCACTACAAAAAAAAAAAAAAAAAAAAAAAAAAAAAATATATATATATATATATATATAATAAAATAAATCAACATGAACCGTTTACTTTTTTTTACATTTACAAGTCATATGATTTCACATTTTCCTACTACCGACATCACACGTTATGACAATAGGGTGTATACTTTCACATTCACAGTTGTTCATGTGTAGGAGAAAATTGTATATATATGAATACCTCCTCCTCGGTTAATACGTCTATAAATTTGCCAGTTTTTTACTCTATCCGTTTATATTTATTTGCATTGCTTTAATTATTGCGGAATACCCTTTAATATTTTCAAAAGGTAGTAATTTTTTTTTTTTTTTTTTTTTTTTTTTTTTTTTGTGTGTGTTTTCTTTTTCTCTACATATATAAACACATATTGTTTTTAAAGAAATATGTATGCAAGTCTAATCGGGGTGAAGAAACTATGTAATTGCGAGAAATACACAGAATAACAAAAATGATGTGGTAGAGAGAAGATATGATGTTTCAAACGTTCTTCTCTATGTGTAACTGTTCTCCCCATTTGAATTTTTTTAATTTTTTTTTTTTTCCTGGATAAGTAAAACAGTTTGTTAAGGTACCCCCCGCCCCCCCAGAGCAATGTGATAGAAAAAAATAGCTGAATTGAGCATAAAATAATCTCTCTTGGAAAGAACTTGCAAATAAAAATCACTTCAATTGGAGATATGTGAAGAAAACATGTTCTTGCAAAAGTGTACACAGCTGTTTAGATATGTGGCACGAAGGGAGGGAAAAGGAAAAAGGAAAAATGGAGCTAAAATGGTACAAAGATGATACTAAAGTGGTACTAAAATGGTGTCAAAAATGGTGTCAAAAATTGTGTCAAAAATGGTGTCAAAAATTGTGTCAAAAATGGTGTCAAAAATGGTGTCAAAAATTGTGTCAAAAATGGCGCTAAAATAGTAGTAAAAAGGTGCTGAAGTGATACTAAAATAGGGCCAATGTGAATACGTACGCTATAAAAAATAACAGCGATGGAAATGCATTCATGGAAAAATAAAAAAAAAAAAAAAAATAATAAATAAACAAATAAGCAAATAAACGAATAAACAAAAAGCAAATAAACGAATAAACAAAAAGCAAATAAACGAATAAACAAAAAGCAAATAAACGAATAAACAAAAAGCAAATAAACGAATAAACAAAAAGCAAATAAACGAATAAACAAAAAGCAAATAAACGAATAAACAAAAAGCAAATAAACGAATAAACAAAAAGCAAATAAACGAATAAACAAAAAGCAAATAAACGAATAAACAAGTAACCAAATAAACAAATAACCAATTAATGAGTTGAAAAAATAAGCAGCAAAACAGTTAAGCAGCTAAGCGCTAAGCAATTAAACAATTATACAAATGAACACTTAAAAATAAGTACACTTCGATAAA